AAGTAAGGTTTTTTCATTTTTCCTTCGTAGTTATACATTGTCATATTAGTCATCATATGTTAACTTCTTCGTGATTTACACATACACGCAATAATATATAAGAACTAAGAACTCTAATTAACCCGGCCAGGATTTGAGATTCGATCTCATGCCGTCCAGGATCACCCCTATACGTATACAGTACTATGACCACCGCACCAATGATCGTCTATATATATATATATATATATATATATATATATATATATATATATATATATATATATATATATATATATATATATATATATATATAATGGGATTCAATGAATATAAATAAATATAAAAGCTGCATCGTATGGGTCAATAGGCGTTTTGCAGTTACCTTCAATCTTATGTTCTAATGTAATTAACCAGATAGTGGATATTAACAAGGTATTAGTGAAACAAATGTGTATCAATGATCCTACTCAAATCGCCCTTTAACTGATCAATCAAAAATGGATATAAATTATACAAACCACTGCTAATGTTCAAATTACATGATTTTGTAATCTGTATTAAAGCAGATTCAATTATGTTCCTATTGAAAGTGATTTTACAATTCGTTACTGAAGTAGCCATCTCCCAATCAATTTGGTGAGAAATTTCTGACAAATGAACGAAGCATTAGACAACTGGCCGTGTCTTATAGAGTATTTAGGTTGCGCAATTCGAAATTTCAAATCTTTAGATGTTAGCCCAACATAGAACCTATTACAGTCTTTACAATATATTTTATAAATGACACAATTATCACTGCGAGGACTATTTCTAACTGATAGTTTCTCAACATCATTTTCGAATTTTATATATATATATATATATATATATATATATATATATATATATATATATATATATATATATATATATATATAATATTAATACATATAAATAAGTATTATATGATCGTATGGATCAGCGTGTACGCTATCAAATCATACCATAGGCATAGCGCCTATAGTAGATTTGATAGCGTAGACACTGCCAAAGTCTACCATAACACTATCTGCAAGGCTAACTTTGCCAGACATATTTAACAAGAGAACAATAACGAACAACCAACTAGAGTTACACGCGGAACTCACAAAAAACGTGTCTGGAGTAGGCTATCAGCTTATGGAGAGAAAGCTGGCGGGGGTGAAATGTTTCCATAGAGAAAGTTAAGAGAACTAAATGGAATTGGTGAATTATGTGTGGTGTAGATTACACGAGAGAGAGAGAGAGAGAGAGAGAGAGAGAGAGAGAGAGAGAGAGAGAGAGAGAGAGAGAGAGAGAGAGAGAGAGAGAGAGAGAGAGAGAGAGAGAGAGAGTGTGTGTGTGTGTGTGTGTGTGTGTGTGTGTGTGTGTGTGTGTGTGTGTGTGTGTGTGTGTGTGTGTGTGTGTGTGTGTGTGTGTGTGTGTGTGTGTGTATTCTGTGTGTACAGGGAAGAACATTAAAGCTTTTTTGTCTGTACCCGAGTTACGTTTTGTGAATATTAAAACTATAATCTCTATCTTGCCTGGGACAGCTGCGGTGAGAATGAGATCTTGCAGGTGAGAGTTGCACATGTTTTTTTTTTAAGAAAAATGCCACAAAAATAACAGTCTGGGCTTACAATAGAAGCCTGTCCTTACAAGGTGGTGGTGTTCTTCCCTCGTGTAGACAATGGTTACCCTGTTTCTTAATTGTATTATCTGCCGTTATCTTGTTCATATCTGTAGATATTATTGACTAATGGTATCCTGAAATGCAAAGTTATATATAGTAAGGAAAGTTGAATATTAACATTTCTGGATTATGGAGCAGCTGGGGGGACGCCAAAGGTTAGGAAAACTGGTGTTGAAGTGTTCATGTAAGTACTTTAATTAATTAGTACTTCTTGAGGTTACCTTGAGATGATTTCGGGGCTTTAGTGTCCCCGCGGCCCGGTCCTCGACCAGGCCTCCACTCCCAGGAAGCAGCCCGTGACAGCTGACTAACTCCCAGGTACCTATTTTACTGCTAGGTAACAGGGGCATAGGGTGAAAAAAAACTCTATCCATTGTTTCTCGCTGGCGCCCGGGATCGAACCCAGGACCACAGGATCACAAGTCCAGCGTGCTGTCTGCTCGGCCGACCGGCTCCCTTACCCTAATGTAAGTACTAAAGAGTACTCATGAATTAGGCTGTTCTCCGGAGCGTTCCCAACGTCACTAAATTTTGCACTAAATTGCTTGGAGGTAACCTGCCGGAGCAGCCCGTCCTCCTAAGGTTCCCTACGTCAAGAAACTGTGATACTAAGCTGTCCTCTCCTAACCTTCCACAAGACCCGAAACAGAAAATGGGACAGTGTCAATTTCACGAGCCACAACCATTTTTATTACATCAGTTTTTTGCCTTAAGAGGATACATACGTCAAAATGCAATGTATTATCGTTGAACGGATTGCATGAATGACCCTAATGTAAGCGTTGAGGAATACTCATGAGTGACCTAATATAAGTGTCGAGTAATTAACATGGAAAGAGATTTTCAACAGAAGAAAAAACGCAGGAGCAACACTTACTGAAAGCAGCTGACATGATTATTATTATTGCAAAGAGTAAATCTGCAACACACAACTCCAAGTAAAGATAAATGCTCAACAAAATCAACATTGTTCAGGGAGAACATGTGTGAGAACCAGGAGTGGATTAGGATGTGTGTAAATACCCAAAGATGTTTGAGGCTTAATTAAGAAGTTGTGTTTTATATAAAGAATACATGGTTTAATTCCTCTAAGAAAATACTGATAACTTTAACGATGCCATAGCCGATGCGACAAGGAATGACATAGGGGGTGATACAGGGGGTGACATAGCAGGTGATACAGGAGGTGACACAGTATGTGACACGAGGGATAATAATATTTCTTTTAAATATGTTGGTGACAAGAAGCCTAGTACCAGAGGCAGATCACCCTGTGAGCTCATCAAGATCACCTTCTAGGGCTAGGCCAGCTACTGACATTTCCCAGGATACAACCCACAACAGTTACCTAACTCCCGGGGTACCCATTTAACTACTAGGTGAACAGAGGCATCAAGCGTAAGAAAAGTGCCCAACCGTTACCGTACTGCCAGGGTACAACCCGGATCCATCGATTGTGAGACAAGGATGGGGACTACTATGCTACAAGATATTTTCAAGAAATAGTACATCCGTATACAAACAAGTGTTCTTCGCGACGATGGAAGGAGACAAACTCAGACTTGAGTTTGCAGGCGATGAGTCACAATAACGTGGCTAAAGTATATTGACCAGACCACTCACTAGATTTTTTTTTCTACCACAGACGTGGCCACACATTTACAATGCCAAGCAGCATATATACATTTTCTTCTGTCCTCCATGGACAGGGTTAGAGAAGTGTTAAACATATAGTTCAAACACTAGAAGGTGAAGGGACGACGACGTTTCGGTCCGTCCTGGATCCTTCTCAAGTCAATAAGACTGAGTTTTGTGTGTACAGGAACCCTGCGGGTTGACAGATGCTCTGTTATTGTTTGTGTGTCTTGTTCACGGTGCCTCAGTTACGAGTGTAAACACTTCTTTCTTACAGTTCCAGTCACAGAACACACGAGAGCCTCTTCATCATCTTGAGACTGCAGTGGGTCAACAGATGGAGCAGTGACTGTTGTACCTCCTCCACTGAGTACGAGAGACACCCTGTGTGTTATCGGAACAAATCCACAAGGGCCGTGACGAGGGTTCGAACCTACTCGGACGTAGATCCTCTTGGGATCCTCTCGGACGTAGGTTCGAATCCTCGTCACGGCCCTTGTGATTTTGTTCATTTGATGCATCACGCTATTGTGATTTCTGTGTGTAACCCTGTGTGTTACTCTGAAGGGCTGGCGCCTCCTACTCGCCTGCAGGCGATGCAGGTCCAGCGTCGCCTCTATATTAAGCCTCACCTTTCGACCATCAATATCTTAAATCAATTATATACTTTTCACGCGTTTTCCTTACAATATTCGCATTTAAAGCTGAGTATTGAGTTAGCATTCAGAACGTCCTCATCTTGTGGACAGTGCTTCTTTTCCATCGTTAGTTCCGTTACTATTGTCTAATATTTTCCTTGAAGTCACTGTCATATATATATATATATATATATATATATATATATATATATATATATATATATATATATATATATATATATATATATATATAGTTATATTGTGTTATATTGTTATATTGTGTGTGTGTAGTTATATTGTGTATTTTCTAATTATAAATAACCTTCTTTTATAAACAATATCTATCGTGTCGTGGTAATTTACTAGGCTTCATATTTGTAAATAATGACGAATTTGAATTTTTCAGACTAAGATCATTATAAATATACAATTATTTATGAATAAATCATTAAATTGAATTGATTAAAAAATATGCGAAAAAACAGCAACAAATACGAACACAATAACAAATTCAAACGACAATTACAAACGAACAGACCCAAAAAAAACTGAGGTGACAATAAATTTTTAGAACAAGTTTCTCAACGATACTAACCACAAAAAGCAGCTGTGCCAGAGTAAAAATATACACAGTTGTAACTGGTGGCGTTTGGTCCTCTTGCGATTCACGATGATATTAGCTCGATAAACTGGAATATACTATTGATGTATCCAAGGGGGACATAAATAGCCTAACCTACTCAATCCTTTATGACATGCATCTTATTATTTCAGTAAACTTGGATTGTTGATGTATGTTGACAAACTTCTATACCTATAGCTCATCGATGTCGTAACTTAACTATACACGATTTGTTTTGTATTCAGTTCCTAAGCCTGAAATCTGAATTTACCTGAGGGGCCATTATCTCTCTAGTGGCCTCGACAAGGACAGGAAGCCAGCGGCTGTCCTCAGCTATCACTCTGAATAGGATAGGTATGAGGTACATACACTGCCACTCACAGGACGAGTATGAGGTAGACAAGTAAGAGACAAGCAACACCGGTGTACAGACCTGTGCCTTTGGAGTCCTGGGTGTCACCTATCCACTGGGGCTGTACGAAGACAACGATGTTGATGATGGCGAAACAGATGGTGAACACCCCCCACAGAACACCTATTGCCTTGGAGTTCCTCATGTAGTTGGTGGTGTGGACGTGGGTCTGGTCGGCGTACTCTATGTTCTTCTCCAGCTTCTTCATCTTTATAACTGTTCCTCGCGAGTCTGGTTCACTTACTCAGATCCAGAGACACGCCCAAAGTGATCTTTTTTGTGTGTATAGATCTTGGACACTTAAGACGGTGGGGGTTTTGGCTCAAGGTTTATGGTTTTAATCGATTTTAATTAATTGAGACACTTTTATGTTACTATCAGAGGAAGCGTATGGGTAAATAGGTTGAAAGAATAGCTTGAATGATGTGTTGTGGAGACGAGAGGGCGGGCGGCCTTGGGCCTTACGACAGGGATAACTTCACTGGGATTTCTACAAATATTTTATCACTTAGGTGAAACACTCCTCCAAATGCACTTTTTCCCGTTCAACGTGCATATTATCCTCTCATTTTAAACGTATTAACCAAGTTCTTAGAATAATCTCCCACGGGGAAGGAAATAATTCTCACGAGAACACTGGAGGATTCCAAAGGTCACTCACGAGGAATGGAAGCTGGAGTGTTATAATACACTTAACACCACACTCGCCGCTCTTGTGGCCAGATATAACCGTTCTTTAACTCGGTAGCAATAACTCTGTCGTGTTGATCGTTAACGGGACAGGAGGTGAGGGTGTAGAGGGCCAGACGAGGTAGAGAAGGAGGTAAAAAGAGCCGCACACAGGTGTACTCGTCACCGCGTCTCTCCTCAGAATGGCTTCCTCGCCCACCTGTGGCTCACTAAGGCGTCATATATTCCGCCGCGGTTTCCTCTCCTTGCTGGAGCCGCAGCGACCATGTAGGCGTATTGTAAGGCTCTTTTGTTCGTATATAAAGCGTAGATTGTAGTTATGTGTCCCCCGTATGAATACAGATACGTAAATTGTAATTTTTCTTTTAAGACGACTCGTTCCCGTTAGTTGTGTGGTCGCTTGACTAGGTCACTTGCACTTACCCGACCTGTGGACACACGCTTACCAACACAACACCTTCACAACTTTCTTATATTACCTTATAAATCCCCATTATTTGTGTAGCATAAACAAATATATTGTAAATAACTCGTTAGAAAGCATACTTCTTTCCGCATGTTTGAAAATATCTGTCTAATGTGTATTTTTTGAGATGGAATTTCAGAAGTCATGTTGGCAGGTCAGCAGCAGCCTGAGGGGCATGTGAAATCATTTCTTCACTTCTGGGTTACTCCGGAACTTAAGCCGCAGGAGGAGGTCGTGGTTGTCGTGTTGGCCGGGTTGTTGTTGTTATAGATTCAGCTACTCGGAACAAGTTCCAAGTAGCACGGGCTATGCTGAGCCCGTAGCTTACCTGACACACTAAATATTACTGGGAATATGGGATAGATGTTCATGGTAATGACACGAAGTGTAAACTATGTGGTATGTTAAGGTCTCACACCCTTGCCCATTATATTCTTGATTGTCCGTTGATTAGTGTATATAGAAACACTGAGATAAGGACTGTTCCTGAACAAATAGCCTGGATGTGTCACAACGGAAAGGTTGATGATATTCTTGAGAGATATAAGAATTTTGCACCAAGATTGTAATATTTTGTTGAATTATCTGCAGGTGTCTTGCAAATTGTCCATACAGTATACCTAGGTCATAAAAGTATTTGTGTGTACGTCTGATACCATACTCCTTGTGAGGGAGGAAATGTATATTTTTACCTCTCAGAATGTTTGGTAATATGTTTATTTGTGATGTGTGTATATGTATATATTAACACGTTGTACTGAACGGGGTGAGAATAGCTTGACCTACCTCATCCCTTTGTGTGTATTTTACCTCAATAAACTTATTTCAATTTCAATTTCAATACCTGACACAGGAGCGGGGCAAGTAGCACGGGCTATGGTGAGCCCGTAACTTACCTGGCACAGGAGCGGTGCTGTGTCATTTGGCCGGGAAACACAGACCTATATATACACAGTTTATGGTGTCAACATATGTAGCAGAAATATATATATCGTGAGGGGCAAGAACCTTTGAACACCGTCTCTTAAGGAATTTCTAGATTCTGACTTCTTGGCGCATTGAAATTACTGGAGTCGATGGGTAGAATAGTTACAAGGGTTGATGGTTGACTGGATGGAATTGTTACAAGAATTTCAGGCTACTAAACAAAAATATTAATGAATACAAATTTGTGAAAAAACAGTAGGACTATGAAGTACAAAACAATTGGACAACTAGAGTACTAATATTCTTAAAAAAACAGATATAGATTAACAATGTTACAAATCATTTACTATATTCCACATTAGTTACCTTTAATATATAATTTTAAGAGAAGTCAATAGGAAAAAGTTTTTTGTGATATGGAACTTGGGATAGGCGGAAATCAGAATTTAGGTCAATAGACATAGACATCAATATAGACATTGAAAGCATTCAACGCTTGGTACTGGAGAGCGGAGTAGCCTGATCAACTTTTGGTTCATATAATGAAACAACAAATTATATAGAGATAAATTTTGTTGGAACAAAATATATCTAAGTTAATTTAATGGTTAATTAATGGTTCTTCAATTTTAGTTCCTGTTTTCCCTTTACTAGTATATTGATCATTTAGATATACCATTACAGTGTGATCGAGATTCCACTTAGTGAACAAATCCACAAGGGCCGTGACGAGGATTCGAACCTGCGTCCGGGAGCATCCTCGTCATTCGTCATTCGAATCCTCGTCACGGCCCTTGTGGATTTGTTCATTTGATGCATCACGTTAGTGTGATCCATTTAGTGGCATAACATTATCTATGACAAAGCTAAAGATGAGGCTGACACCCATCCAATTCCTGAAAATAGGATACAACTATCAATTCGATACTTGACCGATTTAGTGATTTACTTTTAGTTAAATTTTGTAACTATTATATACCATTCCCGAAGAATTCGTGGACCTGTGTTGCACAGCTGTTATTAGTATACTAATTTACACCTTAAATGTTTAAGATTTATAACCTCTGAAGAAATATATGTTGTTGCCTCAACTCCCAATATATTGGTGGCTGGAAAAACGGTGTTCATCTGTTTCTTGGTCCATCAGTCTTACGCATTGACTGCGATCGTTCATTGGGTTCACCAGGTCAGATCATTGATTGAGTTCACAGATCATTGACTGCGTTCATCAGGGCCAGACTGACTTAGTCCACCAGCCCCACACTGACTAAGTCTGAGGGGAAATAACAGTACCAAGTTTACGTGCAGTAAATAAAATTAAAAGTTGGATCCCAGGGCCACAGTACACCGCCTACCAGTCAGTGTGAGTGGAAACTGACACAAGCTGTTGTTGTTGTTATAGATTCAGCTACTCGGAACAAGTTCCAAGTAGCACGGGTTATGGTGAGCCCGTAACTTACCTGGCACAGGAGCGGGGCAAGTAGCACAGGCTATGGTGAGCCCGTAGTGGACTTACCTGGCACAGGAGCGGGGCAAGTAGCACGGGCTATGGTGAGCCCGTAGTGGACTTACCTGGCACAGGAGCTGTCGGTGCCGACACAGGCAGGATATACTTCGTCCTTATAGTGGTACTCCCTTTTTTTTTAACTGGGAAGAACAGTGACGTGAAGAAGGCAATATGATAATTGCTGGTCGTCCATGCTGGTGCGTACAGAGATCCACTCATCCCCGTACCCCTCTGCCTGGAAATCCAATCCATTCACACAGGTATTCTGATGACCCATCCACAGGGAGCACACATGGTTAAACAGGGAAAAGATAAACACTCATGTTGACGATGGCTTGTTCAACTAGTGTATGGGTGATTGAGAAAAGGCAGGGTGGGTGTCACCTCAGGTGATGCGGTAAGCATGGAGAAGAGCAATTCGACTTAGAATGGCTGGATTCGGTACACAAAAGGAAAAACGGCACCTCGCTATTGATCCTTAAGGTTCCATGTCCATATTTTCAACACTTATTGCAGGGGCGCGGAGAGGAATGTACTCCTGTATGATGCATCATGCATCCCAACAAGAACTACTAAAGATGGTCGAAAGTCTCGATTATCAAGTGATCTTTAACATTAACACGAAATAAGGGGTTTACGACGGGAGACATCTCCCGTCACGCAGGGTGCAGTCGCACCTCCACAGATCTCCAGTATCAGCTCTTGATACTGGTAATGGCTCAAAAGGGCCACCACTTACGGGCTATTCATGCCCGTGCCACCTTTTAGGTGGCTTAATCTTCATCAATCAATCTAAGGGGTTTACGACGTGGATCGCGAGGAGTCGCATGGGCGTATTAACCAGGTAAATAGAATGGCATTGGGCTTCGAGGATGTATTTAATATCTTCGTAGCACTTTTTAAGGTCCTTGTGTCCCTGTTGTAACATGAGGAGAGATGATGACAATGCCGCTGGCTTTTAAAAGTACATTTTTGGTTGTTGTTGTTATAGATTTAGCTACTCAGAACGAAGTGTCCATGTAGCACGGGCTATGGTGAGCCCGTAAACACACATTTTTGGAGATGCAAACTCACAATTGCTTGACAAAGCAGTTAAGCAGTCAGCTGTAATCTTAGTAGGGCCTCAATAACTTGTGTGCAGTCCAGGTGGGATTGAAGGTAATGTGTGAATCTACCGAATGAACAAAGTATCTGTAGATCATCCGTGGCAGTAGGGTTATCAGTTGACATTAAAGTATTTTGTCCACGTAGGTGGGCCGTGTTCACCAGTAGAAGGTGCAGTTATAACAATGAGAGATGGTCACTCCAGGTGGCAAGTCAGGTTGTCACTGGGAGCTGGCAGATGTCCCTGCCAAGGAAGTGGCCGGGGTATGGAGAGGATCAGAAGTAAGTAATTATCAAAAAAGGCACCAAGCCGGGAAGGCTATGTAGCACCATACAATGTGCAGAATAATCAGAGGGCGCTAAATATCACTTAGGATGCCAATATGAGAACAGAAACGCATATGGCGAACGATATCAAAAGTATCCGATTCACCAAGAATTCTATCCAGGGAAAAGTGACCGCGGGGCACGGTCGGAAAGCAAGACACACGTTCGTCCAGGAAGTCAGGACATTAAACAAGGATAAGCACAACTGTAAGAGGGACAATGCAGTTAGGACAATAAGGAGCAGGGCGGCGCTCCATTAAGTGTCTGAGTTAAGCGCTTAAGGCCAAAACGCAGCCTTGCCAGAGCTGTTTCCCATCGCCGGTTACGGTGGTAGGAAGAAGGCCACAGGGACACATTATCCTTAAGAGTACGCAGTTTGTTACCAGTAACAGAAGACCAACTACCCTGCCAATGGGCAAAGACGAAGGAATGAATAACTAGGTAAAAATCGGAATAAGGAATACCTTTACAGGAGATGGGACAAGTGCGGATAGCTTCCTTAGCGACAGCGTCCGCACTCTCATTTAAAGAGATACCAATATGGCTGGGAACTCAGCAAAACTCAACTGTCTTAAATCTACTGGAGATAAGAAACAGCCAATGTTGAATCTCGACGACCACCGGATGGACTGGATTAAAGGACTCCAGAGCCATGAGGGCACTGCGAGAGTCGAATACAACCACAAAGGAGGATTGACAGCGAGAAAGCAGGAGACGAAGAGCATAAAGAATAGCATAAAGTTCTGCCATGAAGATGCTAGTCTCCGAATGCAGGCGACACATATAGGTGTGGTCAGGAAAAACTACAGAGTAGCCTACACCGTCTGTAGACTTAGACCCATCAGTGAAGATGGAAACTGAGCGGGAATGTGAAAAAAAGTGTTCAAGAAAAAGGCGTTTCAGAACTGTAGGAGTAAAAGCTTTAGTGATGTGGGTCAGGGATTTGCAATATTGAGGAAGGGGGGGACCCTTCACGGGGGCAAGAACGGAACAACACGAGGAGAAATATTAGTAATACTTACCGAAAGAGAATGTTGCAGGCAAGACAACTGGACAGAAAAGAGGTAGGTGGTGCACATAAGGGGCATAACTGGTCGACCCCTCACAGTGTTCAAGAGAGAACTGGATAAGCACCTCCAAAGGATACCTGATCAACCAGGCTGCGAGCAGCCGCGTCCAACAGCCTGGTTGATCAGTCCAGCAACCAGGAGGCCTGGTCGACGACCGGGCCGCGGGGACGCTAAGCCCCGGAAGCACCTCAAGGTAACCTCAAGGTAGGTGAAGGGGAACAGGAACTACAGGATGAGAGGATCAGAAGAGTAAATTATGAAAGCAGGCCTGAGAGGGAGCCTAGTTAACCAGCTTATTGATTTATCTAGGTCATGCTAAATCTCATTTTACTCTGAAATGTGTTGCCCTCTTGATAGACTACTTCCATACCAGTGAAATGGTGATACAAGTCTCCAAGTACAGCATGGAAAAAAAAATTGGTGGTAAGGAGCATTAAAATAGTTTCATTTCACCTCACGTTTTCAGTCAAGAGGACCTTCACACTATACATGCTAGTGACTTTGAAAGAATGTGCTACTCACCCACCAGCACATATACCCCCTTATCCCACTGTATCACTTTGTGTATGAATAAAAATAATAAACCCACCCTCAGCACATGTGATGAAACAAGTTCTAATATAATGCATTTTAAGTATGACAAGTAAGGCTGCAAGCCTTGTGCTAATTTGATGGATATGAATTAGCAGTTGAAATGTGACCGATTTATTTCTAACTATTGATGGCAACTTTTATTTGTATAAGGCTAAAATAAAATACAAAATTATGTTCACAATTTAATCATATTTACAAATGAAATGTACAATGGAATGAAGGCACACAAAACATATGAAGATGGGCTGGCAGAATGATGAAGTTCTCATATGAAATAGCCCTTCATGCTTGTTTAACGACTCGTTCATCTACCTAAACAAGATATTTTTTTGCCAGCATGTCAGCAATTCGAATAGTCTGTACTGTACATACTACTGTCACACTTGACACAAAAAATCATCAAATAAAATTAAGATAACCAATAATTTTCAGATATAAACTTCTTGGCATATATAGTATTATAAATTAACACAAGGCACAAGCAATCCTGTGTTAGTTAACCATTAGCTATAGTGCTCCTACATAGTGTATGATTCAGACATTGTGCTAACACCCAATTTTCATATAGATCATGAATCCTATTTAAGGCAATGCAATCATTAATTTAATGGGCTAAATGAGAATTAAGGAGGTGAATACAATGTACCAATACTTAAGTACTGTGTCTACATGCCAATTTCTCAGATTCAAGGCACTAAACTTAAAAACTAAATATTTTTAATTTGCAGCCAATCAACGAAGTTATTTGTCTATGCCAGCATATTTGACAATACAAGCATTATAATACAATATTGTTAAATGGTAATAATCCAGACTATCTCATGATGTAATATGAAATATTTAAAATACAGTACAGTAAAATTACCCCTATTTCTCTGGATGGTATGGGTACACGTGCGAGTTGGAATGTGAGCATGTCAATTGTGTGGAATAGTTTGCTAGAAAGTAATGTGATTGGCAGAGAGGGGCGAGGTAATGTGTAAGGGTTTACGGGATACGTGGGTAGGTTGGCGAGTTTATTGGTGTGAAGAGGGCCTGTGCTGTGTGAGGATTGGTGGATTTGGACGATCTTGTGTGGATGGGTGTGCTGGATTAGTATCAATAGGTAAGTAATTATGAAGACTGTGTGCCAAGTCTGGAAGGCTACATAGCACCGTCTGTCACAGAATACTAAATTGTTCTTTGATATCATACAGGATGGCAATACAAGAGCAGAAAGATGCAAAACATTTAATGAAAAAGAAATCAGGATAATTGAGGAATAACTTAAAGGAACTGAGGGAGTGCAAAATTTATGCTCATTCTGAAAATAAGAACAATCTACAAACAGGAGAGCAACAATAAGTGAAGTAATGCAAGTCCGGCAGTAAGATAAAGATCTTTGTACAGTATTAAGTGTATAGGAGTTAATCGTGTGAGGCCAATACATAACTTTACCTAATATTTTTATACTTATTTTAGTGGCAGAAGGAAGGCAAAATTTTATAAGTAATTTGGAAAAAAAGGTGAGCATGCAGAAAGGTTGAGGGTATAGGTGGATGGGCATGCATTCTCTCACTTAAAAGATAATTTTAGAATTGCTCATGCTGTCATGATTGGTACAAATTTGTTACGTTTTATACCAAGAAAATAAGTGGCTTCCATTAGGTTATACTGTCCAATATTATCATAGAGCTAAGAATAATCATCCTAAATACATGCTGCAGGTTTCAGTACCACTGTAGTATATATGAAGTCCCGAATGGAAACTTCAGTGTCTGGATTAACCCCAAGCAGATACCTGCATAATCCAGAAATTATCTGAATGTGAGTATGAAGTGCAATAGCACACTAATTAATGAAAATAATAATCCACTATTCTGGAAACACAAGGAAACGTAGACGTTACATTTCAATCCCAACCCGGGATCCTTTTCAGCATTTTTGATCCAAATGTGTCTCGTGTACAGTATCCAAATGCACAGGAAATGAAGAATGTGGTTTCTCATATGACAGGATGGTGTCAGAAGTACAGTAACCCTAACACAGATTAGGAAAAAAAAAAAAAGACTAATCTCACCCTAAATAAAGTGAAACCAAGACGCACATAATATTTAGTAAAGCAAGAATCCATAAATGGCATGGAGGAACTTGTGTATCACTGCTAAGTGCTTGTGAAAAGTGGAAGACATACAAATTTTATTAACTCTAGAATCAATAACATGAAAATGTTGTGCATGACTTTCGGCAAGATGTGCCAAAGTGCAGGCGATGAGTCACAATAACGTGGCTAAAGTATGTTGACCAGACCACACACTAGAAGGTGAAGGGACGACGACGATGTTTCGGTCCATCCTGGACCATTGGATCGACTTGAGAATGGTCCAGGACGGACCGAAACGTCGTCGTCCCTTCACCTTCTAGTGTGTGGTCTGGTCAACATGTGCCAAAGTAGCGGCCAGCAGCTGCCTCCTCTTCCTCTATGTTTAACCCTTAAACTATGGTGTTTTACAAGTCCCCTTACCTGTACGACCTCTGAAAATATTAAACAAAATTCTTTCATGTGATTCATGTGAACTTAAGAAAAATATTATCTCAAGTGTGAGATAAATAAGCAAAGAATTTGTAGAGGCAATTTCAGTTATTAATAAGTGTGTTCACAATAAAATGATAAATTTGTTGTCTTAGTAATGTATTCTATCATCCTCTATCCTCTAGCAAGCATTAGTCTGGATAAAAGTTTACACTGCTGTACTGCTCTGAACAAAGAAATAAAAATAAAATCAGTGAAGATACTGTACCACTGAGCTGCACTGCCTAATAATGAGGAAGTGGAGTTTTATCATCATAAAAGCAGTAACCTTCAAGGCAATACAACGAGTTAAAATATCAAAGATATTAAAAGCCATTTAATATTGGGCAACATTGCTTGATTCACTAGCAGCCATATATTTTTACTTCATACATAACTATTTAAAGTTTCAAGTTTTATACAATGAGGTGTCGAGATACTGAACGAAAACCTCGATGGTAATATAAATACAGTAACACGACAAAACTTTTTCAACATTCCTACCAGGAATGTTTAATGCTCGGCAAGATGAGGAGATGAGGGAGAACATTTTTCTAGTTGTGTCTTATTAGAAATAATTATAACATGACTATTATACAATGTTTTGTAACAAATGAGGGTATTTTAAGACGGTTCTAAGATTTGGGATACACAAGAAAACTGGTTAATACAAAAATTGATCAAGTAATACTAAGTGTTCACAAAAATGTTAATATAGTTTTGAAGTAGCTTGCTGTATATACGATCCTGGGTAACAGCTACCCAATACAGATATAGCAAAGATAAGGTGACGCATGAGCTCTGCCACACACACACACATGGGACCAGATCATGTCCATCTGTTGATCCTGGTTTTAAATCAATTATGTATCCCAGAGGATGCAATGTAACCTGCTTGAAGGGGTTCTGGGAGTTGTTCTACTCCCCAAGCCCAGCCCAAGGCCAGGCTTGACTTGTGAGAGTTTGGAACGGCCCACAGGCCCACATACCCACCACAGCCCAGTTGGTTTTAAGTGACAAAAGCCCAGTGCAGATGACGGAGGGAAAATTCTTTAAACAAGACTTCACATTGTTGTAGTCCAATACCTTAAGGTGTGGAGGCAGTCAAAGCTAAATGCTTGGGAGGGTTTTTATAAATGGCAATCCTCAAGGCCCTCAAGGAAACGGAGAATCTAATGGACAACTAAATACTATACTGTATTACTGGTTTATAATTAAAGTGTAGGCTTGGTGGTAAATTGGCAACTTGCCCAGTATAGGTAATTCCATACGTCATCTGCATTATGCTACTCTCTGATGCCATGTTACTTTTGTACAAAACTTCTCTTACTTGCAGCATTGACACTAACAATATTGACATACTGTAACAACTACTCTGAATGTTTAGATTTTTTGTCAAGTTCATATGAAAATCATCTATCTTCCAATTCAGTAAGACTCTAAAGTGCCTGAACTGCAAATAAAATTATGTCAAAAAGAATTTGACAACTTTCATAAACTCTCTCTATTAAACAATACTTACACTTTCAAGACATTCAATGAAACAAGTTTGATTATACTGTAATGTAATTATGGCAAGTAAGGCTTGATGCAAAGTACAGTACTTGTTTGATGGCTATTAATTTTCAGTTAACATTAATACAAATTGTTCATCAGTAAGGATAAACCTAGAGAACAATATCTGAATTTGGAGCCTTTCAACATGTATTATGTAAGCTCACATCAAAGCTTTTGACCACCTCAAGATTATATACTTGATCAAAAATCCTTATAATGCAGCACTAAAAATATTAAATTAATGTACTGAAATCAGACCGAAACTAATCATAACCTGTCTAAAATCCAGACGTTTACCTCTCATTGGGAAGGGCGACTTGTTGCTCATTTACCCTTGGGCTACGTCTTTCACCACATTTAAAGCCTCGTATAGAGAACACACTATAAAAGCATTTCCCTTATTTATTGACATACTGTAATTCAATTTACAAATTCGTTTTACTTAAATCATAAAGGTCTAGGAAACCTTCTCATTATGCGACTTCACGTGCAGCCTAAAAAGTTTAATTTAAAATAGTTGGCGAGACTACATAGTAATGCTGCACACTTAATATTTTCTAGTTATGTTAAAATTCTTTGTTCATAATACATAAAATGCATATAAACCCAAGAGTTCTTCAGCAACAGAAATAGTGCTTTTATGTGAAATTGTGTATAAAACAGGTGGTGTGCCCTACACCTGGGCCAGTTTTGTTTAACCATTGCTCACAGGAAATGTGATTCTTTATATGTTTGCCCAAAAGCATGCCACACAAATATGCATGAAAGTGTGGAACCATTTCATAAAACTTTACAACTTCCTAAAAATTACTTGGAAGATTAAAATTTTATTAGAAAACAAATGGAATGTAAATTACAGTATATGCTGTTCCAACAATCAAATACCATAAATAATTAGTTCCATTATTTAAAAACTTGCACATAGCAAAAACGTATCCTTAATCAAATTGCATCTTGCATATTGTAAGGATGTCATGTATTTACCACATGATAATGCAACTTGTTCACAGCTCTCCATACAGTCACTTCATTACACTGTATGACTACCAGTATATGCTCTTACTAGAAAGAGAAAAGTATTTTCTCATCTGACTATAAATCTATCAAAATATGTCATTTCAGTAAAACAGCAATTCTCAACCCACAGTTTTACAAACTCCAAACATAACAAGGGATTCTGCTAAAGTGATAAATAGGCTAATTCTAATCATATGCCAATGTATTTTTGTAATTTTTGTGCTTAATTTTTCTCATTTAACCTGTATCAAGAGAAAAAGAGAGAAATCATTTCCTTTCAGTTGACAATGAAATCCGTATGTTTATCTAAAGTATAACCCAGAATTATGTCCAGGGTACGAAGGTTGAGAAACACTGCAGTAAAGCAATATCAAGTCACTCTGCTGATGCACACACACACAATTAACAAGATTATTCATTAGTGCTTTAATCATCAATTAATAGTTTTGTACACTCTTACACCCAAAAGAAATCTTACTAAAACATTCACATCATGGCAGAATCAAGCATCACCATCAAATATGTCAACTAATGCAAAACAAATTGGTCAATAAATAATTAACGACGATATTTACACCGGTTTTTGCACCAAACATGTTCAGCATATCACAAAATTCTTTAGAGCAATACTTTTTAGATTTTGATGAGGAATACAGCAGGTAGTAGCGAGTCTTCCCGCACAGGTTCATGCACCTACTACAATCTTTTACCCCATGCCATACAATACTCAGCACGCATTTACAATAAAAGCAAAAAACATGGATGGAACAGCTCCTATTTTCAGTTATAACACACACACACCTTGGCTAAATAAGACTTCTTTAAACAAAATTTCATTACATTCATTTAAGAAATTATTTGTATAATTCACTGCTTGAAATAGGATCGCTTAGCACAATTGCCGAGGCAAATTGTTGCACTTTTTAGAGCTATACAGCCCTGTACTGTATCTAATTTTAAGGTCTAAGAAAATTAAAACAATCATCAAAACCATTGTTTTTTTCAACAGGTGAATAAGACAACCCAAAACAAATAATAGTACAGTTGATATCAATCTTTAAGAAGTTGAAAATAATATCTGCAAATATAAGCTGCAAATCTGCAGGATGGTGACCCCCTTATCCGGCCCCAAAATAAAGTCTAATCTGGGGGATCATTATCGAAACCCTAGCAGGACTAAGTCTTACACGACACAGTCATCTACCATATTGCAAATATTTTGAAGGAACAAGTTATTTACTACATACTGTACATTATATGAAGATACTGTAATAAGATTTGATATTTATGAATTGCGCAACAATCAACTGTGAGTAACGAGCAAAACTTCAAAGGTATAAATGGGTTACTAGTATGTGCACAAAAACAAATTATGAAAATTTGTAAGAATCACAGTAGTAATGCAAATAATGAAAAAGAAGAATGTAAGTGTTAAGTATTGTATGACGAGAAAACATTATGTAAGATATTGTTTACAACTTGACTCAAGATGGAAAGCAAGGAAAGAGAGGGTAGGGTGAGTGTTGGACCATCACATACTCCACACAAAGGCAAAATATGTAGAGATATATGATGTTAGATATTAGATATCTTTAGATATAAGATGTACAACAGTGACAAATTATGTAAGGTAGAGCAGAGTATGTCATGTAAATTATATACACTATAGAACAAGTGACCTATAAACATTCATTGTTAAACCAACAGATGCCAACAAATAAATGACTAGAAGGTTTAAATGTATAAATCACATGTAACTCAACAGCAAGACAGGACAGGACAAAAGGAAAACCCATTTTGCAAATTAACTTTTCGTACAAAGTACAAAGCAACAAAATCATCAAGCAGTGTGAACATCCTTGGTGCTCTCTCCTGTCATCAATCCAACAATGATACTGTACTTGCATATTTTCATTAAAACATGTTTCCTTCTGAATTTTTATGGTAATAATTGGTATTTGTTGTATTAAAAGAAAATTAGAAGCGAGTTTGTTAGATTGATAAAATATTGAAACAAATCAATTTGTTCCCATAACCATCCTCTTGTTATTCCTTCCAATTTATAACCAACAAAATGTGCTACCATTCCTGTAGCAGTCATACTGTGAGTATAAAAGAAATTTATAGTAATCAAATAAAAACTATTGTGTCGACTGACAATTGAACAGAACGGCTCCCAGTACCGTAGCCGGCAAGCTGTGCCAGAGAAATAAGGACTTCTTGGTTAGGCAGAGTTGATGCCTCCATGTGGGTCCGCAGCATCCCACTCTGTGGTGCCTGAGCTCAACTCCATGGATAAACGATTCCCACACTACATGAAGTGAATTCCACAGTGATTGCTTCAACTGAAATTTTCTTCATCTTCCACTCCTGCTAAAAGTCAGAGAGTTTTCTGTAAAAGACAAATATTACACAATACTTTAAAGGGCATGTGATATTCAACAGAAAAACAATTGACACAATAAAGATACTGATAACCACTTGTTAAAACAGAATACTCCCAATTACCTTTCATTACTGAATCAGCAGCCAACAATTATTTGCTGCTAAAATGAGTACACTTTAGTATATCCCTATCAACATCCTGACCTTCAACTAAACAATTCCTATAAATATGCGGTCAACTCATGACAGGTCATGAATAAAGCATCAAATTCTTATTCGGGAAATATAATCTCTCCTCCAGATTATACCAACCTAGTCATCTAGCACTGCTCAGCGTTTCCTTAGAACAATGGAACTATACTGACTATTCAAACTTTTCACTATATTGTATTTCAACTGAATAAATTATATTAAAAGTAAACTATTAGAAGGCACAGGTTCCCAGGTTAGCACCAATTTCCAGAGTTTGTCATATCCATCACAAAGGACGAGGAAAGGGGTTGGAGACCAGAAAAAACAAATTTAAACTCATGATTGAATCACAAGATAAAATTTCATTTGTTGGATCCTTCCTAAGACACTGTCATCTGCTCATCATCACTGTCAAGACATTATCATGTGCTTAATGTGCTCAACATCTTGCCTTGCTTCTCCTATTATGTAAAAATTAAATTGAAGATGCTTTCTTTGTCACTGCCATCTATTCATTCAGGATGACCACACCATCATAATACACATTTGTCCTTCAAATCACAGATCTATTAGCAACATTTGTCTATAGCATTATCACTCCTCATAATCTATCCTCCCAACACCCCATACACACAAAATTATCCATCACTACTGCTCATGCTCTCAATCCTTCATGCTCAGCCATGGAAGTGCTTCACATGTGTGTGTAAGGTTTGCAACAATCCCCTCTTCATGCACCTCTCTCACTATATGCCCTTCTATCCTTTTCCTAATGCTTTCATTGCACCACCCACTTTCCTTCTCACCAAAACTCTCACATCCAAGATACCGAAATACACGAACAGATGTCTTTCTCACTCACTCTCGCCAATTTCTATAACAAAATTAATAAAGAATTTTGGTTAGTGATGAGTATGGGGTTGGGTAAGTTCTGCACAATGAAATCACATTGACATGATGTAGTAGTAGGCATCCTTCAGTCTCGGGAGACTATGGAGTTGCGCCCTACTTGTCAATCCTGATGCAGCGTCTGGTGTGACTGATGAAGGGGTAAGTTCTGCACAATGAAATCACATTGACATGACGTATCAACGAGAAAATCAGTAGGAGCCACGAGGAGGATTTGAACCCACTCACTTGGGACTCCCAAGTGACCGGGTACGAATTTCTGGATAAATTCTATTAAATTCTATAAAAATAGTCTAGTTAAGAGTTAATGGTATAATGAGATGTATGATATTGGTACAGTGTTGGTTTATATTTGGGTTGTCAGATGTTATCTTGGTTATTCAAAATATATATGGAAGTGAGGCAAGACTTAAAAAGGGGGGGTGTAAACCTTATTTAAGAACTTGGATAATACAAAATTTGAAGAAAGTGCATGATAAAGTTATTTTACCACAAATGGAGATCTGTGAAAGCAACATCAAACTGATAATGATGCATATGAGAGAAGACTTAAAGGTGGCCGTAGACAAGAGCAAAGCTATAGTAGTGGAGTGTAACATTTTGTGGAAAAAGAATATGGATGATGAAATGCTAGATGCAGTCAATCAATTTAAATACCTGGGATATGTGATTAAAACAAAAAGAGAGAAAAAAAAAGGAATTTGTGCAATTGAAGTCGAGAGTAGGGCAAATTAGAGAAAGAAAGTGCCTGGTCAGTAAGAGCAAGACCATAATTGATGCACTCAGTGTGCTGCATCAAGGACTCTTGGTGCCGATTCATATATATACACACTTGTGAGTGTTGTGTGGCAAGAAGTGAAAGAGTGAAGAATAGCAGAAGTGGATAAACCAAGATATATATACATGAATGTGTTTGGATGGATATAAACAGCTGCTGCCTGATATGGGCCAATAGGCATTCTGCAGTTCCTGTTGTTCTTATGTGTGGTGTTTGAAGAACATACTGCAAGGCATGAAAAGTCAGGCAGTCATGAGGGCAATATTCAATAAACCGCAAGACTGAGTAGAGCAGATGGTATCGGTATGCTGAACAAATAGATAATGAAAAGCTGATTAGAGTACTTAAATAAAATTCATGGTAGGAGAGGAAGGTTAGAAGGAAGATGGGGCAGAATGTCTGAGGAAACAGGGACCAAGTGTAAGCAATGATGGGCTCAGGTAAGAGACAAGGCTGGGTGGAAGCAGTTTGTAAAGGAGTAAATGTATTTTGTACTATAGTGTATCATATGTGACAATTCATGAGGAATACCTGGTGTTAAGAAGCAGTTAGATATTGTACCATTTTCTTGTATGATGCTGTATGGTGAGGATGAAAAAATGATCTATATGTTTAACTTTTAATATTATTAAATTATTATTTTAATAGTGAATCTATAAATTGACTACAACATTCTAAAACTTGTTTTCTTGGCTAATGGGACCAATTACTTTCAAAAATGAAAGCAAGAAATAGGATGATGATAATTATGTGTATATGTACTTCCAACACTCTGCTGCTACATTATCAACATCCCCATTTCCCACTTTTGAGGAGTGGCTCAAACAGCGCCACACACAAAAGAAAAAATATGTATTAAAACATATCAGTATATATATCAGTATATTATATATATATATATATATATATATATATATATATATATATATATATATATATATATATATATATATATATATATATATATATATACACACATGTTTTTAATACACATATCTCTCCTATATATATATTTATATATATACAACATATATCCTGACTATACTATATAGTACATGAAGACACCACTGTTGCCTTTAGTGGGAAGAAATTACTGACTGGTGGATACACAGTCTAATGCCTCCACAACTACAATGCAGGTGATTGTGTGACTGAACCCCCACGGTCCTACGTGCATCTCTCTTCACTCTCGACCAGAATGGCATCATCACACATCCAGTTATACAGTATTCTATTTTATCACACACTTTACATCCATCTCTAATAATCATGCCTTGACTTTCCTAAGGGATCCATTCATACAATGCATATACATATACAGTACATGAATTCCACACAAAGATTGACCCAAAATTCTTCCGAGCCAACTAATTTCTAACATCCCTAAATGCCAAATTCTAGCCTAATCTTACTAGATTCATACCACTTGTGCTATATACTGAAAATACAAGTACTGTATTTTCCTAAACTATGAGTTTGTTAAAAAAAATCATGTCTTTGCATGGAAATTATGCAATTTGCAGCGAGGTCAGGATGTAATAGTATATATATATATATACAGTATATAACAAACTAAATAAGGAAAAACAACAAACAAAAGAAAAATGTCTTAATCAGTTTCAAGAATGGTGAAGGTGTTACGTATAACAAATTTGAATAAAAATTATTAAAACTAAACAAAAGTAATTATTATATGTACACGTCATGACTTTTAAGGAAAATCAGTTAATTCACACTACAAAGAAATATACCATCAACTTACAAGTCCATTACGTGTGTTAATATGATCCTTCTCGTTTAGGAGCTGCTAATGGAACACAAAAAATCACACACAGACAATTATCAAACCGGTCACAGGTACTGTAGTACTATCTTGAGTGTAGAGCACAGTACTTACTCTCTTGATAGTGTGGCATACAGTCTATGTATAGTGTAGAGCACAGTACTTACTCTCTTGATAGTGTGGCATACAGTCTATGTATAGTGTAGAGCACAGTACTTACTCTCTTGATAGTGTGGCATACAGTCTATGTATAGTGTAGAGCACAGTACTTACTCTCTTGATAGTGTGGCATACAGTCTATGTATAGTCTTCATAGTTTGATATCATCATAATTGCTGACTTGATAGTATGGCATCAAGTCCTAACTTCAGATACTGACACACACACACAACTAAGGTTGAAGAGTAAGGAGCTTAACAAAGATGTCAACAGTCTAAGGCAACACAGCAACAAATAAAAACATGTGGAGCACAAATACAGTACAATTTTAGATTAGTGTCAGTGGTACCATACAGATTAGTGTGAGTGACTCAGATTAGCAACAGTGACAAAGATTAGTGAAAGTGATATGGAGAAAAATACATATACAGCATGCAAGTGAAGGTGATTGTTTATCTTAAAATTATAAATGAGTTAGTTATTTTCACTTTAATAGGTGAATTTCAATCAAATATTCAACAAAGTGCTATAAAACAATGCACTAGGAGTAGCACTACATACCAAGCAGTGACCGGTGTTAACAATTTAGGATGTGGAGATGGTATCAGTCCTCACTACTCCATGCACTTGTACCAGTGGAAATACACACACGTGTCAATCATGAGATGGTCAGAGTAAAGAATGATAGCAGATAAACTGAAGTTACTGTGAAATAAAACTAAACCAATAAAAGATGTTTTTAACCCTGTCATCAGTCTCGCATTAGTGAAAGATTTGAAAGCACACAAAATAGCATTTGCCAATATATTTGAAAATATTTTTTCGTATTACAATATCATTTTCATTTAAATGCTTATATCTTGCACTTGCTCTAATTAAAGCTGGCATAACATTTTAAAGTGATTTTTTATGAGTAAGAGAAATGCTTAGCTTCCATTCAGACAAAGTTTTTCGAATCAGTAATACTGTATTTTAATTTAAAAATAAATTGCATTACAGTACTTCATTATTATCATGATTACCTTGGAAATTTTCTTCAAATGGACTGTATTTTAAATCTTGTAGTAGTAAAAAGTGACAAACACAAAGTATAAATAAATATAAACAAAAGTTTGTGAAAACAGGACATTATATAGCAAGTGAGAAATCTTTCACCACAGTCATGCATGACATTCAAAGTAAAGCCACTTATACCCATGCAAGTCTAGGGTATGAACAAATCCATATGTATGTATTACTTTAGTCATCTAGAATAAGCACTTGTAAAGAAGAACCTAACATGATTACTTATTTCAAAAAGCTTGTATCCAAAGCTGCGACCAAAGATGCCGATATCGATCTTAACCCGTGTGGATATCTGGAAGACCTGGAAGGTCTCTCTCAAATGGCAGAGATTAATTTATAATACAGTACGGTTTTTGAGCTTTGCTGCGGGACGTCTATTCACCAATTATGTTCGAGGCATAAAACAGGAAAAAACAGTAAACTGCTTAAAGCTTTTACCTTAATGTCTTATTATAATTAAAAATAGATGTTAGCATAAGGGTATGCTTGGGAGGATTCAGTGTGCAGGATCCTCACCATGACTTCTACACGTTCTCACTGATACATCACGTTAATGTGATTTCTTTGTGCATGTCTACGTGAATTTTGTCACAAACCACCAAGAGATGAATTAACTTTTCTAATCTGAATATTTTGCAAATAGTTTCAGAGATAAATTCTTGAGTTTTACAGCACTGCTATCATTCTCCACACTTTCTACCTTAAGGTAAGAGTGCAAGGGAAGAAGTCTAGTTGAAATACCAACTACCCAACTCTTACTACTAGTCTGGCTGGTTCGGTTGTTTGCTACTTGCGTTCTCTAACAATCTAACAGGAAAGAAGAAATTGGAAAAAATTACAAACAAATTTTTTAACAGTAAACCATACTTCCCAATGTCAATTTTGTTTTTAAATATTCTATTACCCAGTTTATCCTGCATGTGTTAATAAAACATTTATTAAAGACCAGAAATAAACAAATTAAAACGTAAACCAATTAGTACTTTGTGTGTGTGTGTGTACATCTAGGTTGACACGAATGTCAAGTACAACTGCAGGAGTTACATATAAATATCATTCACGACAATTTATGGCTACCTATCCACCCTGTATAGCTACCAGCTAGCTACAAAAATTACAGGCGGTTATCCAAAATCTGAGCCAGTGATCCACTTTTAACATCACAGCCTGCAGCTTTTATCATCACAATCTGCTACTTTAAAAACAATAAAAATTATGAATACAGTGCAGTATGTGCATATGCTGGTGCTCCCGACACATCACACGAAGGAACTACGTTTTTATGGCTAACTTCGTAGGTGAAAAAATGAGTTATAGATGTATGTCAATCTTTTTAGACAGAACCGTCAGTTTGAGACCTAGTTAACGAGGCTTGTCGGATCCAGTTAAGCAAAGCTTTTCCTTCTGTTATGTATCTATGCAGCAAGTTTTTCCGTACTATATCTTTATACGTATTAATACATTTGAATGGTTACTAAATTTAGTTATTATTTATTAAGTCAGACCGTACTGAACAATAATCGGGCAATTTTAGTCAAGAGTGCTTAATTATGGTTCAAAATATACAAAGTGCATATTTGCAAGTATTCAATTTAACGTCTTTATTAATAAAAAAATATAAACTTTTTTATTCTAATTTATGAATATAACAGTCCATTTTTGTTTATTTGACCAAAGAATTGCTGTAAATACTATAATTTCAGGATGGGTTGGTATATCCATATTATAAATCATCACACACATGAATAGAAGAAATACAGAGTTTATTGTACTAATTTGGGAAGCATAACATAATAAAATTGTCATGTAAGACACCAGGAAAGTCATGGTGATGGTCTGGCTAGTCTTCCTCCTCCACTGCCGCTCAAAGCCCATAAATAATCAATTTTGTCAATCTATCCAAGCTTTTTAATAGTAATATACACACACATTAATATAGACAATATAGATGTTAGAAAATAAATTAAGTTTGTGTAAAACAATTGAGGGAGTGGTTACTGATGGCTGGTTGGCTGGCTCCAACCAAAATTTAGCCAAGGAAAGCATAATATATTTCCAATGCACAAATCTATCTGCTATGTTATTATATTAGAAACAATACATTTTTTTTAGAAGAAATATAGTTCATTAACATGAAAACATTATATATTATCAGTATTGTTGCAATAAACGGGCAACAGTGCTAGTTCTGGACAGAACCAATTGCTTCATTTGTAGTATTTGGGAAGGGAAAGGGATACAAATGCTGTACTATGTATACTGCGTAAATAATAAACCTTTAGAATCGCCTACCCTTCAAAGCACTAAATGCCAAGAAATAAAGGTTAAATCTTTGGTAAGATGCTGGCTTCCTGTCCCCACTAAGGCCACTAAAGAAAGATGTTGGGCCACAGGTAAATTCAGGTAAGCATAACTTTTTCAGTAGCCCCCTCCGAGTGATTTCACTGCACAGCCCCCTCTGCACAACCCTGTGGCACTGTCCCCCCCTACACGACTCCACAACATGGCTCACTTTACACGAGTCCACTGCACAACCCCCCTCTGCGTAACTGCATTGCACAGCACCCTCCGAGCGACTCCACTGCACAGCACCTTCCGTGCAACTCCATGGCAGTCTCTGCCATGTGATTACTGCACAATCTCCTCCAGGAAACTCCATCATTGCACACCTGGAATTACTGTGCAATGCTCACCCTCTCTTGGCCCTTTACTCCCTAAAATGACAACAATAATAATGGATGTGAAAACAGTGTAGATAAATGGCCACCATCGTACATCTCTCGTGTATTACGGGAGCAAAAACAAGCATAAGAGAAAAGGCATGCAAATGTTAAACATGCACATCTTGTTAGTCCAATATATTCTAATATTTTATGTCTGATGATCATATACTGTACTGCATTACCTAATGTATACAACTGAACTACTAGACTCCCATCATAAAAACATAAGAAAAAAAATATGCAGTTTAGCTCCTATGAAGTAGCTACCATTTATACCCACCCAAACTCATTCATATATTGTCTAACCTACACTTGAAACACTCCAGCGATCCAACGTTTATGTTGCCCAGTCACCCCTGCAACGGTCATTACGCCTTACCTGTATCTGACTTTGACATCTCCTCCACAATATTCATTAATGACCAGCTTGATGAGGAAGAGATGGAATATCACAATAAGCGCAATAATAGTTAACCAGAATATCGTGGGCAATCCTCCCCACTTGTGGCCGTGCTTGTGCATGGCTATCACATGGTGCTCATGGGCGGGGGCTGAAAACAAAACAAAAAACTAACTTAATATTTGAAATTAAAAAAATAAATATTTTATACAGTACAGTGCATCAGAATAAGGGTAGAGAATCATCAGCTAACAACTTTCCTTGTTCATGTGTATTTGGCTAAAATAACTCAACAATTACTGTGTAACAAAAAATCTGGTTTTTAACACTTTCGCGCTTTAGATTAGAGATAACTCGTCACCGTTTTTTCTTACGATTCCGCATAACAGCCTACTTTTCTCGTCCATCGAAAAAATATTTCTATAAATTCCATTTTTTAACCGAAATGGATGGGGATACTTGTGTTTTGTAGAGAATTTATTTGCGAATTTTTTGGCACCAGAATGAATATTATATCACATAAACTTCTATGAGTAAAAAAAAAAATACACAAAGTATGTTTGGGGGTGTGGCGAGCGTGTGGCAGTGGGTTCCCTTTAGCCGTTGATATATCCAACACGTGGGAAATATTTGTATGTGTTATGTATATGTCTGTGTAGGGAATTTTACTGCGATCACTGTCATACAAATTATAAAATGTTTCAACAAGTATAAACATAACAAACATCAAACGAACGAAAACAATGCGTTCGTTTCTGCCGCGAACGCATACTGAGCGACGTGGTTCTATATTTGGCGCTTCTCTTACACATGCTTTGTACAAATGTTATACAGTTCATCTTATAGAAAATTTTATTGCGAACACATTGGTATAAAAAAGAAATACGTACATAGAAAAGTAGGGTCAGGAAACGTATAAACTTTCCAAGCATGATTTCCCCCCTGTGTTTTCGCCAGTGCGCTCGCGGCTAACTACTCTCCACTTCACACACTCTTGCGGGTGGGCAATTACCTATATTAAACATTCATATGCATATGTCCGTGTAGAGAATTTTATTGCGATTCCAATGATACCAAAATCAGCGATGTAGGACAACTGTAGGCTTCGCAACCATTAAGAGAGTGGAAACATTTTGTTGCTGTTTGGCGCTCTCGGCGAGTGATCTGCATAGTTTTTTATTTGGTGTTGATACTCCTTATGGTTGGGCGGCATTTTATAGGTATGCTCTTATAGACAATTTCATTGCGAACACAGTGATACCAAATTTAAATACGGGCGCCTTCAATTATTGTCAGGACAGTCAAAAGAGTGTACACTTTTTCGGTCTTACCGCGTAGGCGCGCGAAGTGCTGAAAGCATCTGGGGTATTGTTTTTTTTTGAGCGCCGAGAGCGCGAAAGTGTTAAAAGTTCAAATCTTTTAACTCTCAGAATATCATTAAAACAAGAACAAAGATCAATGATAATGATGGTATCAATCCATTTTGACTTTGTAAATTTAGAACAAAATAATGGAAATGAATCTGTTAATAAAAAAATATTAAAAGTCTCTTATTACTGGGTATACTGTATATTACTGGAAAATACAAAATACTAAATGACATTAAAACAGTGAATGACAACTCACAAGAAGCACTGAATATCTGGGCTTAGGAAGTAATGGAGGTGCTGCTGTAGAGGATTTTTAGTGTAGTTATTTTTGTTTAAATGTGACGAGATAGTGTGAATGTTATAATTGTTTGTATGAATTAAAATTGTCTTTTTAACACCTATAACTTTCATTCCTCATCCAGTGTTACAGTACTCACCTCTTTTCTTCTCACTGTTGCCTGAACACTAAGGGGAAAACCAGACAATGATTATGGAAATCAATGTCAGACACATTTTACGAAACCCATGATATGGTTGACACTACCGGGGATAATTTGCTAGTGTGGTGGCACTACCTGCAGATGGTGCCTGTGGTGGGCACTACCTGCAGATGGTGCCTGTGGTGGGCACTACCTGCTGATGATGCTTGTGGTATGGTGCTCCATTTCTTAAACTTTAAAAAGCACACACAAAGGAAAATGTCAACAATAAAAGAGTTGGATCTTCTAATGTGCATTACTCAGAAGCGAATTACGAAAGGTCAAATGTCCATTTTAGCAAGTTTATTCCTCTTTTCCTACCATCCTTTTCCTGATTTTCCGCACAAGAGCTCCCAAGCACTACAAGAACATGACTAATGAAATGAAGATGACTTACATACAACTGAATTAATAGAATAATCTGATATACTGATGTAAAATCTTTCTATAACTACTCACCTACTGCTATTTCTTTGACGTGTATGGTGTGTTTGAGTTCTTCCATGTGGACCTTGTCAGAAGTAATATACAAGATGGCAGTCACAGGCTCAGTGAGCTTCACAGGGAATGCCTGCCTGGCTTGTCTGTAATGTGCATAAATGGTAAGCATCATGGGACAAATGTTGTACATATATATATCCCCCAACTGCTAACAATGATATATTACACACACACACACACACACACACAGTCAAGAGAATTACAAAAGTATTACAACATGTAAGTACTATCAAACAGAACCGTGAGATACAGTGGTATCTCCATTTATGAATTGAATCCGTTCCCAGAGACTGGTCGTAACTCGAAACAAATTTTCCCCATTAAAAATGATGTAAATTAAATTAATCCATTCCACACCCCCAAAAATATTAACTTAAAACTACATTTTATACCGAATACCACTCCTTTTGTACTAGCTACGATACAGTATGTATATCTTACCTGCAGTGAGGACTCTTGTTGGCATGCGGAAGATGGTGAGGACGGGGGTGGGGGGAGGAAGAGAGGTGTTACTACTGTATTTGGAAGGGAAGTCCCTTTCTATTATAACATCAGGCAGTGATAACTTCTCTGGGGTACTCTCTCTCTCCTACATTTTGCAGGCATACCACTAGGACCTGGTTGAGGCTCACTGCTTGCTTGTCTTAAGAATCTGTCTAAAGACACTTGTTTTTCCCTACATTTTAACACTTGTCATAGTGAAACATCACATTGTCAATTAGAAGGTCAATGCAATGGCCTGCTACTGCTTATTTAGGCGAGTTTTTTCAACAAAACTTTGCAATTCTTCCCATACGTCACACATTTTCTTAATGAGGAAGAAACATTCTCTACTGCCTCACAACTATTTTCTTAGGCTGATCCTTACCATTGACTCTCACATTGCACATAAAAAGTTTTTCACCTGTGTGTTTTCAAATGGCTGATCAGGATTTTACAAAGAAATTGGGCTCGTATGCCAAAAAGTTCGTAAAGAGGGGTATTCATAAGCTGAGGTGTCACTGTATTCAGCATTGCTACCCCACTTACTATAATAAATCTCTAACTGTGCTGTCTTCACCTTCCTGACCTCATCCTTCCCACTTTTTTTTATTTATAAGTACTGGCCGTGTGTATCGCCATTAGATTTGATAAAGCCATTAAGAGGTGAAACATTATCTTTATTTAAAGTCTACTCTCAACTTGTTAAGTTCACATGTGAAGCACACACAGCCTTCAGACTTTGTGTTCCTGTTTCTTTGATCACACCTTTGGTCTAACCAAATTCCTGCACCAACTTAAGAATGCGTTTTAAACACTGGTACGATTACCATACACTTAACAAGTAATATTGGAAATGTTTCTATGAAAAACCTCCCTGTATTATTACAGGTTTCTGTTTATGCCTAATATATATATTACCAAATTTGGCATGTTTCATATCACCTAAGAGGACATTTAACAAATAAACAAATTTTTAACTGATTTCAATTTGAAAGAATAGCAACATTGCTAATACACTTGGGAGCTGCATTAGTGTAACCAATACACATTAGCCAATTCTAGATAAAAAAAATTTGACACTTAAAATTGACACTGGTAACCTTAAAGTCACGATAGAGGGTAACTGCATGTTGTTTCTAAATACATCCAAGTGCTTACTTGAGTTCAACGGGCGGGTCGAGACAACCAGCATCACACGCATAATAATTTTTGTCAGATCTGTCAAGGGCAGTGTAGATGATGGCTTTATAGTCCTCTTCTTGCACCATTACAGAGATATTTAGATGAGTTGCATTGCCATAGCTCAGCCTCCTATAAAACATTACAATATTAAGAAAATATTTCCTTTACCAAATGAGTACAAGACAATTCTTCCGTAAATTCATCCATACTGGGTATAATGAAAATATTGAGGCACACAAATCAAACAGAACAGAATTTAAAAGAATAAATTTGCAAGGAACTCTACAACTCTTAACAAGCGCTCAAATTTGTACAATAAGTTTATGCAACATTCACTTTTTAGTCAAATATTTTCTGTATATTTGACTAGATATATAGTAAATATTGCAACTTTCAAATAGATTTGTTTATATTCCATTCACAATTTATCTTTAAAAATTCTAATTGCTTTTACAAATTTAATATCTAAAGCCCATCAGCATAATGAACTACTCTAACTTCTCTTTCAATACGGACTCCAGTACTTTGAAAAGGTATTCCTTCTGACTAAATATATATAATACTTTTAGATGTCTATATAGAAAATTCCCATTCAAATAATTGCACCTGAAGTAATAATCTCTGTGAAGGTCCCTTGGGTGAGTGTTAAACTCCAGGTGTTGGTTTTTGAAGCGCATACCCCCGAAGCTGAGCAGCATGGCTTGCATGATACCATTTGCTCCAGCACGCACCAGCTGGTGACAACCCTGAAACAAACACGTAACATATGTAAGAATTCAACAGAAGCACATCTGAACTAAATTTATTCACCCAAGAGCATCTGTATGAGTGCACTTGCAGATGTTTTGTTAGATGATAGAGAGAGTGGGTAACCAGCACTCGTTGCAAACAAAAATCACTTGCCAGGTGGCAAACTTTTCCCTGTGTGCAAGATCCCAGACCCTCTCTCCCTACAGCAAATACAATATTACTCACTCTGGCTACGTAACAGTGCATTAGCTCCTTGTGCAGACGAGGAGTCACAATAACGTGGCTGAAATATGTTGACCAAACCACACACTAGAAAATGAAGGGACGACGATATTTTGGTCTGTCCTGGACCATTCTCAAGTCGATTGTGTGGGACACAATCACAAGCCACACAATCGACTCAAGAATGGTCCAGAACGGACCGAAACGTCGTCGTGCCCTCCCTTTCTAGTGTGTGGTTTGGTCAACATTAGCTCCTTGTCAAATAGAAATCAACAAATTAGCAAAATTTATTTCTAGTAAAAAAGCATTATAGGTAAAAACTCTTTTACCTCCAAATTTAGTACATATAACAAAAGGAAATTTTAAATAGCAAATTTACTACAGTACTTTCTGAAGCTAATATTGAATGCTGAATTTTATCAGTGCACAGCTTTACTAAAAATCACATAATACCTTTCATGGAAATAAAACCAATCAAAGAAATTTTCAAATACCTCCCTTCCCTTAGCTACCTTTCCCTTCTACTGCTTTATTACATGTGCTGTACATTCATGACCACAGTCAGGTGAATGGTCAAAACTGTCCACACCAGAGGGGTCCCTGAGCTATCAACTTCCAACCCTATAACCTCACCAAGCTGGGCAACAATGTGGCCCAATAAATTATTATTATTATTATTATAAAGTTTTATTATTTTTATTTGCCTCTTTACCTTGCCTTGAGGTTACCTTGAAGTGCTTCCGGGGCTTAGCGTCCCCGCGGCCCGGTCGTTGACCAGGCCTCCTGGTTGCTGGACTGATCAACCATGGCACCATGGAGCCTTGACTACAAGTCAAACCAAGTCAAACTTTAAGGGGAAAATAGCGAACACAAGAGTGGCATAACCCACCTGCTTTTCTAGAGTGACCATCCAATACCCCACGACTGTATTGACATCGTCCACAGTGTCAAGACGGGACCACAGACGCTCAGCTTGGCTATATAGGAAAAAAAAAAATGTCAATAATACGGGAATGTTCTACAGTATTCCCAACATATCTTTTAAAGTCTTGCTGCATTACTTAGGCTAGGTCTTTTTACCAGTAAAGAATCTTTGAACATTCTGTATCTGCAGATCTCTCGGCTATTATGTATCTTGTATACATAATCCCTAATTATTCCATCTCATTTCATTGTCTTCCAGCTGTTTATGGATAAGTTCGCTTCCATAACCATCACCTCTAGTTCATTTCACATGTTTGATCCTTCTATATGCACTAAATGGCAAAGTTTTTACTTTGTGGCAATCTCTTCCATCCTGGCTATTTCTACCCTCCTGACAATCTCTTCCATCCTGGTAGTCTCTTCCATCCTGTCAATCTCTTCCATCCTGGTAGTCTCTTCCATCCTGGCAATCTCTTCCATCCTGGTAGTCTCTTCCATCCTGGCAATCTCTTCCATCCTGGTAGTCTCTTCCATCCTGGCAATCTATGAACTTCATATAATCCCTGGTAATTTCTACTCCTCTCACTCTCTTACTATATACTCTCAATCTCTGTTCCCCTGATATTTTTTATTACCAGTTTCTTTCATAATACCCAGTGCAGTAATTTACACACAATGAGCTTATTCATTATTCCGTCACCATGAATCATAAATAATGATACCTGAAATGCTGTGTGTATTAGTGGCCTTAGGTTTAGATTATATACTTGCTGTACCAAGAAATCCAACATTCTTCTTGTCTCCCATTTTGTATGTACTTTTCCCAAAATGATTATTATTATTATTATTATTATTACAGTATTTCTTACTTTATTAACACTTTACACTAACATTCATTTACACTTTAAGCTGACAACCTGCAACTTGACACCCTGACTCCCTGCCTACTACTATAGTCAAACAATATTGATCACATCAATTCAAAATATTCTCATTACTTCTCCCAACTTAACAACACCTATTCTGTCATTTAACAGTTGAACTCTTTTTTTCAGTTACTCAATACTGCACTACCTCAGAAAAGGGATAAATATCATAAGAGCTGAAAAGTGCCATAGCACCCTAAGATAGTGGCCCATTTCACAAGATGGCTGTGCATTAGACAAAATAAAAGAAAGCATTTTATTTAATTTTTGGATTACTGTGGCAATATACAAACAGTAAGATATTACTGCACTGATTTCATAGCCAATGGCTTTGGTTCAATATTTTATGAGATTTCACATAACTTAATTACAAAGGTAGCTAGTAAGTTGACTTCATACACACACATAACTTAAGGTTATCTCGAGATGATTTCGGGGCTTAGCATTCCCACGGCCCGGTCCTTGACCAGGCCTCCTTTTTGTTACACACCCCCAGGAAGCAGCCCGTACCAGCTGTCTAATTCCCAGGTACCTATTTACTGCTAGGTAACAGAGGCATCAGGGTGAAAGAAACTCTGCTCATTTGTTTCCACCTCCACTGGGGATCGAACCCAGAACCTCAGGACTACGAATACGAAGCGCTGTCATTCAGCTGTCAGGCCTCCATATATGGAGGGCAGAGGTAAAGATGATTGTGGGTTTGGTTAAGGCCAAGTGCTGGGACCCTTTAATCATTCTGCACTATGTACACATGTTAGTAAGAATACACTGATCAAAATCTATACAAACTTAAGCAACAAAATACTCACAGGGTTTGATGACCACCATAACAACCTTCGGCATATGCTATATCACGCAGAATAGAGGCTCTCCGATCTTCAGTGGTCAGTACCTCATACAATGGTGCCGGCGCCTGATAAATGAGACCAATAGTTCATTTGTAAACAAAATAGAGATTATGATAAAATGCATTATAAACAACAAGAAATTTTAAAGAAAAATTAACAAAATATAATAAATTAGTCACATGCCTGAGACAAAACATGGTAGAGGGTGGTGTTGATAAGATCACCATTCAAGGCATTCTCAGCTTTTGAATGGCTAATGCCAAATCCGGAGGACCACAGCTCTTTCCAGACTTTTGAGTGGTCATTACGAAGTTTTTTTATGTTTCCAGTAACTGCTCTTCTCAATGCCTGTAAAAAGGGTCATAATTACATCACATTAAAAGTTCTTTTTTTTTTTTTACCAGCAAATTATCAAGTCAATGCCATATGATAATTTGTATAATGATTATTTTTTATTTATTCAAGATTAACATCAATTTAACTACAATTTAGTTTTTACCAGCCTTTCAGAAGTCATTCACCTAGTTAAAGATACAAAAAGTCAATTAGTGACAGTGATAGACATAAAGCAAATAGTAAGGTAGGTTAAACAGCCACACATACAGCATTTAGGATCACAACTGCAGCTGTACTCTCACTACTTAAGCCCACCCTCAACACCTTTGTTAACTTGACCGCTTGGTCTAGTCGAGAGGGTTTTCAATTTGTAAATCAAGTATCTACCCACTGATATGGCATAATTGTCTGGATTTGGAGCAACTTATCCAAATACATAGCCATTGTCAAACACACTGGCAACTGATTCCATCCTCAACTCAGTAGGGATGAAATACATATCAAGCTTCACAAAATACTAAAATAAAGCTATTGATCACAAATTCAGGATGAATATCATAGTCTACCAAGACCTCTCCGTCTCCAAAAACCCTTAATTCTCCACATTAGCCTTTAAGTCTTTGTCAGTTTTTCTTGACAATAAATCATGTAGGTAAGCAAAGTCTGAAGAACAACCTTCCCATTAAATGGTCTGTATTGTGTAAAAACAATGTTGAGCCCAACAATGCGTTACTTACAGCAAGTGCCCCTTGTGTAGCTATATCTTTGGCAGTTGCATAAGCCTTCTTTGGGACAGGCTCCGAATAGTTGACTGCTGTTACAATGTGTAGTGCTATTGACTTCTTGGCTTCTATCTGTAACATCAGAGATGAAAATGTAAGGTTAATATCTTTCCTTCCAACGAAAATCATGAAGATAAACTAAACAATATAATTTATATAATTTTAAAATGGGTTAATATAAATTTGTTTGGAATAATAGATTATAATGAAATCACTTTTTAAATTCAGCTACACAATATCCTGCCTTTTTCTGTACAGTAAGTTATGAATGAGACATTGCTTTATTCCTCTAGATCAATTTTACTTTCCAATGTGATGAAATGAAATGAGACATGGCTTGTGTGAAGTGCCACATGTCACATTTGTCAGAGCATTTTTCTCACCTCTAATTACCATCCACTTACTCTCTCCTTCACGTGCATAAATAACCGAGCAAACAAATTATTCTACACATTTGTATTCCTCGATAGCAGGAACACCGACTACCCTGAGCCGGTAGGGAGCCAGTCGGCCGAGCGGACAGAACACTGGACTTGTGATCCTGTGGTCCTGGGTTCAATCCCAGGTGCCGGCGAGAAACAATGGGCAGAGTTTCTTTCACCCTATGCCCCTGTTACCTAGCAGTAAAATAGGTACCTGGGTGTTAGTCAGCTGTCACGGGCTGCTTCCTGGGGGGTGGAGGCCTGGTCGAGGACCGGGCCGCGGGGACACTAAAGCCCCGAAATCATCTCAAGATAACCTCAAGAAGATAACCCTTATGTGACAGCCAACATGCATTATTAATCAGTGATAAACACTAAACACCCCTTAATGAAGAGAACAGTATGAACAACTTACTGTATTCACCAGCGTATAAAGCTGCATCACCATTTTACGAAGTTCATTTTACAAAGTTTTTTAGAAAACAAAAGACTTGTACTTTCATCATGTACAGTATACTATATTTTGAGTGATTTAAATTGGGTTTGTAGGAGAAAACTTGTTTGCTTATGTAAATATAGTACACTGTACAGTATGTTCAAATTTACTAGGAAATGAGAACAGTGCGCATCTGCCACAAACTGGTATGCTGCTGCTCTACTTCAAAAAGTTATAGAACATACATTAAGCAATTTTCCATTTTTCTAATGTACTATAAAGGAATCGTGTGTAATCATTCTGGTGTCAAAATTATAAACATACAACCATTGTTTGTTGCACCAACTTGAATAATCATCTACATCTTAAAAGGTAGATGATTATTCATCTACCTTTTAAGATGGGACTGGCAGAGGTAGACTCTCTGCCAGTCTTCTCTCTCACTGACTCTTCTTCCCTTCCCCCCCCAGGAAGATGCTACATTTACCCACCTCCTCCCTACACCACCAGCAAAGTTTTGTTCTCCTTGCAATAACTCATTTTTTTATGGATTATCAAGTCAATTTCATTGTGTTTATTATTTATTTATTTATGTCAAGATTGCTTGAATAGCTTATTTATTTGGTGTGAATACTTATTGTACTTACAATGGCATCATCAATTATTGAAGGCCATTTGCATTTTAAAAGCGAGTGAATCCACGAGGGTTCGCTCTTCTCTCCCAACTACAAAATTCTCTGCCACTTTTTACTTTAAAACTCCCACACATATATGGGGGGAAAAGTACATTGGCTTCTTCCTCAGGCCTCCAGTAACCATTCCACATTTTGAAAAAGATTCCCGAGTCCCTCACTTTCCATAGTAGGAAAATGAGGACCATGTCTGGATCATCACCATCCAGTGTCTGGATACGCAGGGTACCCATACTAGGAGCCATTAAACTTTTAACAGCAAAATGAGTGATTACATACTTACAGGCAAATTGTGTGCTATTGTATATGCAATTATAAGATTTAGGCTTATAAAAAATACACGAATCAATCAAAATATATAAAGTTATTCCCATGCGGATCCTCACCTCATGTCTACTGAAAAAAAATGCAAATTCTCTGAGCTGTTATATCTAAACCACAAGAGATAGGGACTTTTTACTTGGATTTTTGTGCTTTCTGGATGCTAAAGAGCAATATCAAATGAAAAATAATGTTTTCAGAACAATGTTTTTTGTGCGCACCACAGGAGTGTCACACAAAACAGGTGCTCCGTGCAGGGGGTTAACACAAGCACATTGGATGCAGGGTCATTTTTTACACATTCCAAGGGAAAGGAAGGGGGGATTTATACGACAAATATGATAAATTTAAATCACACCCTTACAATCTTTTGAAACTTTTATACAGTATGCTGAAACAGGACTGTATAAAAACAGTATGCAGAAACAGGACTGTATATGTACCCTACTGTATAAAAAACCGTCCTTCAAAATTGTCTACCGGAGCACATTTAAATACACCAGGAAAAAAAGTTGTAAGAGAAAAATGATCTCCCAACTTCTAAGTTCATGTTTGCCTGTGTAGCCACAGTAGTCAGTATTTGATGCCTTTGTAAAGATTGTGCAACTGAATATAAGCAAATATTTAGGCTGGCCAAGTAACGTACATACATACCTCTCAGAATAGCACAGGGAAAAAATTTATATGATAACAAATTTTCTTTAGAAAATTACATACAATTCCTTCCACTCTAAAAGCACTTGGAACATGGCCCAGAAAGAGCATCCACCGGGCTTCATGTAAGAGACCTTCCCCTAGATCACTCTCATGCATGCTTCTGCCATGTGAACCATCACCCATCCTACCAGATTCCTCTCATACATGTCTCCCATGTAACACCCCCCTCCCTCCCTACCCACACACACACACTTTCAAAGCGTTATATGAAAAAGAATGCTGGGAAGACGGGACACCACGAGCGTATCTCTCATCCTGTAACTACACTTAGGTAATTACATGCCTCTGCCATGTAAGACCTTTCCTTTCCCCAGACCCTTCCCATGCATGGCTGCCACATAGTACACCCGCCACTTCCCTAGATCTTTTCCATATACAATAGAATGGGGGGGGCTCCATATATTCCTCTGCCATAATGATCACTGCTCTACCATTACATAACAGCAAAAAGCTTTTGCTTCGTACTACTGTACCATATTTATAATATAATGCCACATTTGTAATAAGCTCACCTGTAAGCTGGAGGGGACCTTATATGACACTATTGAGACAGGAATGGCATTTGAGTTTGGCAGCTCCACACTTCCTGACACTACCAGATATTCATGTTCACCTTCACCATGTTGTAATCTGAAAATGATAAAGTTGCATACCATTTTTACTTTAATATTAATAATAATAATAATAAATTTGCATAGCATATTCACAATAGTTAATTTTTACTCTATAAAAATTCCTGTATTTCTGAAATTCAATTAGTCTTCTAGGATTATCCCTAAGAGAGAGGATACTGTCATACAATGTTCCCTGGAGTACTGTGGTTGTCATACATTGGTCTCGTTATCATCCAATCTACTGTATATTCATATGATATCAATATTGTTATAATACATCTATATGATGTAGAACCCCAAGCACAAATACCATAGTTGAGATAAGGATAGATGAGGGAGTAATAGAGCGTCACCAGGGCAGGGCGAGGTACATAATATCTTATCTTAGAAAGAATGCCAACAGTTTTTGAAACTTTTTTTGATATATTTAGAATATGTCCCTGGAAATTCAGCTTGTGGTCAATGAGAACGCCAAGGAATTTGCCATCTACTGTGATACAAATTTGGGTATTGTTTATCCTGAGATTTATTTGATTCGAGGATTTATTGCCAAACAAAATCTAGAAAGTTTTGTCAATGCTGAGGGCGAGTTTGTTGGCAGTTAGCCAAATATGGACTTTATTTAGCTCAGTATTCACTGTGACATTTAGAGCAAGGGGGTCAGGATTGGAGTAAATGAAGGTTGTGTCGTCAGCAAATAGAATGGGTTTGAGGTGTAGGGAGGCATTTGGAAGGTCATTAATGTAAATGAGAAAGAAGAGAGGGCCAAGTATGCTGCCCTGAGGAACACCAATGTTGATGGGTAGGGTGGGAGAAATTGAATTATTCACACAAACATACTGGAGCCTGTCAGTAAGGTAATGTAATATATTTTATGTCTAGGCCTTTGTAATTCAGTAATTATTATCTTAATTTTGTATTTTTTTAAAACACACCCCAAAGCAAGAACAAAAATTAATATAAATGTTACGTATCAGAAATTAATGATTACTGTACTGTACTTACTAACTTACTTACTTTATAGTTTCAGTAGTTGCTGTGGGCCAGTCTCCAAGCCCCATCTGTTCTACATCCACAATTGCATCCTGATCAGTTGGGTTGAAAACCTAGGAAACAAAAATTATAACACATTAGATACAAAAATTCAGGCAATGAGGTAGTGAAAAAGTCCCGTCTGAAAGGACACATTGTTAGTCCTACAAGGTTTTGCAGGTCCCATATAGTAGGCATGCACTAGCTCAACAAGGGTCTTTGCCTCCATTCCTGTTGGGTCATACTTACACAAAGGAGGTTATCTTGAGGTTATCTTGAGATGATTTCGGGGCTTTAGTGTCCCCGCGGCCCGGTCCTCGACCAAGCTTCCACCCCCAGGAAGCAGCCCGTGTCAGCTGACTAACACCCAGGTACCTATTTTACTGCTAGGTAACAGGGGCATAGGGTGAAAGAAACTCTGCCCATTGTTTCTCGCTGGCGCCTGGGATCGAACCCAGGACCACAGGATCACAAGTCCAACGTGCTGTCCGCTCGGCCGACCGGCTCCCTCTAGGCCAGAGTAACTTTTAGAAAGTTCATTCTTGGGCACTCAAAAGTCTTTCCAAATACAACTTGGCATAAGATTGCAAGCAACACTCGCACCACAGTTACCTTGCCGAGTTGCTGCTCCCAACAAACTTGGTGGCAGCATCAACACGTTTAACAAATGAATACAATTTGGAAATATTTAAAAGACAACCGTGTGCTGTAATGTACTACCTAGAGTGTACTCAGTGATGAAATTAGGCCCAATGCCTTGGAATACAGAAGCAGGATTTAGAATTTTAACTACTGCATTACAGAGAGAATCGGTGATTGATGTATTTTTTTCTTGAATGAATGCTTCCAACGAGGTTAAATGTATTTTAAATATGTCAATATGAACCATAGTATTAATGTTCACACAATTACATGACTCGCACGACAGACGGATGGGTTGTATAAAATACAAATTTTAAACACAGTACAACTTTTGGTAGTAAAAGTAGGTTATTATATTTTTAAATAATATCACTAAAATATACCTATATGGTCTTCAAATTGTTAATATTTTTATTTTTAAACATTGCAGCACAATAACTACCAGTATGTGTGTGTGTGTGTGTGTGTGTGTGTGTGTGTGTGTGTGTGTGTGTGTGTGTGTGTGTGTGTGTGTGTGTGTGTGTGTGTGTGTGTGTGTGTTTTAATTTTTATTTATTATTTATAATATTTATTATAAAAATTTATTATTCATAATATTACCTTGATATCTTGAAAGAGCAGGGATGGCATTGATCGATGTGCATAGGTCTGGTAGGTTATATCCAAGGGCCCAATGCCTGGTTGGTCCCATGACTGTATGCGGTGAACTATGCCTGTGGTATATTCTGTCACAATGGCTTCCTTCACTGTCATACCTATAAAACAATAACATTTCTATATAAAATATATACTCTACTGACTTTTTTTATGAAATTGAAATAAAAACTATCAAAATGAAAGCACAAATTTAGGGGGAATAAAATGACTGACTGCCTGTGTCAAGGATAGGTTGAAGGGAAGTAATACTACCTGTCAAACTAAATAAATTTCATGGCCAAGAATTATACAAAACACTTGGAAAATACTAGTTATGCAACACTACTACACAAAATCCTAGTTCCAATCTGCAGGAACGAACAAGCAAACGCCTGAACTTATTAATTATACCAGTAACCCCACTAAGCTCTTTGCCTGGGTATATCACCGAGCTACGTGTGGCAATAACACTTAATTCCTACTAACACATGTAAGCTAAAAGCTTAACTAAACATAAGACACTATGTATTAATCACTTCAGAGCACTACCTAAATTTCTTGATTCTACAACACCATATTAGTGGAAGATCAAGGAATACTCGGGTGTACAAATAGCTGAGTGAGCGAAACAGGTCCAGCCAGTTTGATATTCCCTGCTCCACTGTTTTAAATCTCTGGCAGGAGCAGGGGCAGCCCAGTCCCTGTGGTGTTGCCAAAGTTCATTAATGGCCTGGGAGGCCTGGTCGACGACCGGGCCGCTGAGCCCCGGAAGCACCTCAAGGTAACCTCAATGTATGGCCAAGTGTAAGCAAGTTAATAATTGACAACATTACTTGTCACAGTACCTAACCCCAACTTGTATAAGGAATAGTTCTATTACAGAAAACCTTCGCATAATGTGTGATAGTTCACTGAAAACTGAGGCTATGCATCTGTCCCTGTAAATGCAGTTGAAAAATTGGCAGTGCCGCTCCTCTCAATTCTGTCTGGGAAAATACTCTGCCCAGCTCTAACCCGTGATGGTTAGTTACATGAATGACAAAGGTGTAACTATCGCCTCATTAATCACTCTTTATAAATAACAAATTGATTTTCAATATATAAATGTAATTCATAACTGCTTGATACCTGGTATGCAAATTAAACACAAGCCTAGCTATATTTGACATTTCATTCTCTAGTACAATCTTGTTGTCTCCAAAATGTATGTAACCTTATTATAGTTTACCTATAATATGTCTATTAAACACTTCTATGTAAATTATGAGAAATATGAAATCTACTGTAAATATTCAAATTAGAACATTAGCATAATCTGTTAAATTGACACATAGCAGGCCATTACACTATTACTTATTACATTTGCATACACACAATGCTAAAGTTGGATACAACATGTCACCTTAGTGACATCTTTAATAAATCAGTAACTTTCTTGTATAAAAATTACATATGCAAATTATGGGCACTTCTAACTTATGTTTATGGCCAAGCCTAAGTTTAGTCCCTAACAGGGTTTAAATTTATATTTTAATCAGAACCTTCAGGTTGTCATTACACATGAGTAAATTGTAAGGCTTGATTATTGGAAAATGAGCGCATCATTAAATAATTTATTGCATACTTCCTATAAAAAAAAGCATAAATGAACATAAGAACTTTATGTGGGGGACAAAACTTGTATTGTACTGATACTGGTAATCACACACTGAATATGATACACTAGGGGCCTGGTAGCCTGGTGGATAGCACGCATGACTCGTAATTTTGTGGCGCGGGTTCGATTCCCGCACCAAGCAGAAACAAATGGGCAAAGTTTCTTTCACCCTGAATGCCCCTGTTACCTAGCAGTAAATAGGTATCTGGGAGTTAGTCAGCTGTCATGGGCTGCTTCCTGGGGTGGGTGTGTATGTGTGTGGTGTGGAAAAAAAAAAAAACAGTTGATTGACAGTTGAGAGGCGGGCCGAAAGAGCAAAGCTCAACCCCCGTAAACACAACTAGGTGAATACTATTCATTCCTCAGTATTTGTACACACACTCAAATGAGGGCCTTTACAGGACAGGAAATGTAATGAAACGTTTTTTCACTGGCAACAATTGAGTGGCAGTGTGGATAGTGTTGTGATCCCTTGTGTAGGAGTCTGGGTCAGGTATGAGTTCCCAGCTGTCAATGGCAGAACACATTCCTTGGCAAGTATGCTTTCTAATTGTATTTATATTCTATATACATATTGGAAATGCTCATGACTTGGTAATAGGCAACTTGGACAAAATTTTGTATTAGCCAATGTAGGTGCAAAAATAATTTACAAGAAAAAATTGTCATCATTTATCATCGTATATATTACAATTCTATCCTTCGTGGGAACAAGCCTGTCCATAGTGTGCCACAGGCAAATGATTAAATGGAAGGTTTCAATTGGCTTATTTAGAGGAAATACAAAGTATATAATATTCCCTAAATAGTTATAGAATACCTATAAGCAATATTGTATAGAAAATTAAATATATCAAATCTTACCATCCAGAGAGACCAGGGTGACAGGGCGGAAATTGATGGGTAATGATAGTGTTCTTCCATTTCTAATGTAAATTGGGCTATCTTGGTCCATTGTGACAGCAATATGACCGTTGCCAACATATGGAAGGTACGGCTGCTCTCCTGGCAATGCGGGAGTGTGTAGGACATGGGCATCATTCTCTTGAGATGCTTGCCAAAACCGGTCTAGACGTAAGGAAAGGCTTCTAGTGGCTGAATCTGAAAATAAAATTGCAAATATTATATTGATGGAAAAATCTGACAATCTCTTTAACATAAATCAAGTATTGTAGTAAATTATTCTAGTTTTTGGACCACACCCTCCCCTCCCCTTACTATGCAAGGTTGACCATGTATTTAAATATGACTGGTGAAAATATAGCATTAAAATCTTTATTTAACAAGTTTCTTGAAAATAACCATGTCCCTCACCCCCCCCTCAGTGTGTTGTAAAAAATACAAATGTACACAAATACATGTGCATAGCCAAATAAAAGTACAGTTAAATACTTCCCTGTTCTATTCAGTTGTTGGCAAGGAAACCAAGCCCAGGGGCAATGTATGAGCTAACTTGCAAATACTTCCAGTTCCTGCCATTAGTGTAATTACTCAAGTGTAATTACAGGATGAGAGGTATAATCATGGTGTCCCATTTCCCCAGTTCTCTATAATATGATGCTTTGAAGCTACTAATTGTAATGGCAGCCACCATCTTCCCATTTAACCTTCTCCAACCATCTACAACTCGGGTTGTAAAAAAAATATACATGTTATTTTTTCAACACCTTTACATTTAATTTATTTATTTATTTACATTTTCCTTTGCTTGAATCTATAACCTTTAATTGAAGTTACAGGTTTAAAAACTCCTCCTTGTCCATTTTGTCAATACAGTACCTGTTATTATTTTGTGTGTAGTGATCATATTGCCTCGTTTCTTTTTGCCTTGATATGTTTAATGCCTCAACCTCTACCCATAATTCATGCTCTTAAGTTCTGGGAGCCACTTAACATATCTTTGTACTCATTCTAATTTGTGTGCTTTCTGAGATATAGACACCACACCATTGCTGCATATTCCAATTTTGGTCTTACAAATTATGTGAACAGGTTCTTTAATGTTTCTCCATCCATATACTGTATTTAAAAGTAGTTCCGAAATTTGCTAGCGTAGCATACACACTTCTCTCAATGCCTTTTATATGGTCATCTGGTGATAGCAAACTGTCCAGAATCACTCCTTGATATCTTTCACTGTAATTACCTAAGTGTAGTTACAGGATGAGAGCTACAGGTACGCTCATGGTATCCTGTCTTCCAAGCACACTATCATATAACGCTTTGAAATTCCTGACAGTTTTGGCCTCCACCACCTTCTCACCTAACTTGTTCCAACCATCTACCATTATTTGCAAAAGTGAATTTTCTTATTTCTTTGGCAGCTTTGTTTAATTTAAATATATGATCTTTTGTTCTTGAAGTTGCAGGTCTCAGGAATTCTTCCATATCAATTTAATCGATTCCTGTTACTATTTTGTACGTAGTGATCATATCGCCGCTTTTTCTTCTATCTTCTAGTTTTGGCATATTTAATGCCTCTAACCTCTCCTCGTAGCTCTTGTCCTTCAGTTCTGAGAGCCATTTTGTTGCATGTCATTGCACTTTTTCCAGTTTGTTTATGTACTTTTTAAGATATGGGCACCACACAAACACTGCATATTCCAGCTTTGGTCAAACAAAAATCGTGAACAATTTCTTTAGCATTTCACCATCCATGTACAGTATTTAAAAGCGATTCTTAAATTAGAAAGTGTAGAACATCGGCTCCTAGCACGATATTCTTTATGTGGTCCTCAGGTGATAGTTTTCTATCTAGAACCATGCCTAGATCTCTTATTTTTATCAGAATTCTTTAAAGAATTCTCACATAATTTATAGGATGTGTGGGATCTATGTTCTCTTATTCCACATACCATAACATGACATTTATTCACATTAAATTCCATTTGCCAAGTGGTGCTCCATACACTTATTTTGTCCAGGTATTCTTGAAGGGCATGACAATCATCTAAATTTCTTATCTTCACTATTATCTAGCATCATCAGCAAACATGTTAAATACTTTAAGTGTGAGTGTGCTGTGCACTGTAAGTGGACAAACATGCTCTAGCTGTAGTACTATTCCACAAAAAATAATTCTCGGTTAACATGGAAAGTTTCTTTCCAATCTGTTTCACACAGCTCTTCCCCTCAGACTAAATCTCACTATACATTTGGACGTGAATACTGTAGTATATTGTCAGGCAAGGGGACATACAGCACGGTGCTATAGGGCACTCTCAAATATTTTCAGTCATATTGTGTTGAAGTCACCGGATAAATTCATTAATACGGCCAGAGTATATCAAAGTGAAAAAAATGCCCTCAAATATGAAAAAATAAGATGTGGAAATTAGAAGCCTGGCCATGCAGCTACAAGTTAGTAACTTCATAAGAAACTAGGCAACCACCAAAGCTATACCAAGGATGGGGAAACCAGTTTTCAGTCAAGAATCAGAGTACCAAAAAGCAGTTGCCATTTTCCAAGAGTAAAAGTGTTACTGTGCTTGCTAGCCAAGAGGATGAAAGAATCTGATAGTGTACTGCAAGCAGGAAGCAAGTGCAGACCTGCACTTTAAAAGTGCCACCCCAGAAACCTGCCCCATCACGAGCGACCCACACACCCACCCATGGCCATGAGGCACTGATACACCCAACCCCTCATACCGTAAGCCACTCTTCCATTCTTTCTCATGACCTACCCTTTATCATGTGCCTTCCACTCATCAATACCCAACATCCACCCTGAAGTCATGAGCTGCTGAATATTTTCACACTCGAGTTAAAGGACATGACTATAGAACACTTTACACTTGTACAATACAGCATGTTAATGATGCCAATGATGTCAATACTCTAGTGACATATGAACCACTGTCATGTACAGAACAATACTGTATAATAATGACAATACTGTATAATAATGACAATTATGAAGGTAGTGAGATATACAGTATAGTACTTGTATACAAATTAAAAAAAAAAAATGAATAATAATATGACTAGAATGGGAAAAAAGGAGAGTTGCAAAGTTCAATAAAAGATTTCAGTATAAATGAGTCAGAGTACTGTACGTACCTTCGCTTATGAAAGACGGTCTCGTACGAATAATTAGTCTAAATAGTGAAGGCCCCGAGTATAAGATGATCACAAGGAGGACCAGAACCACCAACACTGCTTTGCGATACCTGAGAAAATAAAGGAACTGCGTTGTCACTTATTACTTAAAATATTATATAAAATTTTCATGGCTCAAATTGTATCAATTTATCTAATAAAGTAACATTTTATAATCAATACCTTGTGTGATTAATTTATTTTTTACAGTTTTTGAAGCAAAATGACTTGTCCAAATGCCAGCAATTCAAGGTCCACACTTCATTCCTGCATTCAAATGCAATGTTGGCATTTTGTTCCATATTCTTTTCTGATTTAACTATATTATCTCCATTAAAATCCTCTTTAAATATCTGTTCATCTTTCCCTAAATGAATTGATCACTTACTTTTTTTGCTCTCCTCATTACCACCTTAGGGGCCTCGTAGCCTGGTGGATAGCGCGCAGGACTCGTAATTCTGTGGCGCGGGTTCGATTCCCGCACGAGGCAGAAACAAATGGGCAAAGTTTCTTTCACCCTGAATGCCCCTGTTACCTAGCAGTAAAATAGGTACCTGGGTGTTAGTCAGCTGTCACGGGCTGCTTCCTTGGGGGTGGAGGCCTGGTCGAGGACCGGGCCGCGGGGACACTAAAAAGCCCCGAAATCATCTCAAGATTACCTCAAGATAACCTTAGGTCAAATGCAAGGTCTGCATAGTTACAAACCTATAGCCTAGCCTCGGAAAGGATTTTTTGCCATTATCCTAAAAATGTTGACAAAAAATTGTACAAATTTTTTGCACTCATTACAAGGAACTAAATATTAATTTAAAAGATACACAGTAAAAATTCCATCATGTAATTTCCTATGACATACTGTATATACTTGAAGGTTTCAAGTTTTTTGTTTCTCTTGCAACTTTGCATATAAATCAAGTGTTTGCACCAACTACAGTACAGAGCTTTACTAGTAATTTTTAGAAAGTATATAGTACATTCAAACATTACTACAAACAAGTACAGCATGTTTGCTTGAGGTCAATTCTATTAGTGCAAAATTGATTAATAATGGGTAAATTAAAAAAGTTTTATAAGCACACTTTTCATTCTAATGACTTGACCATCTTAAAACCTTATAACACGAGTTCCTGGATACTGCTATTTAATTGCGCTTTAATAAACTATTTAACATACAATTAGCAAGGAAACATGGATCGCATGCATTTAGAAGAATTCAACTTACGATATGTAACCATCCAACACACGCTTGGCTCTCTTCATCACTTCATTAACGTCCATGATGACTTATTCACGTCACTGAAATACATGTGTAAAATATTGGAGATTACAGCTATTATTTCAAATCAAATCTTCTTATAGAACACACTAATAGATTGTTACTCCAAAAAGTAAAGTTTTGTACATTTTTCTCGTTATTTAATTAACCATGATAAAAAAGTGTCTACTCTTGTTTGATGTCAGCCACTTTACATTTATTGCAACAAGTTTTGCAGTTCAGGGGGGAAAAATATATGGCAAGAATTGGCACCTAATGTATTAAAGACTGTTTTGCTAAGTACTGTGCTGAATGTGGGTGGCAAAGACAGGCACCTGATGGGTTATGTGGCTGTGTCTATTGTGTTCTGTGCAGGAGATAAAATCTAAGAGGTTGAAATGGACAGGTGAACCATCTGCCATGTTGGTGTGAATGTGGTACCAGCAGCCACCATGTAATGGGTTATATGTGGATTGCAGGCGATGAGTCACAATAACGTGGCTAAAGTATGTTGACCAGACCACACACTAGAAGGTGAAGGGACGACGACGTTTCGGTCCGTCCTGGACCATTCTCAAGTCGATTGTAATGAAGTAAATGCAGCCAATAAATAGGATAGAGAAAGGTGAGGAGTAAAGTGTAGTAGAGGGTAGTAGTAGAAGTACTACTTTCCCCTCTACTACACTTTACTCCTCACCTTTCTCTAGCCTATTTATTGCATGCATTTACTTCATTACAATCGACTTGAGAATTGTCCAGGACGGACCGAAACGTTGTCATCCCTCCACCTTCTAGTGTGTGGTCTGGTCATCATTATATATGGATTCTCCAGCCATTGGTTGTATAGTTATTACGTAGTGGGCCTGATGGATTAATGTGAACTGTTCAGTGGGTAAGAACATGATGGGGTTTAATGTGGCCTGTCCTGTATTTGGTTGTATTGTATAGTGGGCCAGTACCGGATGGCTCAACATGAACCATTAACCAACTGTTGGCCGGGAAGTTGGCACTACAAATATTCCAATAAATACCAAAATTCTACTTCAAAACCCAGATAATTTAGAACAGGCCTGGCCCCTGGTCAATATCCAGCATTGGCCACCTCAATGTAAATACAGTACAGTGGCCTGTATTTGAATGACAAATAACATTACAGTACTGTTTAATCTATTATGACAAAATGCAACACGATCTATTGTACCCAAACAGCACAAAAAACTCTCCCACCTACACACCAGTCATCTCAATATCTGCCACTCAGTGTAGCAACACAAATCACTAGGCAAAGAGGTAATCACCACTTGAGAGTTCTAAGTGAACAAGCCTTGACAAGATGGTGTTAACGACCAAGTTTATCAACACATTCTTAACTAGAAGGGAAAGTGGTAGTTTATGAACACTTGTACCTTGATATTAAGAAGGAAAAGTGGTGGTTTATCAAGGCACTTGCGTCATGACATTGAGGAAAAGTGGTAGTTTATCAAGACATTTGCATCATGACTAAGGAGGAAAAGTGGTAGTTTATCAAGACACTTGTGTCATGACTAAAGAGGAAAAGTGGTAGTTTATCAAGACACTTGCGTCGTGACTATGGAGGAAAAGTGATAGTTGATCAAGACACTTACGTTTTGACATTAAGAAAAAAACTAGGTATCACTTAAGAGTTCCTACAAAAAAAACTACACCAATACTGTTGCTACCAAGTCTCACCACTGCAAGCTGATCCTGTGTTTACCTCATAACAACAAATATTATGACAGAAGTTCAAAGTTTGTGTGTGTGTGGTGGCGAGGGAGGACGCGAGCCACAGCTACCCCCAGCAGGGAGGAGAGGCCCCTGGCGTGGTAGTGGTGCCTGGAGGAGCAGGAGGAAGAGGAGTGTAAGGGAGAGTGAGGTAATTACCGGGCAGGAGAGGTGTGTGTGGCTGGCTGTGGACGTCATAGTGTTGTGACCCCGACACCTGGCACTCCCCCGGCCCGTCCCGCGTCCCGACACTCCTGGCTCCGGCCTCGCCTCGCTACTCCTCTTCACTCACACTTATTTCATATACTCATCCAATATATATGTGGGTATTATGTATACTTTAAGATTTAATTTGGATGTTAGTATGCAGTTATATCGGCAATATGGTAGTTATATAGAATGTATAGTATTATACAGTCTACGGATAGCATTCGAATTAACAACTGTGTTGTGTTTTTTAACAAAGGTCTTATTGTAGTTATAATATTCCTTAATTTATCAATTAATATGAAAACAAATAAAATACCAGTTCAATTAATGAACTTTCTAAAGGAGAGTTGTGAAAATAAAACATATTAAACGTCATAAACTAACAAAACAAATTCTAAAAAATAATCCCAGTTTATTTCAGATAAAGCTGATCAATACCAGGAAACCCCCCAACTTGATAAAATATTCTTATTATTAATAATTTAAATTCACCTGCAAGATCAGAGAATGTATAATAACTTTGATAATATTTATCTTCGCTGCCGCTTTTGTTATGGTCACGAGGAAGGACTTCGTACATATACGAAGAGACATTTATTTACATTTATTCAGGTTAGTACAAAGAATTTTGTACAAAAATTTTTTTGTGTACTTTTAAAGTTCTTGCAAGCCAGTAAAATAATAAATATATTAGTTTTTAATGAGAGTTTGTCGAGTAAATGACGTGTACGAAAGGTATGTGTATAAGCTATGTGTACGAAATGGTTGAAACTACAGCAGCTGGACCTGAGACGGAGACGACGGAGGTGGCTCTCCTGTCTCACCTCTCCCATTGTTGTAGCTCTCCTGTCTCACCTCTCCCATTGTTGTAGCTCTCCTGTCTCACCTCTCCCATTGTTGTAGCTCTCCTGTCTCACCTCTCCCATTGTTGTAGCTCTCCTGTCTCACCTCTCCCATTGTTGTAGCTCTCCTGTCTCACCTCTCCCATTGTTGTAGCTCTCCTGTCTCACCTCTCCCATTGTTGTAGCTCTCCTGTCTCACCTCTCCCATTGTTGTAGCTCTCCTGTCTCACCTCTCCCATTGTTGTAGCTCTCCTGTCTCACCTCTTCCATTGTTGTAGCTCTCCTGTCTCACCTCTCCCATTGTTGTAGCTCTCCTGTCTCACCTCTCCCATTGTTGTAGCTCTCCTGTCTCACCTCTCCCATTGTTGTAGCTCTCCTGTCTCACCTCTCCCATTGTTGTAGCTCTCCTGTCTCACCTCTCCCATTGTTGTAGCTCTCCTGTCTCACCTCTCCCATTGTTGTAGCTCTCCTGTCTCACCTCTCCCATTGTTGTAGCTCTCCTGTCTCACCTCTCCCATTACTGTATCCCTTCACACTCACCTCTGTCATTACTGTATCCCTTCACACTCACCTCTGTCATTACTGTATTCCTTCACCATCACCCATCCCATTATGGCATCCCTTCACTGTCACCCATCCCATTATGGCATCCCTTCACTGTCACCCATCCCATTATGGCATCCCTTCACTGTCACCCATCCCATTATGGCATCCCTTCATTGTAATGAGTTATAAGTTGACAGCCTAACCAAACTACATTTCCAGTCTCATATTTCAATGCCTTTATTCTTGTAACATATGAAGTTGCTGCACTATTTATAAAGCTATGCTATTATCGTAAAAAAAAAAAATTATAATACAGTACTGTGTATGGATTTATTTCTGTTCTTTCCATAAACAGGAAAATGACAGAGGAGTTTGGGAAAGAAGGACCGATCCGTAGTATTTTTCTTTCGGAATTTCACCATATTGTTGGACCCAAAATTGTGTACCAATACCCCGAAAATTATGTTTCAAAGGAGGTGTTTGATGCTATTTCTGTGTACATCATACCCAAACCACAGATTCTTAAAAGAATTATAACAGTCAATGTGCTTGGTGTTAAGGTCACGGGATATCCAAATGAAATTAAAAATTTTAAGTATGCAAGAAATGCTTTAATATTCAACCTGTGTTTTGTGTGCGACTCAACGGCACGGACAGTTCACTACGAACCGGCTGTAAAGAAACTTTCTGAATATTTAGAAAATTTAGAGCTAGAAAATGGATTCCTTTCAACCGAAGAGAGTCGAGAGCAGATGCCAGGTATTCTTCAACACATTTTGGAGGAACTCAATGACACGGGAAGATGCACGGTGACAATTACTCTTAGTGAGCCGAAACCGAATTTAAATGAAAATATAGAACGCAAAACTGGAGAAAAAGGAGAACGCAGACCAAGTCTTTATAGTGAGAGACGACATCAGTTGCCTGAAGGGAAGATCACTTATGATGGGCACGAGAGGAGGTTAAGCTTGTTCAGTGACCAGCGACAAGTGGACTCCATCTTCAGAGGAATTCGAAAGCCATCAGAGTCAGAGACGAAAATCCGGCGCAAGTCAGTAGACTGTTCAACAACATCTGTCCTTCATTTGAAGGTAATATTTAGTTAATAATATATGGCATTTTTCAGTTTGATTTGTTTAGAAATGCCATTTTAAATGGTTTATTAGATTTGCTGTCAAACAAATTTGAGACATAACTGATCTAGATAAAATATTAGATATTTCAGTGCATGATTTGTTATCTATTAGCAATGTACTATTGTCTCTTTGACAGTGGAACTGCACATATGAGCCTTTTCAGTGCTAGAATTGGAGGCACAAGTCATATGACTAGTGATAGTTTTATAGATTATAAATAACATAATTATTTCTTCAGTTTATTGCAGATTTATGATTCAGTGCTTGTGCACAGTTAAACTAGATGTTAAACGATTCTATATGACACTGAACATCTGATTATTATTGCACTAAAAAAAATTAAATTTTTGTATATGTACATCAGTGATAATTAAAAAATTAACGACTGTACAGGAACTAAGGTGTTCAATACACCAAGGATAAGGCTGTTGGTTAGCGGACACCAAAGAACCTTAGCGAAGTTTATGTACTCTATGTTAACCGAATTCTACAGGTTGTGGGTATTTGGCCGGACCCGCCTCGGGTGCTGGACCACCACGTGCCGGTCCTCATTTCGGAGCGGGTGTACAGTCGTGGTGATCACTGGGACCTGACCACACAGCAAGTTCTACCCTATATAGATGGATTTTCTCACATTGCCAAAATAGCTGCTGCCGCAGATGTTGAGAATAACTTGGTGAAGGTGCGTTATGTTATGCTGTTTTATTGTTAGTTTAGCTTGTACATCTGTAAGGTTAATTCTTTGTAATAATTTTCTATGAAGCTTAGTTGTACCTCATGTTTACCATTCCTTTTCTCTTATTCATATCTCCATTGATCCTGAAAAAGATTTAGATAAAAAATTTTGAGTGCTTAACTTAATGTACTGTATTGGAAAACAAACTGATTGTTCCGATGAGGGGAAAATAGATCAAAAGTTGGGAAATACATTATAGAGACTAGCAAGCATTAAAGGAAAATATATTACAGAATAGTATACAGTAATTGGAAGTACAGTACTCCCACTCCCTTTCTTGGAAGAATGCCACATATGATCAGGATTCCTCCCTTGCTCCTAACTAATTCAATGGCTGTCCTGAATCTCTGTATAAGTTCCTCACTCCTAACTCGCCCAACATCATTACCCCCTGCACTAATACAAATAATGGGTTTGTTCCCATTTCCCGTCATAATATCATTCATGTTTCCAACAATACAGTATCACCAATTCCAGCTCCCGGATAGCAAACCCTTAATCTGTTCCCCCTATCTCTGGCACAAAACGTTCTGTCTAAATATCTCACCTGGGAATCTCCCACAACCAAAATTTGCTTCGGTTCCTCCTTAACTTTCTGAGCAGCCTGAGGGGCCTGCGCTCCGCCGCTCCTCGCTGATTTCCTCGCTGCAGGCGCACCACAGCACTCGTCCTCCAACACGGCAAATGAATTTGCTGTCCTTACGGCATCTGTAGGCGGCCTTGTCAAGGTCTTCTTAAGACCCCTGTCCTTCATGACTCTCCACGATGAGGTCTCGTCAACACTGGTTTCCTCCTTCGTTTCCTCCCGAAGTCTCAGCCGTCGTACCTCCTCCCGCAGGGAATCCATCTCTGCTCTCAGAGCTCCAACCAGACTCACCAAATCCTTCACTAATCCTTCCATTATTGCAATAATAATGTTACTCCAGAGCTCCAGCTAACACAACCTTTCACTGTGCCAGCACCTGACTGACCTAACAGCACCTGACAGCACCTGAAGTTATTGCATATCAACAAACTCGTAACCCAATGCAATGCTCGTATCCTGATGCAAATTTTCAGAACAAATCGGGCTCGTAACCTGAAAAACTCATAAACAGGGACGCTTGTAACCCGAGGGTCCACTGTATAAGTATCTACATTTAATTTCACCATAGCAAACCACTAAGCTGGTATGATAAATCCAGTAAATGAAAGGTAGCCACACACAGTCAAAAGACAACGCCACCTCCCTCCCTCCCTCAGCATTACACCTCACACCTTGGACACAATGCTAAATATCACCACAATCCTGCTATTATCAGAATCCTGGTCAGTTTTATCAGTCAGGGGTCTTCTGTAATACTGTACTATCATCGCTAAATAATAGCATGTACATATATATTTTGACATTTTTAGGCAATGCTGTGGTCACAAGCTGAACAGCGGTGCTGTGAGTTCGTGCTGCGTGCACCAGCCTTGGTGGCTCACTCAGTACTGAGGCTCTCACACCAGGGAATGTTGCCCACGATTTTTTTTCTAGGTGGTGTCTGGTAACTATCGGTCGTGGCTGGACTATAGCTGCCCCTATCCCTCATGGGGCATTTAAAATCGTGCACTAGAGCCTCAATCGTCTATATATGTATTGCGCGGTTTTGGTAAACTTACTCCCATCGTCTATATATGTTTTGTGCGGTCTAAGGGTTAAGTATACAAAATTAACATATCCTACAGGACATGTTTGAGTAGGCAGTGGTGTGTGCAAGTGACCAGAGTTAAATGAATGACAAATTGGAGTTGCATACTTGACACTACAGTATTTTGCAGAGCATGTATTTAACAAATAATTAACATGTGAAAAATATGGGGCTGAATTCAGAAGCACATTCACACCCAGTCAGTGTTTTCAGCTTTTTTTTTCCATCATTATATACGTAGAATGTGTGAAACTATATAGGCCTACTCGTTATGTACCTGGGCATTATAGTATAAGTGAAAGTATAAAGGATTTTAATTATCTGGACATATAGCCTAGGTACATTCACATAACATATTACATTTCAGGCATGTGTAGAAAACCTGTTGTACTATGATCAAGTACAACTACTTCCAATCTTCCAGTATTCAAACATATACACAGTTACATCTGGCATCCAGAAGCTGTATGAGGATCGAGAGCTCCAAGAGGAATGCCAGCGTGCAGTCTGCAAAACCTTTTCCTCACGACCACAGCAGTCCCATATTTTGATGCTTTACTGCAGGTAAATATGTATTCACCTAGTTGTGTTTGCGGGGGTTGAACTTTGCTCTTTCGACCCGCCTCTCAACTGTCAATCAACTGTTTACTAACTACAGTACTACTTTTTTTTTCCCCACACACCCCAGGAAGCAGCCTGTGACAGCTGACTAACTCCCAGGTACCTATTTACTGCTAGGTAACAGGGGCATTCAGGGTGAAAGAAACTTTGCCCATTTGTTTCTGCCTCGTGCGGGAATCGAACCCACGCCACAGAATTACAAGTCCTGCGCGCTATCCACCAGGCTACGAGGCCCCCTATAGTATTTTATGTGTGGGTGTGCGTATAGGCATCTACGCTTGCAATTCAGCATGATATTTTGGAATTATGACAGAATCATTTGCACTCATAATAGTTAATCTGTGTACTGCCTTATAACTTTTCAGTGAAGGTTTAGGAATAGAACAGAAGGATGAATAATTTTAGCGAGACATAATATTTGTATCCCTTAGATAACATGCAGGACAAATACTGCGCATCAGTGTAAAAATGCTGTTATTCCCCAACTCTAAAAGTCAGTATTTACAAAAAGAGTAAAAGAATTAGTATATATTCTGTTTAATCCCTTTATATTACTCAAATTAATGAATGTTGTATAGGATTATTTTATGTTTTATTTAATGAAAATAGCATGAACAGGTTGGTTGTTGTAGTCTATTGGATGGTCTGTTCTTCCTACCTCATCACCACCACTCCTCCCTCATACCTAGTACACGTGGCATAACTTTGCAATGTTGTTTGTGTCTTGCATTAATATAAAACAATTATGTTTTTCCTTATTTATGATGGAATAGCTTAGGCTTTTGATGTGAGGGAGAAGGATGCTGTGTATCCACCCGTCCCTACAGGTAAACGCTATGTACACAGTTCTTATTTTGCTTACGTGACAAACCTTAAGCAATACTGTACATTAGCACTATTGTCATGCAATAGAGTATTACAATGTTTCAGTGAAAGGCAGCAAATGATCTGTTCTAACTATTGACAGAGGATTTTTTTTTTACATGGAGTGATGTAAGGTAAATATTTTATAATTTTATTGATTTCATATAATTTTTGTTTTAATGTATTCATATTCAACATAAGCCGCTTTTTGAAAGGGTAACTGCAGTTTGTCTAATGAAGTGTTGTTGTTTAAGATTTGCTACCTGAAACAAAAAGTTCCAAGTAGCACGGGCTATGGTGAGCCCATAGGTCTAAGGAAGTGATTCCCAACCTTTCTTGTTTGGAGGAACCCCTGAAATATTTTATGATATCTCTGGGAATCCATACCTGGCTGACATTCATTAAGTTTGCCAGGTAAATTACAAAATAGACTTGTAAAGCAGTAGGGTTAATCTACCCTCTAGGGAGCCGGTCGGCCGAGAGGACAGCACGCTGGACTTGTGATCCTGTGGTCTTGGGTTCGATCCCAGGCGCCGGCGAGAAACAATGGGCAGAGTTTCTTTCACCCTATGCCCCTGTTACCTAGCAGTAAATAGGTACCTGGGTGTTAGTCAGCTGTCACGGGCTGCTTCCTGGGGGTGGAGGCCTGGTCGAGGACCGGGCCGCGGGGACACTAAAAAGCCCCAAAATCATCTCAAGATAACCTCAAGATACCCTTGTAATATTTTATTCAAAAAATATTTTATTGCCTATTATTTTTACTGATAACTGTTAAAAAAAAAATTCATTTTACATCTGGCTTACTGGTTACAAACATATTACAGTACAGTATATATAATTGTAATTGCATTGATGCAATTGTTTTTAACAACTTTGTAAGTAACAAGTTATATTTTTTTATAATATATTCACAATTGAAAATAATGTTTCAGTAGAGTAACATTGATTCTAATAATTTTACATAAAATTGAATATCTAACTAAAAAAACTTTCAAAATGCTTAACTGATTTATTAACATAACCTGTTAATAACCATCTTTTTTTTTATATAACTGTTACAATACATGAGACAAGCTTTCGCAAATTCTCATGGAACCCCAGACAAGCAATCAGAGCCCCTGGTTGGGAATCACTATCTTAAGGTGACTTAGCCATGCGGAGGGATTTCAAGACAAAATGGATTTGAAATTAAGTACACATGAAAATATTTTCATTGTAGAGTTGTTGTCTCCATGAAATTGCTCTTATACATTGTAGACTGTCACCCTTCGAAACCAAAATTATGTATTCTTTGTTTATTCACACAAAATACACTACTAGTTACTGTATTAGCAACATTTATATGTACGTGTGGCGAGGTTTGCAATTTTCAGTTTTAAAATTTTCCTATTTTAAGTAAAATAAAATGCTTATTATGTGATCACTTAACAATACCAATGGTATTTTTCAGCATGACGTATGGAGTAACAGTAAGAGACCTGTGTATTCGATTCAATCCTCAAGCTCTTAATATAGACGAACGAAAATTAATTCAGTTTGGCTTGCAACACGAACTGATCCGCCGTCTGCACTGCTATCCTATTTTACTGCCTTCAGGCGATCCCCACTATACTCCAACCAAACACAGTGTAATCCATACAATGTGTAATGGAGGACATTCCTATGATGAAATCTGTTGTAAGTTTGGACTAACATTCAAAGAACTAAATGACAAAATAGAAAGGGATCCAAATATCTTACTTTTATGGAAATGAAGTTCATCTTCAAACAAACAAATGCAAACATCCACTTGCTACTCATATATCAGGTAAAGAGTTGACCAGCTGTCACAAATTGCTCTGGAATATATGTGAGATCTTTTGGTTAGAGATGTTGTTAGGTCTTGTCACATGTATAGATTAGCAATCATTATATTTATAAGACTTAACTTTGTGTAAATTTTTAAATCAATTTTTAAGTATGAAGACATAGGCTTCTCATAAATATTATTATGAGAAATAATAAACTCATAACCAGCGTGTTATGATAAATGCAGTAAAATGGATAATGTTTTGTTACATTATTGCATTTTCTTTTATAATGGAATAACAGGAGAGATTTAAAATGTTGCATGCTATCCACCCCAGTATTTATCTGAAAGCTAGCAAATTAACCAATTAGAAGTTTTAAGATTTTGAAATAATTTGTAAAAATTAACCACAATTAAATTTCCAAGCTATTGTGACTTGTTCAATAAGCTTGAAGCAAGCACAAAGTTATATCATCAACATTGAGAAATACCAAAGGCAGACAGGGGAGCCGGTCGGCCGAGCGGACAGCACGCTGGACTTGTGATCCTGTGGTCCTCGGTTCGATCCCAGGCGCTGGCGAGAAACAATGGGCAGAGTTTCTTTCACCCTATGCCCTTGTTACCTAGCAGTAAAATAGGTACCTGGGTGTTAGTTAGCTGTCACGGGCTGCTTCCTGGGGGTGGAGGCCTGGTCGAGGGGACACTAAAAAAGCCCCGAAATCATCTCAAGATAACCTCAAGACATTATTTATAGATAATGCTTTTCCTGCAAGATCTTTAATGCACGTAGTCAAAACATTATTCATCTGAAGATTAATATATCAAAGTTTACCTACTGAAATTTACCGAGAACATTGGTCTGACCTCAATCACCTGGAAAAACAGCAAATGTAAGGGAAGAGTGCCTTTACAAGCCCCGGTCTTCCTGTCCCTAACAAGGCCATGTCTGGTAGAGTTTTATATAGTTGCTAAAATATGAAAAGGCATAAGGAAAAGATAATGTAGCCGCATGCTAATAAAATTTATATGAACTTCAAAATGAAAAAATTGACACAAGCATACTTGGTGACTGATACGTGAGAGAATAGTATCATGAGAGACCGGCTTAAAATAGTTGTGATGAGGAGAATGAACATAAAGTGATAAATTTTTTAATGTTTTACTTAGAGGCAAGATTTTAGCAATGTATTAAGGCTTTTATACGCAACCAAAATGTTTACAAATATAATTTAGATTGTACATATTATAAATAATACTGCAGTTGTATATACAAATATATATATTTTTTTTTACAAATACAACAATTATTTTCTGTCCATGAATGTACAGCATTTCAAAAGTCATAATGAACTAAACTATCAATACCATAACTAATACAAATAAATACTTCATATTTCAAACATACAATAAATAGTTTGTTTTTGACCAGGAAGCATCCCAGAATAGTAAGTCATTTCAATTATATTATTACTGTAGTATACTGTATATATAGTTTTGTCACATAGTGGTACATCTCCAATTATATTATTACTGTAGATATGTAAATATATATATATTATATATATACTGTATTACATTTGTCAAGTGCTACACTCCAAAGAACATATCTTTCTCTGTTCATTTAAATAAACTGAATTCTTTTGGCATGAAGCAAAGCTATTTTGCAAAGTAATGGTTTTAATTATCACATTTTAATTTTTAATAATAATACATTTTGTGATTACTGTCACAGAGTTCTTGTTTTAATGCAGAATTATACAAACTCGGGGAAACTTTACTGCTTATGAATTTTAGTAAACAGCACTATCACATTTGGGAGCAAATTTACACAATATTGTATTGTATTGGTTTTGAAAAAATGATTTGAAGTGATAATTTTATGACAATAGGGAACAACTTAAAATATAGCTTTAGTTTTAATGATTAATGACCTTTTTAAAGGCAATATTACTGATGCAGACGACATACTGCCATTCAGGCTACCAAAGCATAGTGTACTAAGCTTTACGTAGTCTGACTTGGTGAGAGATGAAAAGGCTGAAGTTTATGGTACTGTATCGAGTCCAATACCCACTTTTCCGAGACGTGAGTGATTTTAGCAAAATTACCTCTCGTTTCTGTTGCAGCAGTAGGCTTGCCAATTACCAGATTTGCACTGCGAACATTTGAGACCACTACAGCACCACACAGCTGCAACAGGTCCTGCAAGAGAGAGAACAAACATTCGTGAAAAATCTTTTAGATACTAAACGAAGAAAATGAAATACAAGTGGAGCATCTAAACAAATATTTGTGTTAATATGTTCAACATTATTTATTATACACAGTATATTGATCACTATATTGTAAGAGAAACAGATTTTATTATCTAGGATTTTCAGAGTCTTAACATTAATATACCCAGAAAAAAAAATATTCACCCCCCCCATGTAACAATGAATTAACATGACCTTTTGAGAAAATTCACTTCATTGTGAAATTGCCTTAATGAAACTGGGGATAAAATCCAGTACATCTCATTATGAGAAAAGTGTAGCAATCAAAATGAACGTTGAGGCATCACCAGGTGATGCGACTCACAGATGACAGCCCACTCACTCACTCAGAAGTTGACTTAACCAAGAGGATTTAATTGAGCTGTACACACCCGTAGTTGACTTGATGGAGGTACACAACCTTCCTGAACGAAGATGTTGCCAACTCCGGAGAAAAGTGTTTGTTTGTACGAGGTGCCTTGTCGTTGTTTTTGTTCCCGACAAATCTAAAAACATTGAGGCGATAATACAGAATACAATAGTCAAGTCTTAAATATATTAGTGATTTAGATCTTAAAGTTAAATATGGCAATACATATTGCATTCTAAATTTTGGCTGCATTACTGTATTTCAAAATCTTGCTCATGGTGACCTTTACATGAATTAAATAAAAGTAGAGATGCATTTAGTGCACTTCATATTGTATAAATAAAATTACAAGATACAGTATACCAATGAAGGTTAAGAACTTCACAAAAATTCTTTTGTAAACAATTTTATCAATACTGTATACTATCGTTACATTCTGCCTAGCTTGTGTTGAATAATCATGTGCTTTACACAAGTAACTTTGACTTGCATCTTCGTTCCAAAGATGCAAGTCTCCTAAAATATTTGCTATTAAATGCTCCAAAATACTGAAAACAATGTGACCGGCTAGAAATGACAATAGTGCATCAACTTTCTTTTTTCAGCAAATACTTCCACACATCCAGACATAATTCAGATTATAGAAACCTGGTCTGTTAGCAAATCTGAGCATTGTGTAATTTTGTTAGTTTAATGATTTTCAGTTATATGTAACAATATTCTACAATGGTGATGACAGTACAGTACTAGTGTCATGTGTGATCTCTTGTTGGAAAGGTTCTCGTTATCCAGCTAATAATTTTTCTTGCCGTTATAATAGATACCTTATTGCGATCTTTACTAGTAAGGAAAAAAATTTCTCTTTAGTGTTAGTCTAGGGCAGTCATAAAGTTGTGTTCTGATGCTAATTTTGCAGTCGTCAACAGTAAGGAGTGTGTTCATATGAATGCTGTGATACTATTTACATTCTTTATTACACAAGAATTATTGTATACTATATATCAAATTTAAGTACAGTATACTGTATTTGATTACAAGTTAAAAATGAAAATAATTTTAAATTGCTTTTTTGTCAAAGGTAATCTGAACTCCAAATAACCCATAACCTATTATTATAAAGAGCCCACCATGTGGTAGACTGCTTCAGGGGGACCTGGGCAGATCTGACTTGACTGATACTGTACTTGAGCAGTAGGTTACTGGGTAACCTACTGGGCAGTGCAGTATGCTGGAAAATGACTATAATGATGATAATATTAAATGAAAGCTGAAAATATACTAAATCATTATTTTCAAAGAGTGGGATAGAAGTTGACCAGACCACACACTAGAAGTTGAAGGGACGACGACGTTTCAGTCCGTCCTGGACCATTTTCAAGTTGACTTGAGAATGGTCCAGGACGGACCGAAACGTCGTCAACCCTTCAACTTCTAGTGTGTGGTCTGGTCAACATACTTCAGCCACGTTATTGTGACTCATCGCCTACAGTGGAATAGAACTGTGAGATTTGAGTTCAAAAACTAAAAAAAAATATTACCTTAGCTCCTGGGGAAAACGTAAATATTTCAAACGGTTCTTCTGGTGCCCAAGTTTCCATTTCTAAGGACTGATACAACCAAGACACATCAACAACCCAACACCCGAGGGCAATACCAAACAGAAGGTTCATCGTACGCCGGGACGCTCCACACACTACATGTGTTGTGCTGGTGTTGACGTGCTCTGTTATTCGGTAGCCTCTTAGCTTCTTAATTATTGAAATGAGGCTGCCCATTTCTCTGTTGACAATTCACTTAGCTAATAAATGATACATTTTTATTTATTAATGAAGTCTTGTCAAGACAGAGGTGTAATGGTGGGTGTCATGATAATGGTGATGGAATGGATGGTGATGGATTTTCTTAGATTAAGGACCTGCCCGAAACGCTGCACGTACTAGTGGCTTTACAAGATTGTAATTACAGTACTATGCTATGTATCCTCACAATCCCAATGTACCTTCTTGTATATATATAAATAAATAAATAAATAAAAATAAATAAATGGTTGTGAAAATTTGATGTACTAGTAATAGTGGTTGTTGTGGTTATGTTTATGATGGCGATAGTGAAATTAACCCACAGTGTGTATGCATCATAGAGGCATCTCTGGTTGCAACGTACTGGAGTTGTCCCGTATCATTCGTTGAATCAAGGTTGTACTGTATTACGCAATTCTAATATTTTAGGAAAAACCAGGTTGGTGAAAATATTAGATATCCTTTCAGGGAATACCCAATAAGGAATGAAAGAGGCTCAGTACATCATACAAGTATATAATTTATTATTATTATCACCCCATTTACCAGTTTCATGGGGTGAGGAAGTAGGTACACTAATTATCAAAAGATGGCACCAAGCCAGTAAGATTATTTAACATTGTCTGTGTTGTAAGATATTCAAGAGGTGCTAAATATCATGCAGGATGCCAGAGTGAGAGCAATGGGATGAGGAAGTACAGTATTAGCTAACAGTAGACAGGATAGGAAAGCAAGGTTAAAAATACTCATAATAAAACCCATCAAATATCAGGTATCAAAATCCTTTAAAATACAATGCAAAATTTCGTTTAGATTAGTTATATACAGTAGTTAAATAATCAGAAATTAAACTTCCTAATATAGAGAAAATAATGAACAGAAAATTATGATATGTATATTATACATGACAGTGAATAATAGTACAGTATTGGCAAATAACAGTTGTCCATGATAAAAAAAAAAAAATATTCAACAGGACAACAATAGATATTAAAGATGTTCACAAAACTCGACAGAATCATTGAAAATTATTTACAGATTTTTCTCAGCTCAACAGGGTTAGAGAAGATTAAATTTTACACTACAGCAAATAAATTGTTCTATTATTTTTATGGCATGCTCTGTCAAAAAATGCAGAGAAGCTCTCAAAATGAAACACAAGGTATCCAAGATTTATTTATATACTAAGTGGCATGCACTTCTCTATCTACTGTAGTTAGAAAAAATTACAACTGCCTATTTCATGTGTCTCCCTGGATGTCCTGTACACTCCGTGTGTCTCCGTGGGTGTCCTGTACACTCCGTGTGTCTCTGTGGGTGCCCTGTACACTCCATGTGTTTCCCCGGGTGTCCTGTACACTCTATGTCTCCCCCTGGGTGTCTTTTGTCAATGCATAGCTCATAACAAAATGCCTTCTGCAAAATACGTGAAACAATATTGTGCAACATACATCAATATTTACTACATTAATGAATATAAACAAAAAATGTGAATACAACTAACATATGTTCAATGAACCTACTGAAACTACACATAGCAAAGTTTAGCCTCTGAAATAACAATGAAAGCAAATTCGTTATTAACAAGGATATTTTAACAGGTTTTCATAATGCATGAATATTCACAGACATACTGTACTCATTTCCATCTTGGACCCTTCTTCCTCATTCATAAAAAATCACGCATTACACATTCTCCAAGTAATTCCTCCACCTAACCCGCTCAACTTCAGCACGTCTCACAAGGTTGAGCTCTTCTCTCACCCTACTTACAATACAACAATAACAACATTTAGCTATCATTGTGTATGTCATTATCCATTCATAATAAGAAGTAATATACTCCATGCATAGATAGCTTTCCTCAGTTGCTCAACTACTATACTAATACGTAATCACAACATTCAATAAGAATTTGACACCCTCAACACTACACTAACAACCACAGTGCAGATTTCCTAAGCCAGGTTGTGTGTGACACCAACTCTACATGCTAATTTTTATTTACTCTAAGAGGGAACACGAGTAGAATTAGTTTGACTCTTTGTTTGAATATTAAAATATATCCCTTCCACAGCTTATTTGATGCCTTTCCCTACTTGTTTTTTCCCCAGAACACCATCAGTTAATCACTGTACAACCATGTCTACAATTATTACTGCTGGGTGAACAGGGCCAGACAGTGAAGGAATAAACCCGTTTTCCCACCTTGCAATGGATTCAAACCCAGACCATTCTCACTTGCATGGCAAGTGGGACTAGCCACTTAACTGTTCCACCAAAAGGTGCTGTATTTACACTTGATTGAAGTGGTTGTTACATGAAGTGATTCAAAGTTGAGGGCTCAAAAAATAACAAGTATGGTAAAGCAGGGATAAACCATTTAATACTGAAAAAAAGATAAGCACCTTGTGCTGTAGTGGTTTGCACACTCATTTCACACGTAAGAGAACCTGGATTACAATTCTGGGAGGGGTTGGGCTATTGGGCATCATTTATTTGCTCTATTGATCTGTCCACTCACCAGTAATTGGGGACTTCAGTGTGAAATAATTGGCAAATGATACACTGGAGAAACATGGTGCTCAATAACCTAAATAAAAAATAACGAAGTTTGCTGCAATACTTACTTGGAATGCACACTGGTAAAGCATATAGATGGATTCTTGCCACTTTTAGATTTACCTTTCTTCTCTCTTCTTTTCAAGCCATTTTTAAGCTGAAATTCTTCTATTGATTTTCTAGGTTGTGGAAGTGGGCGGATCTTTGATTCCAGGAATATGCTTTCATCCCCAGAACTTGAGAACAACTCATCCTCATCTGATCTCGCCTCTTTACATAAGGAGTGTTGAGACGAGCTGTTCGACTGCACATACACAAACTCTCTTTCTTCTGATGTAGGCTCATATTTTGGCCCTTTAATTAAGGAGGTAAATTCAACTGACTTTTTTCTATTACGGAAGGAATTTTTGTGGTTACGTGGCAGTGGCATAGATGAGTTTCTGTCTTTTTGATCCCTCAGTGCGGCACGCTGGGTTCTGGCACCCTTAATCTGCAGGCCTGCGTATGGTCCTCGTATAATTTTGTCACGACCATCTGGAGTAACCGGTATTATAAGCTCCTGAGATGGCATCAACACATCCACACTGAGTAGCTTTCTCCTCCTAGCTTGTGAGGAACTGAAAAAAGTATTCTGGGAATCTGGGATAAATGAATGCTGGTCATCTATTGAGTTGGTTATACTGGTTCTGTCAACAGAATTTGTCCTTGTTCCTATGGAGTTACTTTTGTCACTGTTCAAGTCTTTATTGCTAAAGTTATTGCATTCAGATGTCTTTTGGCTGAAGTCAAAACTAAAAGATTCTTTCTCTGATGTTACATTAACATCAGTTTTTTTTTTTTTAGAACTTCTTGATGTCTGTGTTTCAACTTCTAAAACTGAAGTTTTTTTTTTAACTATTTTTTTATTATTATTACTACAAGATTTTGTTTTGGATCTTGTAATTCTGACATTCATTTGTGTTTCTTCAGCATTTATTCTACTTTTTTTCTCTTTTGGCCCAATTAAACACTTGGTAATTAATTCATTTACTTCTGATACAGCATTCTCTTGTGAAGTTACAGACTTTCTTTTCACTGGAGATTTGTTTTCAATATTTGTATCATTATGGTTAAAATAACAGTTGTCTGGCCTCGAGGGTGGTGTATCACCACTATCACAGCGTGCAGGCATGCTCTCACCCTCACACTGTCCTCGGCTGGCATCTGCCACAAGTGAGCTACTTTTGACGAGTTCTGAATCTTCAAATTCCGAAGATGAACTATAAACTGATTCTTGAATATTTCCCTTCTCATCTTGCAAAGGATTTACAAAGTTTGTTTCTGATTTTGATGGTTTTCCAGTTAATCTAACAGGCATTTCTTCTGCCTCAACATTATTATTGCTATTACTCAGCCTTAGTTTTAGATTAACACTTTCATCAGACTGGGTTTTACTGCCAATAGTCAGCCGACTCTCCTCATTTTCTAATATTGAAGACTCTACCCTTCCTCTTGCTGATCTCTCTTCATCACTTCCACAAAATACATCTTCTGAAGAGGAGTCAAAGGAAAGACCAACTTTGCTTCTGATGCGGCCTGTGTTACTGCCGTCTGATTTGGGAGAAAAGAATCTGAAGAAAAAAATATAACCACATTAAATTCAAAATTTATCAGGAATTTTTTTCTACATTATTACTCAAATATTAACAACTATTTTCTTGTAGAGCTCAATGATGTATTCCACTCCATTACTTGGGAATGTTGCAGGTGTATTAAGAGAGCTTGCAACACATACCATGTATATTCATAATTAAGCTCTTCATGCAACCTGTCCTCTTAAAAAGAACGTCGCTTTTGGCCGTTTGCCCGTATGGCCGAATATGGACGTAATTTGAAAATGAAAAAAAAATAAATATAAATTTTGGATTTTTTTCAGCAACAGTAAGCTAAGGGTCCTCTGATAGGTTAGGTGGGCAGGAAATTCTCATGAAGTTTCAAAAGGGAATGAAAAACGTTAATGGAAAGAATCCTTTTCTAAGCTTGCCGAGTACGCCGGACGACTCAAACAGAAAACGGAACAGTACGTCACTTTTGTGAGTCGATTTCATTTCAAATTACGTCCAAATTTGGCCATAGCGCGCATACCAGCGAAAAGTGACGTTATTTTTAAGAGGACGGGTTGCTTCATGGGTGTGCTGCCATGTTTTTGTGTCCTTATCTAAATTATCACCTACTCTTATTCAAGGCAAACAAAGAGCTTACAACAGAAATGAATATAAACTTAAACTGCAGTATATGAACATATAATTTTAACAAATAATTGTTCGTACCTATCGTAGAGGCGTTTTACGAGTGGGGTATTGATGCCCTGAGACAAAAATTCTGAATTGTTTTCGTCATCCTCACTTGATGCAGACGATACAGACTGGCGTTGACGTGGGGTCAAAAGATGACTGATGCCAAACAGTGGCGAGTTTACAGCCTGTAAAGTCAACATTTTTCAACACTAGGGTGAGAACATAATTTTTTATGACTGTTTAATGATATTTTTGGATACTTAATTCATGAAGAGAGTTCTGTAGAAGAGTTAGAGGATCATTCTCACTAAAGGATGTTTTCTCAGCCACATTCACTATTCACCACTGCCACTATGTCACATTTACTCTCCACTCACTTCCTTTTCCTGCCAAGAAGTTCCTCTCATTTTCTAACAGTTTGTGCACCACCATCCAGGCTTGTTTGGTATTCCTAATCATACATTTCTTGTACAGTATACATACTACATGTCACTTGTGTCATTTGTTCATACACTAACACCAAGAGTGCAGCAGACAAGAGAAGGGTAAAAAACTGGTGCTAGCCACACTAAATAGACCATGTGTAATTATGCCACTCATGTTTAGATGAACAGCAGTAGATGGAAAAACAAAATGAAATGGACTTAGTCAGGATACCCCCACAGCTAGTAATTATTTCAAACAAACGAGTCCAAGGCATGTAGATGGGTGGAGGGTATGTAAACAGCAGTTTCCTCACCAGATTTCTATGTGTACTTTTTCTTTACATAAGAAACAGTTTAAGGGTTCGAGGCCGTGGACCAAGCACTGACATGGATGTTGTCATGTGATGAAGGCGAAGAATAGCAGCCAGTTTGGAAGAGCTCTACACAGTGGTTAATGTGATGCCAAATGAGGCGGCTTTGAGTGTTTATGCGTAAACTTTTTGTGGTCACTCTGGGTTAGGTATTCTCCAGTGCATTCTTAGCATCAGTAACAACTCAGCTAGGATGTTTTACATGATTTCTGTTGTATTAGTGCAGCACGTCACCTTACTCAGACTGTCATGAGTCATTCCTATGGAACCAGTGACCTAGCCTTAGGAAACACTGAAGTGTCCTGCTCAGAAAGGAAATTTTATATCATCTCAAAAGCCTGAATTATAAAATAACAAATAATATTTTATTAATTTGTTTCCTGGCACTACAATTCCAGTCTTGCAAGAATTCCTTGAATGTTTGTATATAGTTTCTGTTGCATCCAATTTGTCACTGGATTCGTTCTGATTGACCAAATTTCCACTGTACAGTATAGTATAGTACGTATATGGATCTTTAGTTGCTAAAACTCATCATTAAATTCAGTACATAATCTAAACATAATTAAAATATTAGCAATCATTCTCACATTTTTCTAGGAAATATGGAAACATTTTGAAAAGTATATTTTTACCTCCTTTTCAGAATTATATGATGGAAAAGCAAACTGCTTATTACTTGACGCAGATGAATCTGATGGGGAGCTTACGGCTTTGAGCCGCCGGCGGGCACGAGCAGTTGCTAGCTTTTCTTCTTCTGAAAGCTCTTTTGGCTGCATAGACCTTAGCCTCTGGAAAAAGGAAATACAATACTATAATAATAGTTATTCTTAAAGAACTGTTTGGAAATACTAATGCTAACTTTTTAAATTATAGTATATTTTAGGATGGCAAAACATGTGAAGGAGCAATACAAGAGAAAGGCGACTGGGTCTCTGGAGAAAGGGAAAACCAATATTACCAACATAAAGAAAAGTGGAAATGACACATTGCAACCTTGATGGAATGGAACCCAAGTGACCAGAAATGTTGCAGACCATCGGTTTCGGTAATACAGTTAGGTTCAGTCTATTCCCAATCGGGAATCCCGGATTCATATGCCAGACGGCACAGAAATGGTCTGGCATGTTTCCTATCACCAAATGCTTGTGTTCACCTAGTAATGAATAGGTACCCGGAACTTAGCCAACTCTTGTAGGGAGGCATCCTTGGGAGGGTCAGTAGCTTGACTTTGGGGGACCTCGATACAAGTCTAACGTATACAGTACTGTACTAGTATATACACAAACTGTCTGTCCTCCAAGAAAAATAATTATATTGATAATTAAATTTTAATAATATATATTTTTTTAATTCATCAAATGATAAACACATCCTTCCACTTGCTTACTCAGCTAAATAATCTGTAATACAGTATTGTATTTTAAATCAATTATGCCTATTACTACATATATGTAGATTGGTGAGGTGTGTGGAGGATGAGAGGTGGTGTGGAGAGTGGGTGGAGAGTGTGGAGGGTGGGTGAAGGTGTAGAGGGTGAGTGGGTGAGTAAGTGTGCAAGTACCTAAGGGTAATAAAAGGATGATTGCTATACTCATGTTGTCCTGCATTTTCCATTATTTTTTCTAACACTACTGTGTGCCATTTTGAAGCTTTTGATTGCCTTGCATTCTCTATCCTCTCATTTGATGTATCCCGTCCATCTATTATACAGTTCACAAAAGTGAATTGTGCAACTTTTTATAGGATAATATAAATTCTTTTTTGTTAAGCTTGAATCTATTGCCCTCTTGTTCATAAAGTTGCAGATTTCAAAAATACCTCCTTATGAACATTTTTTTTTAATATGAAAACGTTTCAAATGCTGTTGACATTATTCTGTTGACATGAGCTGCTACCTTCTAAAAAAAAATTTATAAAATGGAAAGCTGTATCCCCCTGCATTCTGTACTGTGTTTGTGCAAGACAGACCCAGCTGATGAATAAATATACAGTATTTACAAAACTATACCTACTCTGAGTTTAGCAGATAGAAGTGGCTTTGAGTAGGTCTCAATTGAGCAGCTGGGGTAGAGTGCCTCAGGCACACGCTGCTGCTGCTCGCGACACGCCTCGACCCACAACGATGATACCAAGTGTAGTCCACGCTTCATGGCTCGGTTGAAAACAGTCTGGAAAAATCACATCATATTATTTTAAAACAAAGAAACAATACATTTATATTATAATAAGTTTTATAGCCTACAATGTAAGTTAAAAGTAACTAGAAATGATTTATCTTTTATTATTCATGTTACTGGCTTCAAACTTATTACCAATTGGAACATATGATTTACTTGTACACACAAGTGTTATGAGGAGAGGCAGGAGGAATTGAACATATTGAAGCTAACCGACAGAAGGCAAAAAAATGTAATACGATCACCACATACAAAACTGCAACACGAACCAACAAACATTTTTTTTTAAAGAATCAACTCTAAGAACAAAGGGTTACAGATTGAAGCCCAACAATTTGCCTTACATCTTTTGGCATGAGTTTATCTTTTGTAAACATTTAGTATTTTACCTAAACTGAAGAGCAAGGAGGGTGTACCAATTTAAGTTCTCCTTAATTATTAACTTTAGCCATAAATCTTACAGCAAAGAGGGTACAGAATCCTTTTACATAATGAAAATTGCTCTCCCCCCCAAAAAAAAGAGAAAGTATAAGACATTGTTATTGATAACCTCCACTGTACAGAGTCATTCCTATGGAACCAGTGACCTAGCCTTAGGGTACAGAAAGAACCTGCAATGGCATTTGATGAGACCCTAGATATGAAGTCTAAAATTCCAGATATACAGACAAACTCAAACCCAACTCAAGCAGGAGCTAATAGTGCACCTAATCACTCAACTAAAACACAGCTTCAGGGACCCATCTTTGTTAACTATCAATCTATTCAAGAAACTACACTGCTAGACACTTTCTAGCTGATGTTAATTCAGGTAAACACTTCAGAGGAAACCAGCAATTATGTAACACTCAGTGACTGAGACTCAAGACCTAGCAGGTTTCCCAACTAGAAAACTTGAACGCTCATCAGTGACACGATGCATTGAGTAAAATTTAAATACTTAGTTTAGATCTGATCCCAGCCTGTAAGCTTGCCACTAGCATAATCAGGCTGTATATAAGGTTGGTAGAGCTGGACATGGCTTACCACCTGGTATAGTTCAGAATTAAGAGGAAGTTTGTTTTGATTAGGTTACACAAGTAAGAGCTGGGGGCTACATTCCTTTGAGTTAGAGCACAGGCCATTATAAATATACAGTAGTACTGTACTGTGTTTGTTATCCTGGCTGGACTGACTCTCCCCTCCCCAATCCCAAATCCTTATCCTGCTCTCGTCTAAGTGCTATAGTCATAATGCCCTGGCACTTTCTCCTGATAGTTTCCTGTCCTTCCCTTTAAATGAGCCATTTGAATAGTCCTTGAAGCATCAATGATGTATGTGTCCGTTCCTGAATGTGTTCTAGACCATAATGTGTGCACTAGATTACTATACCTACAAGAGAAGCAGGATAATGAACTTCATAAATCATTGGATTACAGCTTCAAGAAATTGTAATTAGTCCAGGGAAAAAATACACTTTCCTTTTAAGCAGAACAAAATCTGAATCAGCCTACATTATGGCTTGATTCACAGTGCCCCGACAGTAGCACAGGAGAGGTCAAGTGGTAACAACATCAGAAATTTCACTCATGAAACTAAACAATTGAAAATCCTTCAAAGAAGAAGTAGGGCAGAATAATAACACCCTATAGTACTGTAATTAAGCAAAATAATCTCAGTCTGAATATTCTTACTTATCAGGAAATTACTATGATTATGTAGACTCATGAGCTTGGTTCAAGTTTGATTTGGGTTTACTATTTTTAGTTGTAAAACTGTATTCACCTAATTGAAGATATTAAGATATGAATGTTGATATTGTGACCTAGATCATCTATTGACTGCAGAAACTCAAACTTAGAACAAAATTACACGAACCTTAGAGCCATCCCTAAAGATAACATGGGTAACAGATGCATTTAACCTTTCTTGCACCTCTGCCCCCAAAGCACGCACGTGTTCTTTAATGACTGCAGAACGATTATCACACTCCATGCGAACCTCTACATAAGCAACAACACCTGAAGGCAAAAGTTTTCAAACAATTTAATTACAAGAATTGTTTTGATACATGTGTAACAAGACATATAACATATACTGTAATCTAATTAAACTAGACAATGGACTATTAAGTTTGTGTATTTACATTACATTACAAATGAAGCGTGACAGGAAAATCCAGTATTGGAAATTAAAAATGAGGAGACAATATACAGAATTCAATTGCCAAATAGTACATTACCCTACGAGTCTGTCTGTATATACAAATTCTTCAATTGGGTATTTGATTTACTAATTGCTTTGCATGAAAATGAATAAGGTACTGTACAGTATTTTGAGAGAAAAACTCGAAATGTATGTTTTAAACAAATTCTACATTAAATATGGGTAAGCAACATTTAAAACAACTACCCCGGTAATTATAATGAATATATTGTATATCTGAATCCATTTAATTTACTTATTATGCACCCCATACCCATCCCATGGGCAGTGGTGGAAAGTGTTACATGGGCACATAATGGGTTCAGGAACTGAACCCCATAGTTCATTTAGCTAAGCAAGTGACAATCTTGTGAAGCAAGTTACACAATTGTTAGTATTACATGCACACATACTGTTCATACATACACATACATATACTGTACAATAGAACATCGAGTGACGAACGGCTCCAGTTACGAGCATTTCGAGTAACGAGCAAGCCACTCGCAGAAAATATGTCTCGACTGACAAGCTTTCGCTCGATTAACTAGCGTTCAAGCTGGTTCTCGGACACCTCCAACGACAGTTTTGTTGTTATTTCGCAAGACGAGTTTTCCACATGACGAGCTCAGAGCCGGAACGGATTAAACTCGTTAATCGAGACGCCATTGTACATATATATATTACACACATACATGCATACACATACATATATACATACATATATATACATACATATACACAAATACATATCAATAGTCTTTTTATATCACAAGCGAGTTAAGAGGCTCACAACAGTCTCTATACAAGGCACTTTACATCTATGGTGAGTCACGCAATTACTGTACAGTACGAGTCTTGCTCCACACCTACCCAACTGGGCGGCAGCTTTACAGTAATGTTCATGCACTGCCCATCCTCCTTTTTGGGTAGCACAGTGTACTTATAGTGACAATGAGGACCATAGTACATGTACTGATGTTTAATGCAATTAGAAAGTAGAAATCAGACATATTGAATTTAGACCAGAAAAAGATTTTTGTTATGCTGCAAAGACAAACTAAACTAACCTAACTTAACCTTCTTAGACTTAATATACACTATCTGAGGCCTTGTATAGTACATATGTGTACTAGATTAGGCCTTGGAATATTTAAGATTGTTTTTTTGCTTCATTTTTTGGACTCTATTATTAAGTGAGTACTAGTAGAATTTGCTCAAAATTCTACTATCTCATTCCTTAGTACATTAATGTTTGCACTATGGTACACATATTGTAGTTAAAAAACTACTATATAAACAGGAGGATGGGTTGGCATACATTAGCTACAGTAAGCAAATTTTGGATACTTTACTAAGATTTCTTGCAGTACATCATTATGAATGAAGTACTTACACATTTCTTGGACACCATTGATGGTGTTGTCTCTGAATCCCTTTATTTTTTTCACATCCCATTATATAATAATGCAAAGTATGTGATTAGTTCTGCTGACAAAGTTTACATTTGGTCAACTCTACATCAACAGATGATGCCAACTCCCAGAGGTACTTGTAGCGGAGCCTAAGCCTAGCAGTGGTAACATGTAGAAGTCTGCTAACCTTATTGGATGATCCACTGGTACATTTTAACACGAGGGCAAGGTAATTTTCAGGAGAGCACACTAAGCCAGTATGACTATATAGCACTTGGAAGGGACACAAAAACAGGATAAGAACAGGAATATTAGGGCAGTGTGAAGAAACATAGTCCATCCACGTGAACTATCAGAGATCAGCGACCTTTGCAAGAGGAGAGGCCATCACTGTATTAACCAGTCAAAATGGTTAGATGGAAAATTTTAAAAATATACAAATGCCTAATACCCAAATTGTTTTAAAAATATTAACAAATCAAAGTCTGAAGCATCTCACCTGACAAAATTGACTTCAGTTCTGGTTGTGGTTTTGCAGGTTCTCGAGATATAGCATCACAATTATCCTTCTTCAGTCTTTCAGGATTGTTATCTGGCAATGACATGTCAGATGACAAAGCCTTATTAGACCCACCAAGATTCACATTTAAATTACGTGCCAATGCTTGTGCTCCTGGCAGTGCTTCACACGCTACCTTGCCACAAACACTCCAACGCCGACCTTTCATCTTTTTTAAACTAAGCAATAGCTGCTTTTGGGTTTCACCATTTAATAAACATGGTGGCTGTCCTTCAACTGGATCAGTTTCATCTAAATTTTGTGATTCAAGTCCCTCTATGATACCATGAATAGTGTTCTCAAGAGCTTGCTGACTACTACTGACTACTGGAGTCAATTGGAGATCTTCACTATTAAAGTGCAAAGTTACATTTTCTCCCTTTCCAACTTCTAAATTATCACCTTCGACTTTACTATCACCTTTATTGGGTAATTGTGACCGCAGCATTTTCCTGGAGTTTGTGGGCAGAGGTTTGGTTGGTGTATTCATTGATCTCCTTGGCTTGTGTTCCTTTTCTATGATTGATCTAACTTTATGTGAACCATTTGTAGAATTATTAAGATCAAATGGTAATATAATGTCAGCTAATGATAACCTTTTTTTACCTTTTACAGGAGAAAGCATCCCAACTCTCTCTGTTACTCTTGTTCTTCTTCTTTCATTATTATTATTCTGACCAAAAAGCATTGAACTGTTTTTCATTTGTTGAGATTGGAGGGATTTTGCGAAGGAATGTTCAGACTCCAAAATAGACAACAGTTTCTTAGTTCTGCCCAAATTAAGATCTGGTGTAATAGCAAATGTGAGGGAATCATCATTCGTTTCATTGATTTGATCACTATTTTGTACAACAGCTTCATTATGTTCATGGTTCTTATTATCTGCATTGGTAACACAGTTATTTACAATATTTAGTAATTCATCATCTGGAGTTTCCATCACAGACGTAAAGGTGGAGCCCGTAACTACACTCGTACTAGAATTTGTAGGTGTTTCTGGTACGACTAATGAGGTAGCACCAGTACTATTCCTCATTTGTGGATTGAAAAGGACATCTTGCAGATCAGGGGAAGTTTTTTTGGACCCTAATGGAGTTTTCTGTCGACCTCTTCCTCTTTTCTTCATCTTTGATATTCAAACGAATCTTGTAAATCCAAAACCTGAAATTATGAAGAAAAATTTTCTTTAGTAATGTATGCTATTACAGTATAGCTACAGGATGGTATATGTAATCTACACTGATTGGAAAATATGATCCAAGTAACACAAAATGAGTGCTAAAAAGATATATTTTAAATATAGTACCACTAACCATAATCAAAAAGATTTTTTTCCATTTTTTTTAAATGTTGTAATTTTTTGGAACTTTGTTATCTGCATTTGAATTACATTTCTAAAGAAAATGTGTTCTTTGTATATATACACCATATTGGTGATGACTTTTTTACATAGGTGGGTACAGGAATAGACAACTTCTGACTCCTATTAACAGGCTGAAAGTTTTCCCTTCCCAAATCTCATTGTAAGCCTTGCCCACTAGTTTTCCTTGGAACACTACCCACCCCTATCGAGCACCGCTCCTGTACCAGGTAAGTCCACTATGGGCTCACCATAGCCCGTGCTACTTGCCCCGCTCCTGTGCCAGGTAAGTTACGGGCTCACCATAGCCCGTGCTACTTGGAACTTGTTCCGAGTAGCTGAATCTATAACAACAACATACCCACCAATCAGTTAACAACCAGGTACCAAATTATTACTGGGTGAACATGGGTGAACAGTTAAGGATTGGCACCCAGACAATCCTCCCTGGCCAGGCCTTGGCCAACCTTCACCAAATAGTTAGCGAGGCACGGTGCGAGTCTTACCACTATGCCACCAAAGACCTCTCTTGCAACCTGACTTTTATAAGTTAATAGTTTCATAAGTTTTACTTTGTTACTTGCCTCTTTACCAATAACACCTAGGTTGCTTGATTTACTTAATTATTAAAGTACTCCTTCCCAGGTTAATTAGTGTTATCAAAAGATCACAATTAAGGAAAGTGGTGATCACTGTGTCTCTGACAATATATGTAGTGAGTTGTTTATCTAGTTGTCTGCTCTTGGTCTGAGCAGTGTTGGAGTAAAGTATATAGGTGCAAATTGAGTGTATATACCATGGCTCCTATGCTAACTAAACATCATTAGTCCGAGTTGGATTGGGTTCCTTTGTGGCCAGTAATTAAGTAACAGTGGCAGGTGAGGTGATAAGTGAGTAACCCAGCAAAAGTAACATCAAGTAAGTGGAGACACAGGTGGCAAGTTTCCTTACACCTGATGCAGCTATTCCAAAACCTCTTTGGGTAAAAAAAAAAGGTTGCTGGTTCATACGTTTACTCGCCACGTTATAAGAATGGTGGTTTGCCGTGTTATAATCAGATTACTAATTAGGGCCACCATCAGGTTTCTAACAAGGGCCATCATTAGGTCAATAACAAGGGCCCACCATCAGATCAGTCACTAACAAGGGCCATCATTAGGTCAATAACAACCCTCATATCATAAGTCACCAATAAGAGCCACCTTCAGGTCAGTCGGAACAAGGGTGATCCTTAGGTCAGTCACTGTCACAGCTGGTCCCAGAAAGTCACTGTCAAACTTCATGTTGATGCAGCATCCCTGATAACATCTCCCACACTTAACTACATCACTCTAGCCTCCGTAACTCACAATACACACACACCACAACCTCACTACAACAACAACAACGTGCAGTTCGCAACAGTTACACTACAGATCAATAACTTCTTGGTGATACGTGCAGTTTACCAGATCAACAACACACCACAGCTCGCGGGTCTTTCTTAACCACTGACAAACAAAGGCCGCCTCTCCATTACCATCAAGATATCTCTTTGCTAATATTAATACAACTATTCTTCACTATAAAATACCCTTATAAGGTAGTTGCATACACAATTATTACAATTAAATTTGTTTTAAATCTTTGAAACAAATTAAGGATATGTCATGAGGAGTTATGAAAATGTTTCGTGGGAGCTAAGACATCTTTGACCACTTGCGAAGCGCCCGCACAATACACTTGAAATTAGCATCAACCTTTTATTTGAAATACATAGAAGTTATTTTATCTTGTTAACGTAATATTCATCATAATTTGTTTAGTAGTTTTTACCAGGCCTATATGTGTACTCAGCTTTTCAACCAAATCCTAAAAATTTGTTAGTTTTTATCAAAGTAAATTATCATTATTTTTTGTACCAATAAGTTTAGGCATTGTACAATGTGCTACTTCCCTATTTTATACGAGGGGGTTACAAAGCATAGATCAAGAGCTAGTTATGAGTTCTTCTAATATCCCCATTTAACATGATGGTTAGTCATACATGTTTAGATTAGTTCATTTATTATGCACCCCATACCCATCTTGTGGGCGGTAGTGGAAAGGGTTACAGAGGCACATAATGGGCTGGAAATGCAATAAGAGACAATATGAGAACACTATAGTCAATATTCCACTAACCAACTATGGGAACAACACGAGAATATTTTCCAATATTCGTGAGTATATGAACTAATGATGACTTTAAAGTAACCCATGCCATTTAGTCGAAAATCGGTGTTTACAGGGCACCACACATATATGTATGTCCTGGAGTGTCCTGTCACGTGGAAACCATTCACATGGTTTACAATTGGAGTCTTACCTGAATTTACCTGAGGGCCGTCATCTCTCTATAGTGGCCTTGACAGTGACAGGAATTTTAATTTCACATCCGCAGGTGGTGCAAACTCCCAAATACTTATATAGCCGAGCCTAAGCCAAGCAGTATGGAAACATCTGCTGATTTGATTAGTTGATATATAGACCTAGATGTGTGATACTTCCTGCATGATATTATAATGATAAATGGCATAGCTTGTGTAAATTTAGAGTAGACCAGAATTCTTTATAGCATGATAATGATAACCAAAGTCCTGTTGACATTCCATAATAGACCTATACTCATCACTGAAATCCATCAACAACGATAGCCTAATTAATTGCTTCATGATAAAAGTCCTGATAGCAGTTCATAATAGCCAAATGGCACTGCAGTCCATGATAACATAATTCCTGGTAAGATTTCGTAATGTAGTGGTGCTGCTGAAGACTGGAGTTGCTCGATCAACCAAATCCATTAACTTTGTATCTTACCTTGTATGTATGTACCTTACCTGAATAAAAATTTATTTATTTATTTATTTTAGTTTAAGCATACCTTGGTGTGGTTAATAATATAGTACATATACTATATTAGACCTATGATAGGTTTGTTTAACTTGTTCTCTTCATTTATTTCCTTGCTTTTTTCCTTAGATCATAACACTACATAAAATATAAGTATCTGAAAAAATTGAGTCATAATTGTAATTAAAATCAGGGGGAAAGGTCTACAGCTTCCCCCAATAAAGTGGAATGTCCCATTTCCTCTACGGGGCCACAGTATGGGTATGGGGGTGAACTAATGTTACACTAATCTCTGCTTAGGTAGAAGATCCTGCCTATTCACCAACGTATCTGCATGCTCCAACACAAGGAATCAACATCAACGACAACAACAATACGTGCTTAGAAGCCTTAGTGTCTATTCAAGTATGTTTATTGAGACACGAAAAAAATACATCTCAAAGGGATAGGGTAGCTTAGGCTATTTCTACACCCCCTTCAATGTCTAAACAAGACACCCCCCCCCCCATCCATCTTCTAGTACCCGAGACACCTAGACACCTGTTGTCTGGAGGCAGCGCCACTCGCTGGTCGACCATTACTATTATTATTATTAACATCTTTATTGACAACAGCCAGAAAAGCCACTGCTCTATTTTTCAGATTAATGTCACACTAAACTAAATAACTAAACTAAATCATTCACAGGGACATGTACTCGTCACGCAGGGTGAGGACCTGAGAGCGTCCGGGTGACAGTGGGGGCTCACAGGGCCAGGCACTCAGGATCCGAGTGACAGTAGGGCTCACATGGCCAGGCATTCAGGATCCGGGTGACAGTGGGGCTCACATGGCCAGGCATTCAGGATAACGGGTGACAGTGGGGGCTCACAGGGCCATGCAATCAGGACCTGCGAGCGTCCAGGTGACAGTGGGGGCTCACAGAACCAGGCACTCAGGACCTGAGAGCGTCCAGGTGACAGTGGGGGCTCACATGGCCAGGTACTCGTCACGCAATATGAGGACCTGAGACAGCACAGGTGAGCTCCGCAGGGTGCGGAGCTTCGCCATCTCACGTTGTACATCCTGCAACGGGGAAGAACTGATCACTATCACCATTACTATATCATAGTTTCGTTAACAACCCCTAGGAGTAATCACAGAACCCTTTGAATGATGTTTTCATTCAAACGTTTGACACCTCTTCAACAAAATAAGTTATTATTACATTCACCAAAGGTTGAGGAAAACGAATCGAAAATCATCCTAGAGCTAATCTAATACGTTTGAGAAAAAAGATGCAGATTACAGGATTAATAACTCTTCAGATAAGACAAGGCAGCCGAGCTGATATCGCAGAGGCATACTGAACATAGATAACGTTACTCTAAACTACTTCATCAGCAAGTTCATGTAAATACAGATGAATGTGTGTGTGTGTGTGTGTGTGTGAGAGAGAGAGAGAGAGAGAGAGAGAGAGAGAGAGAGAGAGAGAGAGAGAGAGAGAGAGAGAGAGAGGAGAGAGAGAGAGAGAGAGAGAGAGAGAGGGGGGGAGAGAGAGAGAGAGAGAGAGGGGAGAGAGAGAGAGAGAGAGAGAGAGAGAGAGAGAGAGAGAGAGAGAGGGGGAGAGAGAGAGAGAGAGAGAGAGAGAGAGAGGAGAGAGAGAGAGAGAGAGAGAGAGAGAGGGGGGAGAGAGAGAGAGAGAGAGAGGGGGAGAGAGAGAGAGAGAGAGAGAGAGAGAGCTGATACTGGAGCAACTGCACCCTGCGTGACGGGAGATGTCTCCCATGTTCGGCTCCTTGGTCCCGACTCTCAAATAGTGTACAGATTCATGAGGTTCTGTCATATGTGTACACGCGCGAGCACTGACCTGGACGAGGTGTGTGTTGCGAGCAGCAGCCGTCAGCTGGTCCCCGCGGGGGTCGGCGGCCCCCTCCTGCTGCCTCTCCTGGTGGGCCGCCCACAGACGCTCACGCACCGCCCCCCTGATCATACACCTCACCATTATTTTTTTTTTTTTTGAGATATATACAAGAGTTGTTACATTCTTGTACAGCCACTAGTACGCGTAGCGTTTCGGGCAGATCCCTGGAATACGATCCCCGCCGCGAAGAATCGTTGTTACAACCAAGTACACATTTTACTGTTGCGTTAAACAGAGGCTACAGTTAAGGAATTGCGCCCAGTAAATCCTCCCCGGCCAGGATACGAACCCATGACATAGCGCTCGCGGAACGCCAGGCGAGTGTCTTACCACTACACCACGGAGACTGTACACATAGCATGCACATAGCATGACCAAACTAAATTTTTTGGTCTAGACGTTTGGAGCGTCTTGGTCTAGATGTAGACGCTCCAAACTCATTAGCTTAATGACAAACTCATTAGCACTAATTACGAGACTCAAATCTTTTCCCCAATTACAGTCAACATTCCTTCCATCCTTCCAACCTATTGGAGGACAGTCAATATACATTCAGAATATATACTAACAGAATTTTCTTGAATGTTACAGTGATTTTGTTTTAGTTTTTACAACAACACTAATTATATACGCTTAGAATTTCTGGCAAGTCTTAGAAATAACACATTTGATAATAAATACTGACATACACATCTTTATAAGCAGTACATCATATCATATTTGTGTTTAAGGGGGGTAGAAAAAGCCTAAGCTACTCTATCCCTTTGAGATGTATTTATTGCTTATCTCAATAAACATACTTGAACTTGAACTTGATTTGTGTTTAATGATCAAACAAACATGAATAAGGACACAAAACACAATCGCAGCTAATTAGTTAAATTACACAGTCAAACAGTTTAATGTCATGCATAATAATATAGACAAATAAATGATTAAACAACTGCAAGACACTCACAGCTCTCTTCTCTTTTTCTTAAGGTCTTCTAGCCTTTGACTGAGGTCCTTGTTCATGATCTCTGTTGGGTAGTTCCTTCGTCTCTGATCTCTGACTGGTGGTGACCCTTGACCTCCTGTCTCTCTCCAGGCCACTATAGAGAGGGTGATCACGACGAAATTAAATAAATAAATAAATAAATGTTTATTTAGGTAAGGTACATGCATACAAGAAATTTTTACAAAGATTAGTGGACTTATAGATAGAGCTAGTACATACAATGCCTAAAGCCACTATTACGCAAAGCGTTTCAGGCTTTGTTTGTGAAACACGTCATCTTTAATTGTATTACGAGTTAATTAAAACTAATTGAATAAACTGTAATAATTACTATTTTATATATTTTACATATATACATGTTAGGCTAGTGTCGAGGTCAACTTCAGGATGTATCTAAAAAAAGGAGCAGAGGCACTCTTTTTATACACTCTCAATAGTGTATAAGAAGTCACTGGTAACAGGAGAACTGTCAAAAATTTGTAAGACGGCTATTGTAGTCCCAATATACAAGAAGGGAGAAACAGACAGGAGACACTGAACTACAGATCATTGTCCCTAACTTGCATACCATGTAAGGTGATGAAGATTGTGGGACACAAGTAATAGAACATAGAGAAAAAGAACTTTGTAATACATTACCAGCATGGGTTCAGGGACGGCAAATCTTACCTCACAGGATTAACAGAATTCTATGACCGGGCGACAAATATTAGGCAATAAATAGGAGGGTAGGCTCCTACTGATTTTGTTAGTAGTTAACAAACTCGTTCAGTAGACAGCAGTAAAGTGTCACCAAGTTAGTTTAGTTCATTTATTATGCACCCCATACCCATCTTGTGGGCGGTAGTGGAAAGGGTTACAAAGGCACATAATGGGCTCAGGGACTGAACTCCACAATGCATTTAGCTAAACAAGTTACAATCTTGATGAGCTAGTTACAAAATTCAGTATAAGTCGTCACCTCAACAATGGGTTCGAGATCGACCACAAGTACAGTTTCTAAATTAAGCAACTGACATATGTGGAGAGCTAGTGTCACAATTGATATGTTTGTCCTGCACACCGCCCCCCATCAGTAAAGTGTCACAAAGTGTCATAAAATGTTTTGTTAATTTCCGTTGTCATGGTTACATAATGACATTCATTCAGCAATAAACTTTCTAATATACTGAAATATTAAACTATCAGTATAATTGTATGAGACTACAAAGTGCCCCAAATACTATTATTTTTTTTTAATTAAGCATAAGTAGCTATTTATTATATTGAAACATAAGTAAAGTGGAGACTTAAGAGGCACTTGTGAATGTCAGAGGATGTTTACAAACTTAGCCATGGAGGCTGAGGGTGACAAGCCGCAGCAGGAGACGGAAAACCTCTCCTGTAGCCTGGATGAGGTGGATTATCCTCCTAATAACTACATCTACCGCTGGATTGATGGGCTGTTTGTCGTGGGGGGGATGATCACCTTCTTCGTCGACTGGGTAAGGCCTCAGCCGCCGCTGCTGAGTGAGTGTCTCAAAATGGAGGTCACTTGCACTTTGGACGACTCGAGGGATTTTTGTTGCCAGACTTGGTGGTGGTGGTGGTGGTGTCTGCTGCGTGTGCATGCTAATGCTACACTTCTGCTTGTACACGCAGTTATGTGTACGCTCTGTTTGGGTTTGTTGCAAAGTTGTTTTTGTGTTGTGTTTAATGATAATTGTTCTGCACAACCAATAAAGTCTGATTCTTAAGAAATTATATACTGTGTATATAAATATTTGTTAGGTGTTTGCCACTTTCTTATTGGGCATTTGCCACCTTTTGTTGTGTATTTGGCACTTTTTTCTTGGGTGTTGACCACTTTTTAGTTGGGACTTTCTGTGGAGAGCCTCTCCAGCTCCCCCTGAACTATACCGGCCTAATATGTAAATATATTAGACTGTGGCATCAGTCAATTCGATTGGAGTTCTAGCCCACCGGGGACCACAACCCAGAACCTGGCCCCCTCAGAGAGGCACGAGAAGCAATGGCCTATAGAAACCCCCCATGTGCTTCGAAGCATTCTATGTCTTCCATCTACCTGGTTGGCACCCAGAAAGGAAGGCATCCCAAAACAGACTCCACCTGGCAAAAATTGCTACCAAAAACTGAACTATTAAGCAGAATTCTACAATCTGAAAACAAGCAAAAAAGCATGACGTCACAACCGCTGCCACGCCGCTGTCTTCGAGCCCTTGCTTGATGAGCCCCTCACTACGAGTCCTTGTTTGATGAGCCCCTCACATCGAGCCCTCGCTCGATGTGTTCAAAGATGCATCGTCTCTTGGCTGGGGCTTTGTGACCAGTGCTCACCAGGCAGGCCAGGGGCAGTGGGGACCGTCCTTCCATCAGCCCACAGCATGGTGCGGGAGTTTGTGTCCGTGTGGATGTCCCTTTGGAGGATTCGGGTCGCTCGAGGTTCGACGATCCGGCTCCATTCGGACTGCTCCCCAGTGGTTCATTGCCTGAACCGCAGGGGTTCGATGTGGCCCTTGGCTCTTTGGGAGCTGGTCACTTCAGGTGACTTGTCTGCTGAGTTCTCAGGGTTTGACTCTCCTGGCCGTTCACGTTCGGGGGGTGTCCAACATCCTGGCGGACGGCCTGTCATGGTTCATTCCCCTGTCTACGAAGTGGACGGTCGACACAAACTCGTTCAGTTGACTCTGCTGGATGTACAGGCTCCCAGAGGTGGTCCTCTTTGCTTCGGTGTGGTCGAGGCATCTCCCGAATTATGTGGTGCCCTTCCCTGACTGCGAGGCCATCAAGGTTGATGCCCTCAGGCAGGACTGGTCGAGGTGGGGTTACCTGTACAGTACCTCTTTTTCCCTAGTCCTGCTGTTGCTCAAGGTCCAGGCTCGCTTGGAGACTTACCAAGGGAAAGTACGGTAGTCCTGTTGGCCCCTTGGTGGGGGCCATCACCTTGTATCGTGCAACACTGCCAGAGCCGCTTCAGCTTGTGTTCGGGGTGGATGTTTCTTCTGCTCCGTTCCGCAAGCTGTCTCGTGCGTTATTTCACCTTCGGCCTGCTCATGTGCCGCCTGAGCCGTCCTGGTCGTCGAACCGGGTGCTCTCTTTTCTTTCTTCTCCTCCTCGGTTTATTGTGGCCCCTTCAATTCAAGAGTATTTTGCGAAGGCTCTTTTCCTGTTGGCATTGGCCTCTGGGGGTTGGGAGGGGGAGCTTCACACTCTCCTCCGGCGCAGAGGTTTCTGTTCTTTTGGTCCTGGTGGTAGGTTTATTCGTTTGCAGCCGTCTCCCTCTTTTCTGGCGAAGAATGACACTGCTGCTTTCTGGAGGGGGCCCTTGGGTTGTTGATGCTTGGTTGGTTCAGCCAGGGGTGCATCATGTGTTGTGTCCAGTTGCGACTCTTCACCGTTACCTGTGTGCCATGGCCTCGTTGGCCGGGGATGCATTTTGGGTTGACCCGGTTTCCCTTCTTCCTTGTTCCAGGGTTCGGGTCTCCCAGGTCATCCACAGGGTTATTCACTCCAGCCAGCCTGCGGTGTATCCTCGTGCCCATGACATTCATAAGTTTGCTGTGTTGGCTACTGTCTTTGGTAATACAGTATGTCTTGGGCTGACATTCAGGCATGGGGTTTTGGGAGATCAAACAGGGTCCTGGCCGCTCACTACCTAGTCAGTGTTCCTGACCCTAGTCGGGCATGTGTTGCATTGGGTCGGCAGTTGCAGCCAGTTGTCTCGACTTCGTGTTTAAGGGCGAGTGCCGACCACCTCCCGAGTGAGTCCCTCTTGGTTTTGTCTTTGGGTAAGTAGCTCCGGGGAGCTGCAGGGGCTTCCCTCAGAAAACCAGCATTGAATGTAATGAAACACCGTTTTCTGGGTGAGACCCTGAGGCTCCCCAGCAACTCTCCCTCCCTCTGGTCAGTGGTTTTGCGGTTCTTAACATAGAGCCTCTGAACTGGAGGTGGATAGCTGGTGCGGGGTTCTGGAGCTCCCTCTTCCCTGCAGTACACAGTACTGTACTGTGTGCCTATCACAGTACTGTGCACACTACTGTACTGTCCTAGCACAATACTTTGCTGCTAGGGGGAACTGCTCGGACAGCGGCGCGGTGACGGTTGTGACCGTCATGCTCGTTTGGTTGTTTTTAGTTGGGGGAGTTCTGTTTCACAGTTCGACTTCCAGTAGCAATTTTTTAACCGGATAGGGTTTGTTTTGGAGCGCCTACCTTTCTAGGTCAATGGCAGACATAGAATGCTTCCAACCACATGGGGGGGTTTCTATAGCCCACTGCTCTTCTTGCCTCTCTGAGGAGGCCAAGTTCTGGCTCGTAATCCTCAGTAGGCAGAACTCCGCTCACTTTGATGCCATGGTCTAATATATTCATATCAGCCCAGATAGCTCTGTGGAACTTCTGGGTCTCACCCAGAAAATGGCTTTTCATTACATTCAACGCTGGGTTTTTTACATACAATATTGTAGTATATTATGTATAGTCATACAATTATAGCTCTTTCTGCTTATAATTATCTCATCTTTTCTTTTGTACAGTATTACTGGCAGTTCTTAAAACCTAACCTATAGTATTTGATAGTTATTATTTTAATATTGTGTGGTACAATTTTATCATACAGGACAAATGGGGGGGAACTTTGACAAGCCACCGGCTTCCTGTCCTCGAGGCCATTAGAGAGATAGTGGCCCTCAGGTAAATTCAGGTTAAATACACTGACCTTGCATAGGTATAATGCTAGTTATACATACAAGGATGGGGGATACATGGTATTAATATATTAATCTGACATATAATACAGTAATACTGTACTGTACTGGCAAAATGTGTGTTTATATACAGTATATGTATGTATAATTTACAATTATAATATATGATGTATATACTGTATAATGTATACTGTATGTGTATATATGTATGTATGCATACAATATAAACTGTATGAGCTCGGTTATTTAAGTCCGTTGAACCGAACATTTGGATTATTCAGGCAAGATCGAGTCTGGATAATTTTCTGTCAAAACGTTGCCTTATCTGGACAGAAATTCATAAAATCAAGGATTTTACAGTACCGCATAACCAAAAATGACATCAGGCTGTACCATATAAATCCCCTACAGCAGTACAGCCTAAAGTATATATACACACAGGCTTTATGTCCCTGACAAAACATATCATAGCTTAGATTTTTAAGACATTGTTTCTAGCTTATAGTTATATTTTCAAAACATAAATATATATTTAATTCATCTGTATACATATTACAGTACTGTGTATTTAGATATAACTATAGTGAAAATAAGATTGACTGGTGTATCAGATTAGTAGACCCAAACATCTTTGATTTAGCACTACAAAGCACACTGCACTACAAACCCTTGTTCTGCAGTACACACTACACTACAAACCCTTGTTCTGCAGTACACACTGCACTACAAACCCTTGTTCTGCAGTACACACTGCACTACAAACCCTTGTTCTGCAGTACACACTACACTGCAAACCCTTGTTCTGCAGTACACACTGCACTACAAACCCTTGTTCTGCAGTACACACTACACTGCAAACCCTTCTTCTGCAGTACACACTACACTACAAACCCTTGTTCTGCAGTACACACTACACTGCAAACCCTTGTTCTGCAGTACACACTGCACTACAAACCCTTGTTCTGCAGTACACACTACACTACAAACCCTTGTTCTGCAGTACACACTACACTACAAACCCTTGTTCTGCAGTACACACTACACTACAAACCCTTGTTCTGCAGTACACACTACACTACAAACCCTTGTTCTGCAGTACACACTACACTACAAACCCTTGTTCTGCAGTTCACACTACACTACAAACCCTTGTTCTGCAGTTCACACTACACTACAAACCCTTGTTCTGCAGTTCACACTACACTACAAACCCTTGTTCTGCAGTACACACTGCACTACAAACCCTTGTTCTGCAGTACACACTGCACTACAAACCCTTGTTCTGCAGTACACACTGCACTACAAACCCTTGTTCTGCAGTACACACTGCACTGTAAACCCTTGTTCTGCAGTTCATACTACAAACCCTTGTTCTGCAGTTCACACTACAAACCCTTGTTCTGCAGTTCACACTACAAACCCTTGTTCTGCAGTTCACACTACAAACCCTTGTTCTGCAGTTCACACTACAAACCCTTGTTCTGCAGTTCACACTACAAACCCTTGTTCTGCAGTTCACACTACAAACCCTTGTTCTGCAGTTCACACTACAAACCCTTGTTCTGCAGTACACACTACAAACCCTTGTTCTTTTGTCGCACATAAAATGATGCTACAAGGCTTACAATATGTATTGGTACATTACTACTGTTCAGTATTTCTTTAGTTTAGTGAACCTCAGAAATTGATGGCTAGCAATTTCCATTTATATGTAATGTACCTGCCACAATAACCAGAGATAATCAACATACTGTATTTTAATATACAGTGCAGTGCTAGGGAAATAGTTTTACATTAATCAGTATCATTGCTGCTAATGGCGAGTAGATATAAAAATTAGGGAATGATAATAATAATGTATAGAGATGTGTTCTGCTCAAGGAAACCTTATGTGTGTAACCTTATTATGTTTTTCAGAAAATGCAACAAATTACTTGCTGTTAGAAAGTAAAAACAAACTTCTTTGTGAAAATTGTGATAAAAATATGTAGCAATAGAGGCTCAGTTCTGTATCCTTAAACTACGACTTGAAGGGTTTGAAGAGGATATAAATCCAAGAGGTTCTCTTAATACAGGTTATTGGAGAACTGTTTTCTTAATTATATTTTGCTTGCATCTTGTGACTGCGTATTTCTCACCAGTTTGAAGGCTGACCCTTTCCAGAAGCTTGGGTTATGTTACGTCTTATTGCATTAGATATTTATAATCATAAGGCTGACCCTTTCCAGAAGCTTGGGTTTTGCAATGAAACATATCTCATTGCAGTATGTGTCTATGTCAAAGAGCTACTTGAGCTGTGTGTGCACCACTACTCTCACCTTTTTTGTTTCAGGGTTTCGACATATTAACTGCATATACCCACTGGAAGCATAATGACGTCATCTGGTTCACGCTTACTGTAATTTTTATAGGCGTTCCATCTTTAGTTATGACTGTTGTTTCACTTCACTGGTAACTGTCCATTGTTCATTTTGTAATGACATTAAGTTTGCATGTCCCTCTATTTATTAATTAATATGGCACAATATCTAATCAAATATTCATACACTTAAACCTCTGAGGCTTTGCTCATTAACATTAGTACATTTAGTATATCTTTGCTTGATTATATGCCATCACTGCATGACAATAATTTACTAATATTGAGTTTTCAGATGTTCTCAGTAGCACTTATGTATTTCCATTTTGCTTCTGCTCATGTCTGAAAAGCCTTGCTTCCTGATTCATGCTTGACTTTGCTATTGTAACATCATTTACATTCATCATGTATGGTAGTTGCTATTGTACAGAATTTTAAATTTGACTTCTTTTCTTGACCTTGCTAATTTTCTTCTCATTAATTGCCTATTAATAATCAAGATAAAGAGCTACAGTCATAATACACAGGCACAGTCCACTCATTGCACTCCCACAGCTTTCATTCCAATAGCCTAACTGCACTCCCAAGTCTTACAGCCTCCATTCATTCCCATGGCCTCACTATGCTCGTATAAGCATCCCTGAACTCCCACAACATCCTCGCTAAACTCATAACATTTTTTATATTTTGTTTCTGTTCATTAATGAATTTTCTCTGACTGTGTTTCTGGGATGGACTCGTCAGAGACTTCATGAGCTTGACTCTGGTACTACCAAGCCTTAGTGCAACACACCAGGCCTCCGAGATACATCTGTCATCTATTGGGAAGAGGGCGAGAAACTGGCTCTCACTACAAGGTATGGGAGCAGGGGAATCAAAGATCAATTACAAAACCATTGACGTCACAGAAAGCTCGTCACTGATTGGCTGAGCAACTGAGCCCCCGCCAGTCACCTCTCTCGCTTTGCCTGAGCTCTTAGACAGTGTCGCTGCACTACATCAAATCCCAGATGTGTCACTGCCTGCCTGGGCATCATTTTGTTTAACAATTGCCCTCAATTCACCCCTTTACAGCCAAATATTATGCAAGATTATAAATAAGACTCATTCCTTTTTAACTTAAAATTCAGCTTGGGCCGTCTGCAGTCTTTCTAGGTGGGTAAAAATGACTCTTGAGGCTGGGAAGAATGGTTATTAGACATCGATCATAACATTAGTTAGTCATTCCTGTTCCTCGTGTCCCTTATTTAAAGACCTATCTTTCCCAGGTTCTCTGCATGTTGGTTCGGTCCAGTCAGCTGGCTGTTTGTGCCTGATCTGGGATGTACAGTTGTTTGCTACTTGATGACTTTCTTTGCTGTTTTGTCCATGGCTGATGTTTGAACTTGGGGCTTCTGGTGGCTCTACTGATAATGACCTCTTGATCCTTGTTTGTTGTTTGTCTGTCTTGCAGTGCCAATGTTAGCTTGGGCATTTAGTGTGTAGCTACCATTCTTCGCCTAAGGCCCTCCTGACTCCTGCCGTTCTTCTACAGATTAGTCCAGTTCAATTTTTCCATTTACAGATAAGATGGCCTCCTCTATTGAGGTGCTGTTGTAAGCTCAGCAAGTTATTGACGGGGCCCTCCCAGATATTGAACATTGAATGTAATGAAATACCGGATTCTGGTGGGTTTCTAGTGACTTCTCATCTGCCCTCTTCCCTTCTTCTGCATGGATTTATGGAATTTTGCATGCGCAGCTCCAGAGTGAGGTGGCAGGCTTGCTGGGACCTCAGGTGACCTGGGCTGCCATTGGTAACAGTCAGTAACATGATTTGGTAATTATCCTGTTACAGCAATTGTTTGTCTTGTTTATCTATGGGTGCCTATGCTTTCTTGTGAATTTCTCTTGAGTTTTGTGGTTGATCTCTGATCCTAAGCTTGTAGAGTGAACCAGATTTTGGTCCTGGTCCTCATAGGTGAAGAATGGGTCTCAGATGGTACCAAAGTCAAGCTCAGGAATCTACTGGAGGCCCACTAGAAAATGGCATTTCATTTGTCAATACTTTATTGTTATAAACCCTGCTAAGAAAAACAAGGCTGATATTTGTAAATATTGTACAGTACTGATACAGTGTATCTGTTCAGTAGTGATTAGTCTTGTGTGATGTGGTGTTCTTATTCAGTTGCAATACAGATTTAATGTATATCATTTATAATTTACTTGGTTGAACTTAATTCAAAATGCAGAATGATTTTGGCTTTGTCATACAAGGCAATGATTTAATACTAACAATTTAAACAAATTCTTGAAATTACAATTTGTGCTTCACATTTCTTCAAACATTTATTCAGCTTATTCTTTTCTGAGATGAATCAGTTGCTGTATTACAGATATAACTTAAAAATAGACATAATGCAAATATTTAGAATCTTTTTTTTTATCTCTCTTTTTTTTTTACAAGTTCTACTATTTACTTTTCATCTGCAGGTACATTAAAGATGGTGATAATCCAGATGTACCAAAAGCTTCAATGGTCCGGTGGGTTGTGCGCATAATTGTGCTATTATTTCAGCTTGGCCCAGTTCTTAGGTAAGTCTGTATATAGTTTTATTAATGTGTTGATTGTGTAATACATTATAAGTTTAATTAAAAACAATACAAGTCTTTTTCAATGCAGTTTACGTATTAAGTAATACTAGATAAGTGGAATGCAAGATAAGGTTTAATTTGTTTTAACATTGAAAAAGATATTAATACAAATACAGACGATGAGTCAAAATAACACGGCTGAAGATATGATGATCAAACCACGCATCAGAAAATAGAGAAACGATGATGTTTTGATCGTCATTCCATCGCAAGACATGATAATGGTCCAGGACAATCTGAAACGTCATCGTTTCTCTATTTTCTGATGTGTGATTTTGTCATTACAGACGCTTATGGACGTTTGGATGCTTATTTGGTCATATAAAACACACAAAACATGCTTAAAGTGACAAATTTAGCAGCAGTGATAGTACTGTATACAAAGCCAGCCAGGTATGCATAGTTATATTGTAATGATACACTATTGTTTCCCTTTTCTTTCAAACACTGAGATTTGCTCTTACTAGCATTTGTGATGTCGTCCGTCATCAATGTGAAGACACACACACATTCACGTCTATCATGTGCTAGTTAGAACTCTAACTAGCATTCACTTCCATAATTTACTACACTTCCACAGCCTCACTGCTCATCTTAGCCTCACTGTATACTTTCTTGACACTATCTTACCCACTAGATGAACATTTGCTCATTGTATTGGTCACTCATTAACACTTAATTATTTATATTATTATTTTTTTATAATATTATTCCTGTTACTGTTAATTTTTGTTATTTTTCTAAGGTTTGGGGTCCTTAGTCCGGTGCTGGGACCCTTAATTAGTTACTCCCTTTCAGTTATGAAACGGTTGAAAACGTTCACTTTCCATTGCTGGTGATAAGATGTTGCGTATGATAACAGTTCAATCTCTCTCTCTCTCTCTCTTAACAGATATTTTGATGCATTGTATCATGGAATAAAAAGTCGGAGATATTGGAAAGAAGGCGACAAGAAACAGCAGCGGGCATATTACACTCTAATGCTGTATGAGGATAGTGATGGTGTTTTCCTTCGTCTATTTGAATGCTTTATGGAGGCGGCTCCACAGTTGGTGCTTCAGCTCTATATCTTGACTCAGAAGCCAGAGTCAGTGGAATATAATAGAAAATGGCGTGAGTGCTCTTACAGTACTGTGAATAGTAATTCAAGAAAATTGCAGTAGTATTCTAGTTGTAGTTATTTACAGATTTCATGATTTTTTAAATCCTCTTTGAAATGCTTGTTTTCTGAGAATTAATCTGTTTTCTTGATTACTTTAACCATTACTATGCCAGTTCTTAATATATCTATATTTCTCATAACATCAGAAACTTGAGGTCTATTCTCGCCTCTCCTTTAACACAAGAGAATCTGCATCATTTCTATATTCCATCTTATGGTGGCCTGGTATTACAAACTTAATGTGCATTTTGAGAAACAATCATTATATATGTCACAGAGATAACCAACATATTATGAACATATCTAGATATCGAGCCATTGCAAAGGTTCCTCAAAACGGCCAAGGCATCCATCTTGCAAAGGTACTGTTAGGTGATAAAGAATTACTTTATGAAACAGATCAAGTTAGGTAAAGTAGTGGGTATGTTTGAGTTTAAGTGAATGCTGTAAGGTTAAAGAAAATTATTTTTAATATTGGTTATTTTCATTTGAAACTGCTGTCACTAGTGAGTATTTGTGTATATGTTCTGAAGGTTGTTTAGTTACTAAAGCACGCTTTGAACATTTATAACCTAGAACCACCTTGGAACATTTATACACCAGTACCACCTTGGAACATTTATACAGTACACCAGAACCACCTAGGAACATTTATACACCAGAACCACCTTGGAACATTTGTACACCAGAACCACCTTGGAACATTTATACACCAGAACCACCTTGGAACATTTATACACCAGAACCACCTTGGAACATTTATACACCAGAACCACCTTGGAACATTTATAACCTAGAACCACCTTGGAACATTTATACACCAGAACCACCTTGGAACATTTATACACCAGAACCACCTTGGAACATTTATACACCAGAATCACCTTGGAACATTTATACAGTACACCAGAACCACCTAGGAACATTTATACACCAGAACCACCTTGGAACATTTATAACCTAGAACCACCTTGGAACATTTATACACCAGAACCACCTTGGAACATTTATACACCAGAACCACCTTGGAACATTTATACACTAGAATCATCTTGGAATATTTATACATACTGGATATATACAATCCAGACATACATTCATCAATACAGATATATGACTATATGATAGATATATAGGATTTCATTGTGCTGTGTAACTATATTAGATAATACAAAATGTGTTATTGTACTGGCCCTTATTTTCAGAGTACGTACTGTCACTTGGGTGTGTCACGTCACTTGTGAGCTTGGCCTGGGGAATGACAGCGTATGCCCGTGGAAGTCGCTTTACCAACCAGGAGAAAAACAATATTTCCAAACTTGGAACATGTGTTCTTTTTCTGTGGCAAAGTTTCAGTATTGGTACGGTATTTATTATGTATAAAACACATATTTAAGAACATGGCTTTAACAAATTAGTTATATTTCTGAGGAGAGCCCCTCCGGCTCCCCAGAGCTATATCGGGCTGATATGCATATATCAGACCGTGGCATCAGTCAATTCGATTGGAGTTCTTAGCCTATCGGTGACCACAAGCCAGAACCTGTCCCCCTCAGAGAGGCACGAGGAGCAATGGCCTATAGAAACCTTCCCTGTGGTTGGATGCATTCTATGTCTGCTATCTGCTAGGTTAGGCATCCCAAAACATCTACAGCATCTACAGCTGGTTCAAAAGTGCGACTAAAAGCAGAACTAGCAAGCAGAACTTCCCAAACCAAAAACGAGCAAACAAGTATGACGCCACCATCTCTGATGTGCCACTGTCTGCACAGCTTCCCCCTCCCTGGGATTGGGAGGGGGAAGCAGTACTTTGCCTGGGCTTCCCTTAACAGTCAGCCTAAAGGCCCTGGAAAACCTCATTGCAACTTATTGGTTCAATGGATGCATCCTCTGAGTCCCATCTTGCTTCGTGCGAGTATGAAGGTTGCTCTGTCCCCTTGTCTTTGGGTGACATTCATCGTTTTAGCCTCCGCCATGCTGCCTCTTGGGTCAATGACACCTTTGACCCAGAGTCCTGTGAGTGGTGTTCCTTGCTTGTACTCACCCAATCCACTGATCTTGATATTTGGGTACAGGCAGCTTCAGTGTTGCATGAGGTTTAGGTTGCTGCAATGCGCTAGGTTGGTTACCTTTCCAGATGCCACGAGGCTGCCTCGCTTTGGTTATAGGGACCTGGACTTGAGAGAGTTAGTCACCTCAACTTTGGTTTTGCCCGCGCCCTTCTTGTCCTTCCCCTTCTGTTGTTCGTCCCACTCCTCATCCCCCCTCTACCCCCACCCCCTCCTTCCCATCCCCCTCTCCCTCCCGCCCCCTCCTTCACATCCCACCCCCCTCCACGCCCGTTGCTGGCTCCCAAACGTCTGAGAGTTTCGGAGTCTGGGCAGGGTTTAGATGGTGGAGAGACTCAGGTAGTTTCGAGGGCTGCCCCTTTCAGTTCAGCGGTGGAGGCATTCAAGCCTGTTCCTCCTGCCGGGGCTTTTGGGTTGCACTAGTGGACCCCCTTCTTCCCTGCTTTTCCAATGGACTCTGTCTTTTCTCCAGAGGCAGAGAGTTTGGAGGACAGCTCTGCCCCAGGTCCTGACGTGGAGGATCCTGGGGCTAGGGAGGAGTTGACATGAGGGGGCTTGGGCCCCGTTTGACCCTGCTTGGGTGTTGGTACCCTCGGCGCAGGGCTTATTGTTGCAGGGGCAGGGGTTTTCTTATCCCCCCCCCCCTCTTTCCCTGTGCGAGTTTGATAAGAGTTCGGCTCCTCCCTGGGTTCGGTTCCGGGTTCCCTTGGATTCCTCGGTTCCCTCTTTCCGCAGGTTTTCGACTTCCTGCATCCCGCCTAAGAAGGTTTTGGAGGCACTTGCGTTGTACCTCCTGCGAGACCCTGATTTCGTCTCAATAATGGATCCTTCATCATTTGAGTTTGGTTCCCCCTTTTCCTTACTGGGTGTGTTACAAGGTGCTGGAGTCTTTGGTTGGCAGACTGCCCTTTCTTTTCATTGGGGGGCGTGGCATGCGTTTTGTCGGACCCACACGCTTGAGTGGCGGGAAACTACTATGATGGTTCAGGTTTGCCTGGGGGTGAGTTTGAGCGCCTCAGTGCATGCTTGCTCGCCTTGTTCTTCCTCGTGATATAGGCCTGGTACAGCTTCACGTGCAGGCTCCTGCCCTTTCGGCGTCCTTGGTGGCTAGGGACTTGTATTGTCTGTGGGCATTTGGCTTTGATTTTGCGCTTCTTTTCCCTGCTGGAGCTGTCTTTGGACTGGCTCAAGGAGGATGTGGAGGAGCTGGGTTCTGGGCCAGCATCCGGTGCGCCTTCCTCGGACGTCGGCTGCCTTGTTGAAGTTGTTTGCGTCGATTCTGAAGGAAGCGGTGTGTCTGTTCTTTGCTTCTCGCCACAGAAGGGACTCCCCACAGAAAACCAGCATTAAATGTAATGAAACTCCATTTTCTGAGTGAGACCTGGAGGCTCTCCAGCATTTCTTCCTCCCCCCGGTTGGCGGGTTTTCGCGTTTTTGATATTCACCCTCTGAACTAGGGTTGGGTAGCCGGCACGGGAGGTCTGGGGCTCCTCCTTTTCCCTCCCGGGAAGGTGGGTGCTGCGCGGACAGTGGTGCGGTGGCTGAGGTGACATGCTTGTTTGCTTGTTTTCTGATTGGAGAATTCTACTTGCTCATTCGGCTTTCAGTTGGCAATTTCTAACCAGCTGTAGTTTGTTTTGGAATTCCTACCTTACCTGGGTACCTGACCTGGTAGATGGCAGACATAGTCTACTTCCAACTACATGGGGGAGGGGGGGTGTCTATAGGCCATTGCTCCTCATGCCTCTTTGAGGGATCCAGGTTCTGGCTCGTGGTCCCCGGTAGGCTAGAACTCCATCGAGTGATTGTTGCCATGATCTAATATATAGACGTCAGCCTGGTATAGTTCCAGGGTGCCTCCATGTCTCACCCAGAAAATGGTGTTTCATTACATTCAGTGCTGTTTTTTTGTTTAAATCTTTTGATGACAAAAGTAACTAACATCCTTGGACTTTATACAGTTATTTATTCTTAAAATATGCACTCTCTTTTTGCAGGTGCCCGGGTTATTGCCTTGGTTCTTTTTGCCAGCAAGTTTCGGCTGTATGTACTAGTGGTGTGTCTAGGTCATTGGATTTTCATGGCAGTGTGGCTTATATCGCGGAGATCCTTCAGTAAAGTGTGCTCCAGAGTATTAGGAGAATGCTTACTTAGGTAAACACATTAATTAGAACCGAGTCATTGTGGCATTATACTTTTAATGTGATAGTTTAGGTATTTTTCAAATATAATACAATATTAAACTTCTCAGGAGCTACAAGGGAGTATAATATAATAGTAACAAGCATACATCTTAGTTTTATGTAAAGATATACAAACATAAAAGAAAACCAAATGTTTTGAAAGTTCATAAACATCTTAGAGATGAGGCAATGCTGAGGTTATTAATTTTGTTGGTGGTAAGCCATGGCCCACTATCCAACATGAAGCAGTTTAACAGACATTAAACTTTCAGGAAAATGTTTTAGTCCTGTTATGTCTTGAATTTTATCAGATTTATTTATGGGTTTTCTGGGAAGACCCCTTAGTACCTCCTTAAGCTGTGCTGGTCCAGCCAAGCCTAAGGGGGTTACACCAGACCTCTAAAACTCACCCTTGCCTTCTAAATTGCATTCAGATAAAAAAAAGCAAATAGCAGTACATATCAGGCCGTCAGATGAGAAAGCCATAATAACCTGACCGAAAATGTAAGCCCAAGAAAATGCCCCATCGGGGAAAAAGAGACCAACTACCCGGACCATCACACAGACAGGCAGGTTCACTAGGCATGAGGGAAGCATCTCGGTTGAACCACTCCTGAACCTTGACCATAAGCACCCTTGGGAAAAACCTACAATTACCAACACTCAAAAGGAGCAGGGCCAGGCGCACATCACTATTGTTGCCTCGGTGTACCACGAGTACACCGTGGCAACAATTGTTTTCCTTAATATTTTTGAGAACATAATTTACTTCAAGCATTAGCTTATTTGTTTGTGCCAACTTCTGTTTTTGTACAGTATCAGTTTTGGTAGTGATCTCTGATCCCAAGCACTATTTGCTTTGAATCTATCTAGATTCAGTTTTTGGCTCATGGTAGGCAAGGGCGGGTCTCGGAGGCCAGGTGGATCTTCTTACAACCTACGGCATGACTTTACCAGCTTTTAACTCTAGGAGCTACTGAGGGGGGCCCTCCCCAAAATATGTTTAACAGTAAACTCTTAGTTTTCATAATTGTTTATCCTTGTTGCTTTAGGCTTGAATGAAATTAATGGTAAGGAAAATGAGTCAAGAACTATAGGGTAAATTACTTTCACAAACAGTTTGATTTAGTTATAATTTGGATTTTTTAATTTTAATGATTATAATTAATATACTGTATTCTCCTTTCCAGTAAACATAAATAATTGCAAATATATTTTTCAGTTGCGTGTTGGGCGTTGTGTATATTTTTGTCTTCATTAATGATAAAGATGAACCAACTAGAAAAAAATATGTGTTCTACTATTTTGTCTGTGGAATTGAGAACTTGGCAATGGTTACGATGTTTTTAATCTTCACTGATCCCTCAACTTGGTACTACATTCCAGGTTGGTTTTCTGGCAAGCTCATTGTGATGTTGGTAATATTTATCTCAATATATTGTAATCAACTGACCAGAGGCAGGTAATGCACCAACCACTACTAACTTTTTATTAGACTTTAATTCTCATTTAAAAGACTGTTTTTCATCTTAAAAATAACCTTTTGTTATCAAATGCAGAAGTATGCATGTATGCATGTATGCAAATGCAGTATGCAGAATTAGTTTGCAATATGTAAAGTCATGAATGTAAATATTCTTGAGCTGAAAGTGTCATGGCTTTGTTAATCATTTCATCCAACTCTCAGAGAGAATGGTCACACAGGTGACAATCATTTATGAGCATTTTAGATGTGTATATGTATGCCAAATACTCTGCATTATTTTCTTTGTATATTAAATAATCTTTAAAGGTGTTTTAATATTCATCTATAGTAATCCAGTGAATCGGCACGGATTATAGTTCCAAGATTATCGTAATGATTCCAGGGCCAGGTGACGACACTGAACTATAATGTAGATGGATATTGCTTCAAATTTAAAGATATTACAGAGAAAGATTGGTATAATGTAGCAATGTTAACTCTAATGAATTTTTACTAACACTAAGAGCAAATGTGTCTGCAGCTAAAGTAACCTCAAGGGGAAAAAATGACATTTAACATAATTATGTTTTAATTATACAGTGCCAGTACCTGTACAGAACTGGTATATGCTGTACCCTCTGCTATATCATTATGAAATGAATGTCTGTCTAGTGTTGGTCATGGTGCAGGTGTTAACAAAGATGGTAGTGTAAGTAATAACATAATTTAGATCACGACATACTACACTGCGGAAAGTGTGGTGGCTATTGCTGGCAGGCAGTGCAGAAGACGATGTGTTTATGTAACAAATGTTGATGTTAACAAAGTGGAAGTGCTAGCTGTGGAAAGCAGAGGTGTCAGGTGGTACCTATTTTTTTTACAAAAGACAGAATTTGATTATTAGAAAGTTATGCTATGGTGTAAATGATGCTCAACTTTGTCAGGAGTCTGGGCTTGGGCAGGATGATAACATTTTCAAACTGGTTGTTGACAGTAATTTCATTAAATGGACTGCATAATAAAGCAAAAAAATCTTCATTTACTTTATTTGCTGGTGCATTATTTTTATATTTTCAGTAGGTACATACAGACACATACATTCAGTGTACGTTTCAGTAGATACAAAATCAAGATAGAGGTTTGACTCTTAAGTGATACCCCTGATAATTGAAAGGGACATCCTACTCTACAGTATATGTTGGCTGACACTAAATAAGTATGAGTTTACTTTTGATTTATTTGCTATGGAGAATTATTGCTATTCATGAATTGTTACATATAATGTGCGATACCATAGTGCTTGCAGTGAAGGGCAAAATTATGATTAAAACTACATTGTAGTTTTGTTGTTGATTCAAAAGATCAGACTAATATATTTCTTACTTTTCAGGCACAGTGATCCACTTCATTTTATTTGCTTTAGGGCTGGCATTCATGGGTATGTACTACATGGTTTTGCATCCTACATTGTCCAAGACTCCAGCATCACAAGCCCAAAGAATGCAAAGGTCACAAGTGGGTTCTTAATGAAAAAAATCATAATTTTCCTATTATTAAAATGTTACATCCAAATTATGTAGAATTCTAGTAATTGATAAGCACAGTATGGTTGGAAATATTTGTTTCCATACAGCATATCCAAAGAAGTGCCTTAGTTGTCTTGACACTTGAGATCAAAATATAAGGCTAAAGTCATCCCCTTCATTACTGTTCATTAAACATGAGCAATAAGAACAGAACAGTACACAACAGCAAGAGCTGTCATATTGATTTGAATTGTCTTGTTATCTGTTTTATTTTTGTTATTGTGTGACTTCCTGTTGATGTTTACTCATAATTTTGTAGAATAGTTGTAGTTCTCACTCTCGACATATGTCGTAGTTTAAGAGAAAATGGAGTGAAGTAAATATCTTTTAAATATAATTCTGGTGTCGTACCTTATCAGTTAAATTTTTGTATTGAGAGTTTATTTCAGATTAATACTCATATTTTTAATTTTGTATTGTTCCAAGAATATTCTGATGGTGCTTCTTCAGTTGGTGAATTATTATCAGTGCATAGTAACACAAGTGGCCTCTAATTCTCTCCCTAATAAACTTGCACAACACATGTAGACTAAAAGACAATTTTTGGGTTACTGTGTTTCAGTAGTACTGTATATGAATAAAAGTTGAGCTTCACATTTTGGCCCTACTCACAACATAGTCATACACTGATTATTTTTCAACTAAACACCGTCATTCTCGCACCAATAGTACCTTAGACTCGTGTTTTGCTTGTCATCCAGTTCCTATTGCTGTGTCTCCCTCAACATACATGTGTATCAGGCATCAAGAATTTACACATGTTGCTCCAGTGTGACAGTTTCACATCAAGTAATTACTTTAGTCTTCCTTTAAGTGATGCTGTTGCTCTTAATTTGTGAAAATGATGGTAGATTGAAATGTAATAATCTTCAGACTGAGCTTTATAATAAATGTCAACAAGAGTTTTGATAATATAAGACAACAGTTTAATACATATATATACAAAGAATTTATATTTATAGAGTTAATTAATAATTATATATTTTATTGGAAATTCATACTATTGCCACATTATTATTAAATTCACTGAGTATATGAGTCAGTAGTGTACATGTAAGTATTCTTACTGCTTACATTACAGTATATTCTTGTAACATAAAATAAGAATCATTATTTCAAAAATATCTACAAAATAAAGTGATGGTAATGACAATATTACATGTTCACTGGCTGGACTTGGGTAGGTTTATGTTAACCATACCCACTTAGGTATTTTACTGGGTAGAACAAGTAGAAGAAAACAAATTAAGTTATTGTGCTGTGAATAGGTTATTGGATGTGTAAGTGGGATTTGAATGTTGACAACATGCCAGGATGTAGGAAACAAGGATGAACAGGAACAATGTGATAAGAGGAATTATATTGACCAACCCTTCTTGTTGGCTTGTTGAAGCCTTCTTGTTGACTTCTTGAAGCCTTCTTGTTGGCTTCTTGAAGCTTTCTTGTTTGCTTCTGTTAGTGTGAGAAGCCGTCATGTTTCTGTACTTTATGACTTCCACTCATCACACTTATGTGAAGCATAGGAGTACTGTATACATAGGTAAAATAGGTATACCACTTATGTATACCCCTATGCTTTACATGTGTATTAAGAATATACAATACTGTATGACATTATCTTGTTGCCCAAATCTTTCAATCTACAAGCATTGTATTTATTTTTGCAATATTACCATTACTCTAATTTATATGATGAACAAATTCATGATAAAATTTGATTACAGACATGTATGGACATATATTAAGTGTAGAAAAGAAAACCTTTTTGGAGATGAAAATTGTGAGTGTACTGCCCATTACTTACTAAAGAAATTAATGTGTAACTCAATATATATATATCTTAACCTTATGCAACTATTCTCTCAACAGAACTTGCTAATTTTTTTTTAATATATATAAGAGTTCTTACATTCTTGTAAAGCCACTAGCACGCAGAGCATTTCATAAAATGTGTACAAGTGTCAGAGCTGGAGATGTTAGTGATTATCAGTCATTTTATGTTTCTCAAGTGTTTTACATCTAGTTCCTAAAATGGGTTTTAATATAGTTTTCATAACCTTTATATTGTGTCTTAAGATATTTTTGTCTCCCTTTTGGTATACTTTATTTGTGTTTTTTACGCATATGGTAAGACAGCATGCACAATGTCAATACGTGTGTGTGGGTGGGGAAAATGGTGTTTATTTATATACACTGTATATCTTTTATAAAAAAAAGATGCAATCGACAATGGTGTGGGTAATAATATTTAAATTACTCGGGTCATCTGAGATTCCAACTTGGGCCTTACAAATATTGTGTGTATCCTGGTAGAGTGGCTAGAATGGCAGTCTCATATTTTTCATGGGTCCTGTAGTACAGTGGTCTACATCTTCAACTCACACTCTAGGATCCCAGGTTTGATCCCCAGGTGGGACAGAAATGACTGGGCATGTTTCCTTTCATCTAGCAATAAATATGTGCCCAGGAGTTACGCAGTTGTTGTGGATTGCATTTTTGGGAAGGTCAGTAGTTAACCTAAGGGAACTCCGATAAGCATAAGTATACATTATATGCAAATAAACATAAAGGTTCACAATAATGGAAAATTAGCAATCATTCATCAAAGCACTTGGTGGGGGTTCAACCGTACTCTATGTTTGGTCAAGCTCCAGTTTGTGCTCTATTGAATAAGCATTTTTTCACATTGTAAACCTTTATTTTATATTATGAGGGCATAGAGGGGTTTTCACTCACCAATGTCCTTAGTGGCTCCACAGTAAGATTTAAGCTGGTTGGGCTAGATGTGGTGCTCCATGGCAGACAATGAGTGGTTGGGTTACATACTATGCTGTAAATGAGGTTTGTTTTCGATGTTTTTGTAGTTATTATGTATATTTTGGTTCAAATGATGTATATGTAGAATTAATTATTATATTGTTGGTTAGGTATCATAATAATATTTAATGTTATATAAATAACATACTGTATATATATTGATTTAATTATCAGTAATTTTCAACTGTACAAATTGAATTGCATTGCTATTTACATATTAATATGGTTATTGCTTATTTACTGTCTTTAGATCTTGTGAAGAGTATAATACTCTCTAACAGTGACCAATGTACAGAGCCACAACACATTCGTTAGGCCATCTCACCAGTTTTCTCCTCAGTTTCCAAGTCAGTATTCCCGCACACAGAACATTCTGTGCCTCTGCTTACTGATCTACTGGTGTTATGCTTTCATGGTAGTCCTTGAATGATATTTCTCGTCTAGGATTCTTCAATGGGTGTACTGTATATTGGATGGACTGGCCCTGTGTGTTTCAGACAAATTTGTAGTGATGGCAGTTTATTTTCCCAGTAATCAACCCAACTACTTGGGCTGGACAGTAGACCAACGGTGTTGCTTCACACAGGTCGGTGTTTAATCCCCGACCGTCCAAGTGGTTGGGTACCATTTCCCCCCCCTCCACTTTCCCATCCCATCCCAAATCCTTATCTTGACTCCTAGTGCTATAAAGTCGCAACGGCTTGGCGCTCTCCCCTGATGATTAAAAAAATAATCCCCAGTAATTGGTTGATAATTGCTGCAACAAATATCCTCACTGTTTTCATACTTACTCTACTTATTTTCACCATATATATGTATGTATGTATGTACTATAGTCTTCAATTGCATTGGGTTTGTTTACCTTTACTTTGGTCCTAGGGTTTTCTTTGCTACTTACTGTCTTACCATCTCAGTGTGAATGGTTGTTATCACATTGTCATGATGCTAGCCTTTCCATTACAATGCTAACATTTTATTTTTTATCAATTGGCAATCACCATTACCATTATTTTTTCAAGGACAAACATTTTCTTCCTACCCTCAGTGTGCCACATGCTGCAAAGTTGTATGTAAGCACATACAATAGAGAGGGACTTGGTTAGTAATTATCAGTGTACAAAGTGTCTCTCTTGTTGATATGTGATGCCATCAGTGTCTTTATTAACCCAGAAATTCCATGATGGCAATTCTTGGAGATGTCAATGTTGGTGCTAGTATACATTACTATTTCACTGACTGCTCCTGTTATCTTTCATGCAGGTATGTAGTTTCAGTCCTAATCTTTGGTACCTTGATAGTATATAATGCTTGGCTGAGAGACGGTCCTTGAACAACATAAAGAACTTGTTATTGACAGTGTTCTTGGTCGGTAAATTAAATTGTTTAGGTATTTAAGTCAGTTAAGATGTGACTTTTATTCCAGAGGTGTTCACATGCATTTTGTTGTTTATTATTCTCTAAGTAGACATTCCAAGAGAAACAAAAATATATTTTGATATATATTTAACAAATACTGAGGATAGGGATAATATTTAAGAATATTTAAAAGTTCCAAGATATCATTCAACCACCACATATGCCTAATGGCACCATAGCAAAGTCCTTTGTGTGGTGCATTATCCATCTGTCCTTCATGGCTGGGTTTCTCACCTTTATTCTCACTGTGACTTGCTTTCCCTCCCTCTTTTTCTCAGCTACATTCGGGTTCATTTCGTTGTAATCATTCTTCCCCATTATTGAGAAACTCCTAGAATCGCATAGCAGTCTTATGTGCATTGTGATCACCAGCATATCTGTGAGTGCTGAAGCCCAGAGATAGTAGGGTGTGCATTGCTGCAAAAATAATGCTTGTGAAGGGCACTTGGGCACTGTTTTATTTTTTTTCTCAAGATGGTGCACAATCACCACAAGCATTTAGGGATGCAAAATGTAAACATACATAAAATGAAACATAAACAATGCAAGCTGAGCAATAATAACATGTAGCCAATGGGAGCAGTCACCCAGTTATCATTGTTAGGGAGCAAATCACCCGGTGTATAATTAATCACACACTGGTATAATTAAGTGCAAGTGTTTGCCAATTTGTTCCTGCAGATTGGAACTGGGATTTTGTCTAGCAAAGTGTTGCATAACTAGTATTTAACCAATGTTTTGTGTAATTCTTGTTTATGAAATGTACTGTTAAGTTTGACAAATAGTATTATTTTCCTTCATCCTATCTTTGACACAGGCAGCCAGCTATTCATTTTATTCATTTGTAAGCTGGATTGGGGGGCCAGGGTCTGAAGGTGAGCTGTAATACTCCTGTAGTTGCTACAAATACATAACAACAATGAGTGTAGAACATAAATAAAATAGTTTTATTTGGCTAAAAAATCATTTTATAATGAAAAATGACCTAAAACAAAAAACATAGAATTACCAAATCTTTAAACTGCACACCAAGATAACATTCCATTCAATAATGCAGACGTGTGTAGAATAAACGCTACAAATTTAGTAAAACAAACTTTATTGCCATATAAAATACATACAGTATTAGGCAATAACAATATAAACAACTAGTGGTATAAAAGATTATTAAGAGATTAACTTCCTTATAATTTGTTAAAAAAAACAAATTTGTACAAGACTACGTACATCTGAAAACTTTACTTCAAGAAGACTAGGAGCCACCATCCTCCATATCTTTGACACTATACTGCAGCATCACAAGAAGTCACCACTGCCACATTCCACCAATAAAGTACACTGAAAGCCACAAGGTGACAAAATTTCAAGTGACATTAGACTTCTTTTTAAACTTGCACATAGCGGTATTTCCTTTTTGTTTAGAATACAAGTTATTGGTATCATGTTGGTTTACACGATGCCAGCATCCCTGGCCAAACTGCTGAAAATAGAGTTGTGATCTGCTAGTAAGTTGTCTGGAGAGTCAAATTCTGCCACTCCTCCCTCTTCTAGGACCAGCACTCTGAAAACATAAACACATACATTATTAAGATGGTTATTTCTATCACTTTCACACTACAAAAAACCTGGAAATGAATTAGGTTCTCAATTATGTGAATCTAAAGAATATTCTGATAATGTTATTCTTATTAAGTTTATATATTGTGACATTTACATGTTATAGATACCCTCTAGATGTGAAATTTTATTTTTATGAATTTCTGAACTTTACCTTTTATCACTTATAGAAAAAAAGTAGTGATAATATTGAAAACTGAGAGCAGCGTTATAACTATGAGTACAGGGGTACCTCAGTTTATGAATTTAATCCATTCCCAGAGACGGCTCGTAACCTGAAAATTTGTAAACCGAAGCGAATTTCCCCATAAGAAATAATGGGAATCAATTAATCAGTTCCAGACTCCCCCCAAAATTCACTTCAAAGTAAATTTTATACCTAATTCACCCAAATCTTCAGTACAAAAGTATGTACAAGTTATTACTTACCTTTACTGATGACTCCTGTTGGCGTATGGAAGACGGTGAGGAGGGGGGAGGAGGAGGAGAGGTGTTACTGTTTGGAAGGGAAGTCTCCTTCCATTATATCATCAGGCAGTGAGGACTTCTCTGGGGTACACTCTCTGGCACGTTTTGCCTGCATGCCACTAGGATCTGCTTCTGGCTCACTGCTTGATTTTCTCACTAGAAATCATTCCATTGAAAATTGTTTTTCCCTTCTTTGCAACACTTGTCTGTAGTGAGGCATCACATTGTCATTGAAAAAGCTAATGTAACGGCCTACTACAGCTTTCTCTGGGTGAGAAAATGATCTCTTGTTTTTCCTCTATGGTCATTCTCATATGTGTTTTCTTGCCTTACCACTGGCTTTCTTGGGACCCATGGCAAGATATATAATAACAAATTTTATGTTCAAATTGCCAAAAATCCGAAAAAACTGTAAATCCTTGCAAAGAATTCAGGCGGGAGACACTGGTAAACTGAGGCGCGATCACCGTGCCACCATGCGCTAGGTCGGCCCATACGCGTATCAACAAACTCATTTCCCGAGGTAAAGTTCGTAACCCGATTAAAATTTTCCGAAGAAATCGGGCTCGTAACCCAAAAAGTTCATAAAGAAGGGATTCGTAACCCGAGGTGTCACTGTATAATGCAGAAAACCAATAACACAAAATTTAAGTTGTGCATTTCCAAAAATTCAGAATTGCAATGTGTAAAAAATTCACCAACTAACACATTTACAGTCTCTAATGTGACACTCATGACAGTGGTCTGATAATGAGGTCAGTGGGAAACACCAGCTACCTACCATAGTTTCCAGCAGACATTGTTAACAAATCTGAGGGATTGTTAAGAAACTATGATCCATATTATTATATGTTATAAAGAATAATAATTCACCTGTAATGCTCATAACAGCTACAAATGGCTGATTATCAAGCAACATGCAACTTTAACAAACTAACCTGTCATAGTCCAAAATAGTTTTGAGACGATGAGCAATGGTCAGCACTGTGCAATCAGCAAATTGTGAACGGATGGTGGTTTGGATGAAATCATCAGTATCTAAGTCAATGGCTGCAGTTGCTTCATCTAACACCAGAATGCGAGACTTGCGAAGGACAGCCCGAGCAAGGCATACAAGTTGCCTTTGTCCTACACTGTAAAATGGTAGTTACACTGAGTAATAAGCCACATCATAAAACAACAACAAACTGAAATTGCATTTAAACCATTTAAACCAGTGATGAAACCTACACCCTTTCTGGGGAAGTGAAGAAAGTTTTGGTATACTGTAGCCTGCACCCTCTCAAAGGAGCGGAGACATGACCCAGCAGACTACCTACCTAAGGACCACCTCAGCAGTCAAATTTTGATGTTTACACCCACTATCATTTCCATACACTTTATTGATAAAATTTTCCATTCCATGCCTTTCAAGACTTCCATTTGGACATAGAAATACATTTTGTACTGTCCTCTATCTCTGGATACCTGATCAACCAGGCTCTGATTCAAACATCAGGCTGCGAGCAACTGCATCCAACAGCCTGGTTAACCATATCACCAACCTGGTGAGACAGGGCCATGTGGACGTTCATCCTTGGAATCACCACAAGGTAACCACAAGGTAGGTAAGGAGGTATACAATGAGAAATTAAAGTAATTTAAGTTAACATATAATAACTATATAACTTTAGTAATAGGATGAGGTAGTGATAATTAGAAATTATATTGGTGGAATAAAAATTTCTAGTTAGCAAAGAGTTAGGTGAGTGAATAGCATGTTATGGGTACTATGGTGGCTTGTCAAGTCCTTCCAATAGTCATGAGGATTTTTTCTGGATGTATTTTGGACTGATGGATATTTGGAATGTTTGTAGTTACAGCTGTGACAGGTGCAAAATTCTAAGGGTTTACTGCCTTATGGGTGAAATATATGTGTTGAACGTATAAGCTATATGCACTTAAATTATAAAGAGCAACTCTTTCATTCTCTATAATACAATATTAAAAATGATTTTAAGTATTAATAAAATGAACTACCTTCAATGTGTAATACTAGCAACATTCACAGCAGATGTAGTACTGATAATTAGCAAAAAGAAGTTTGTTACTAATTATCATTACAATTAGTCATAATGTGGGCAGATACATTTTACAAGCTAATGTCAAACATCCACTAAGGTTTGATTAAGGCCCTTTGTGCTACTGTTCACAAGATGAGTATGGTATGCACAATAAACTATCCGTCACTGGTGGCACCAATAAAAATCAATAAATGAAACATCATCTGTTTGTCCTACATTATGGCTTGATGAGCTTGAAGCTATTGCTCCTGGTGTGAATTATATTGCATCTTTTAAAGAAGTGACCTGAATTAATGTCTTACAGTTTATTCAGCATTATAAGGATCTCGATGAGATAAATCATGTCTTGTTTGCTGATTTGTTAATCCTGAAACCCGGTACCTGTCCTAGTTTGAGAATTGATTTAGTCCTGGAATGATTTTTGTCACTGTGCTGTAATTTTTCCAGTGCAGTTATGTAATTTTGCTTTGATGTACAAGGTTTGTTTGATTATTCCTAGGGACTGACTTGTTTTTATCACATGTAAAAGTTAAGCAGCTTTTAATGACTTGTGAACCACTACTTCAAGGTCCACTTTTTTAATCTACTGCCTGAGTATGCTGTTATGGTGTGTATTGTTATGCTCTACATGTAAGGACTTGCATTTTTCAATAATGAAGAGCATTTGCAAGTCTTCTTATCATTTGTAAATTTCTTGTAAATCATTTTGCATGGCCTCAATATCATTCTCACTTCCCAGTTTACTGTAGAGTAGATCTGTATGTCTTCTGGGATTTAAACAATGTGCTTTCTGATGTCATTCACACACAGCCATTGACGTGCATGACAAAAAGGGTTGGCCCTAAAATAGAACCTTGCAGCACTCCATTAGCAGCCTTCTCATTCCAGATTATCTTCCATTTAACATGATCTTTTGTTTTCTATGCTTTAGTCATTATTTTATCCAATAAAGTATTTTACAACTAATTACCTAAGTGTAATTACAGGATGAGAACTACACTCGTGGTGTTCTATCTTCCCAGTATTTTTTGTCATATAATGCTTTGAAACTACTGACGGTTTTGGCCGTCATATGTATAACCACATAAGATAAAAAACTGATACATGATAAAACTGATAATTTTGTTATCACAAAACTGATCACATGTGCTACCACAAAACACAGAGGAATAGGGAGACTGCCTGCCACATAATAAGTTTATTTATTTATTTATTTATTTATTTATGCATATACAAGAATGTACATAAGGAATGTGAGGATACAATTATGGTAATTACAGTCTTGTAAAGCCACTAGCACGCGCAGCGTTTCGGGCAGGTCCTTAATCTAAGAAAATTTTAAGGAGGTAAATACTTGCAAAATTTATAGACAAAAAAATGATAACAGATTACATGGAATGAAAAAAAAAAAAAGATGAGAGAAAATTATAGGTACAGTATATTAAAGCACATAGGTAGCTATGATTGATTGCAATGACAGCTTAAAATGGTAGTTGACAACAAATTGGTAGGCACAATACAGCAGAAACAATATAAGATTGATTGCAATGACAGCTTGAATGGTAGTTGATAAAAATTGGTAGTCACAATACAGCATATGGCTAGCACATAAAAGAAGACAGCAATGAACACAATGATAAGGTTGTTTGATATTACATAAAAATTAGGAGATTGGGTACCACTAGGTACAGAGCAAATTTAAAGCTCAGTGCAGGAAACTAAATAGATGAAGTTAGGTACTTTTTGGTTTTGCTTTTAAATAAGGCAAAAGTTTTACAGTTTTTCAATTCACTAGGGAGTAAGTTCCATAGACTAGGTCCCTTAATTTGCATAGAGTGTTTACACAGATTAAGTTTGACCCTGGGGATATCAAAGAGATATTTATTTCTGGTGTGGTGATAATGGGTCCTATTACATCTGTCCAGGGAGAGTTTCAGAGCATGGTTTGCATTTAAGAACAGGGTTTTGTAAATGTAGTTGACACAAGAGAATGTGTGGAGGGAGTTAATATTTAGCAAGTTTAGAGATTTAAACAAGGGAGCTGAGTGTTGTCTGAAAGCAGAGTTAGTTATTATTCTGATAGCAGATTTTTGCTGTGTGATGATGGGCTTAAGGTGGTTTGCAGTGGTAGACCCCCATGCACAGATACCATAATTAAGATAGGGGTAGATTAGTGCATAATATAGTGAGAGGAGAGCAGAGTTAGGAACATAATATCTGATTTTGGAGAGTATACCAACTGTCTTAGAGACTTTCTTAGTTATGTGTTGAATGTGGGTGCTGAAGTTGAGTCTCTTGTCTAGGAATAGGCCAAGAAACTTGCCATCATTTTTATTACTGATGTTAATGTTGTCTATCTGTAGCTGAATTGCATTTGATGATTTGCTTCCAAATAAGATGTAGTAAGTCTTTTCGATGTTTAATGTTAGTTTGTTCGTTGACATCCATAAGTGGACTTTTTTTAATTCATTATTCACAACATTATTTAGTGTATGTGGGTTGAGGTTTGAGTAGATAAGGGTAGTATCGTCAGCAAACAATATAGGTTTGAGAATATTAGAGACATTAGGCAGATCGTTTATATATATAAGAAATAGAAGAGGTCCTAAGATGCTGCCCTGTGGCACTCCAACGGTAATTGGTAGAGTGGAAGAAGTTGTATCATTGATGGTTACATATTGGTGTCTGTCACTAAGATAGGATCGGATGTAGTCAAGGGCAAGGCCTCGGATTCCATAATGCTGGAGTTTAAGTAAGAGGTAGTTGTGATTAACAGTATCAAAGGCTTTTCTTAGGTCAATGAAGAGTCCAATCGGAAACTCATTTTTGTCAAGGGCTGAGTAGATAATGTCAAGGAGACTAATGATTGCATCATTGGTACTCTTTTGGGACCGGAAGCCAAACTGGCAGGGGCTGAGTATGTCGAATTTTACGAGGTAGGAATAGAGCTGTTTGCAAATAATTTTTTCAAATATTTTTGATAGAATGGGTAGATTTGATATTGGTCTATAATTGTTTATGTCCGCCGGATTGCCTCCTTTATGGACTGGCGTTACTCTTGCTTTTTTGAGGATATCAGGGAAGGTGTGACACTCTATAGATTTGTTGAACAGTAGTGCTATGGGTGGGGCAAGGGCATGGGAGGCTCTCTTGTACACAATGGACGGAATTTCACTGGTGTTCCCTGCCTTGGTTTTTAGAGAGTGTATGATGGACACAACATCTGCCGGGCTGATTGGTGAAAGGAGAAGAGAGTTTGGATAGCTGCCTGAGAGATATGTGTTAATATGTGTCTGAGTCTGTGGGATTTTACTGGCAAGATTAGCACCAACCGATGAAAAGAAACTATTAAATTCATTTGCCATTTCTAAATCAGTTGACGGTATATCCCCATCCTTGTAGAGTTTTATTTGGTTATGGTTATATTTTATTATGGTTATATTTTATTTGGCTACCTTTCTCATAGCGAACATGGACATAACACCACCAAAAAGCAAGAAACTTTCATTTAGGCTACACAGTGAATCAGCTTTAGACAATCTTACAGAGGCACTTCACAATATTAACTGGGATTCTGAATTCAATAATACCCATGATATAAATTCATTAGCTAACCTCTTCCTCTCCAAAACTCTAAGCCTCTACAACCTTCATTGTCCCCTTCTTACAAAGCAAGTAACTGACAAAAGATTAAACAATCCATGGCTCACAAGTGGCATTCTCAACTCAATCAACAAGAAACATGAATATGAAAAGAAAGTTAGGATTGGCCTAGTTTCAAAGGAAGTAGCTAAAAGGTACTCATCAATGCTTACCAGTATCATAAGAAAGGCAAAACTTGCATATTATGTGAATAGATTCAATGAAGCAAAAGGCAACATGAAAAACACTTGGAAAACTATCTCTAGTATCCTAGGAACTAAACAACACTCACATAACCAAATAAAACTCTACAAGGATGGGGATATACCGTCAACTGATTTAGAAATGGCAAATGAATTTAATAGTTTCTTTTCATCGGTTGGTGCTAATCTTGCCAGTAAAATCCCACAGACTCAGACACATATTAACACATATCTCTCAGGCAGCTATCCAAACTCTCTTCTCCTTTCACCAATCAGCCCGGCAGATGTTGTGTCCATCATACACTCTCTAAAAACCAAGGCAGGGAACACCAGTGAAATTCCGTCCATTGTGTACAAGAGAGCCTCCCATGCCCTTGCCCCACCCATAGCACTACTGTTCAACAAATCTATAGAGTGTCACACCTTCCCTGATATCCTCAAAAAAGCAAGAGTAACGCCAGTCCATAAAGGAGGCAATCCGGCGGACATAAACAATTATAGACCAATATCAAATCTACCCATTCTATCAAAAATATTTGAAAAAATTATTTACAAACAGCTCTATTCCTACCTCGTAAAATTCGACATACTCAGCCCCTGCCAGTTTGGCTTCCGGTCCCAAAAGAGTACCAATGATGCAATCATTAGTCTCCTTGACATTATCTACTCAGCCCTTGACAAAAATGAGTTTCCGATTGGACTCTTCATTGACCTAAGAAAAGCCTTTGATACTGTTAATCACAACTACCTCTTACTTAAACTCCAGCATTATGGAATCCGAGGCCTTGCCCTTGACTACATCCGATCCTATCTTAGTGACAGACACCAATATGTAACCATCAATGATACAACTTCTTCCACTCTACCAATTACCGTTGGAGTGCCACAGGGCAGCATCTTAGGACCTCTTCTATTTCTTATATATATAAACGATCTGCCTAATGTCTCTAATATTCTCAAACCTATATTGTTTGCTGACGATACTACCCTTATCTATTCAAACCTCAACCCACATACACTAAATAATGTTGTGAATAATGAATTAAAAAAAGTCCACTTATGGATGTCAACGAACAAACTAACATTAAACATCGAAAAGACTTACTACATCTTATTTGGAAGCAAATCATCAAATGCAATTCAGCTACAGATAGACAACATTAACATCAGTAATAAAAATGATGGCAAGTTTCTTGGCCTATTCCTAGACAAGAGACTCAACTTCAGCACCCACATTCAACACATAACTAAGAAAGTCTCTAAGACAGTTGGTATACTCTCCAAAATCAGATATTATGTTCCTAACTCTGCTCTCCTCTCACTATATTATGCACTAATCTACCCCTATCTTAATTATGGTATCTGTGCATGGGGGTCTACCACTGCAAACCACCTTAAGCCCATCATCACACAGCAAAAATCTGCTATCAGAATAATAACTAACTCTGCTTTCAGACAACACTCAGCTCCCTTGTTTAAATCTCTAAACTTGCTAAATATTAACTCCCTCCACACATTCTCTTGTGTCAACTACATTTACAAAACCCTGTTCTTAAATGCAAACCATGCTCTGAAACTCTCCCTGGACAGATGTAATAGGACCCATTATCACCACACCAGAAATAAATATCTCTTTGATATCCCCAGGGTCAAACTTAATCTGTGTAAACACTCTATGCAAATTAAGGGACCTAGTCTATGGAACTCACTCACTAGTGAATTGAAAAACTGTAAAACTTTTGCCTTATTTAAAAGCAAAACCAAAAAGTACCTAACTTCATCTATTTAGTTTCCTACACTGAGCTTTAAATTTGCTCTGTACCTAGTGTTACCCAATCTCCTAATTTTTATGTAATATCAAACAACCTTATCATTGTGTTCATTGCTGTCTTCTTTTATGTGCTAGCCATATGCTGTATTGTGACTACCAATTTTTTGTCAACTACCATTCAAGCTGTCATTGCAATCAATCTTATATTGTTTCTGCTGTATTGTGCCTACCAATTTGTTGTCAACTACCATTTTAAGCTGTCATTGCAATCAATCATAGCTACCTATGTGCTTTAATATACTGTACCTATAATTTTCTCTCATCTTTTTTTTCATTCCATGTAATCTGTTATCATTTTTTGTCTATAAATTTTGCAAGTATTTACCTCCTTAAAATTTTCTTAGATTAAGGACCTGCCCGAAACGCTGTGCGTGCTAGTGGCTTTACAAGACTGTAATTACCATATTTGTATCCTCACATTCCTTATGTACATTCTTGTATATGCATAAATAAATAAATAAATAAATAAATATATAGCAAGAGGCCAAACCCCCAAACATACAAGCGATGCAAAGATGCGAGAAACAGCAGCAGCATTAAGGAGAGGGACTTAAGGACCATAAATAAAGTGTGAAAATAAACTCGAGTAAATTTTTTTAACTACTCTCGACAGTGAAGAAAAACAAATATTCAGACGATTTGTGTTAGAATCATTAATCTTACACTTTCGGTCATATTCAACAACACAAATACATACACACACATTCCTGTTGCTGTAGCAAGTGAAGAATTACACACACAGATCACAATAACGTGATGCATCAAATGAACAAATCCACAAGGGCCGTGACGAGGATTCGAACCTGCGTCCGGGAGCATCCCAGACACTGCCTTAATCGACTGAGCTACAACAGGGTAAAAGGGTTGAAACCGAAGTTCTACTGAACTTACTGGATCCCATAGCCTCTCCGAGGCACAAACCAGGCTTTTACACAACCCCCCCCCCCCTGCACCCGAGCTATGTCAACAGGCCGTTCTCCCTCTTCGCCCTTCCGAATGCACCATATCAGTAAATTTTTTAATAATCTTTTAAAAATAGTAAATGCCACTATTTTTGCAAAATTATTACGAGATCTATTATTCTATAGAATAATGCATATAAATGCATATATGCATATAAATACAAAACATAAATACAAAACAAGTAAATGTAAATAATTTTACCTTGCACCTAGATCCACCATGGGGGTCTACCACTGCAAACCACCTTAAGCCCATCATCACACAGCAAAAATCTGCTATCAGAATAATAACTAACTCTGCTTTCAGACAACACTCAGCTCCCTTGTTTAAATCTCTAAACTTGCTAAATATTAACTCCCTCCACACATTCTCTTGTGTCAACTACATTTACAAAACCCTGTTCTTAAATGCAAACCATGCTCTGAAACTCTCCCTGGACAGATGTAATAGGACCCATTATCACCACACCAGAAATAAATATCTCTTTGATATCCCCAGGGTCAAACTTAATCTGTGTAAACACTCTATGCAAATTAAGGGACCTAGTCTTTGGAACTCACTCCCTAGTGAATTGAAAAACTGTAAAACTTTTGCCTTATTTAAAAGCAAAACCAAAAAGTACCTAACTTCATCTATTTAGTTTCCTACACTGAGCTTTAAATTTGCTCTGTACCTAGTGGTACCCAATCTCCTAATTTTTATGTAATATCAAACAACCTTATCATTGTGTTCATTGCTGTCTTCTTTTATGTGCTAGCCATATGCTGTATTGTGACTACCAATTTTTGTCAACTACCATTCAAGCTGTCATTGCAATCAATCTTATATTGTTTCTGCTGTAATGTGCCTACCAATTTGTTGTCAACTACCATTTTAAGCTGTCATTGCAATCAATCATAGCTACCTATGTGCTTTAATATACTGTACCTATAATTTTCTCTCATCTTTTTTTTGTTTTTTCATTCCATGTAATCTGTTATCATTTTTTTGTCTATAAATTTTGCAAGTATTTACCTCCTTAAAATTTTCTTAGATTAAGGACCTGCCCGAAACGCTGCGCGTGCTAGTGGCTTTACAAGACTGTAATTACCATAATTGTATCCTCACATTCCTTATGTACATTCTTGTATATGCATAAATAAATAAATAAATAAATGTTGTTTAGTTCCTAGGATACTAGAGACAGTTTTCCAAGTGTTTTTCATGTTGCCTTTTGCTTCATTGAATCTATTCACATAATATGCAAGTTTTGCCTTTCTTATGATACTGGTAAGCATTGATGAGTACCTTTTAGCTACTTCCTTTGAAACTAGGCCAATCCTAACTTTCTTTTCATATTCATGTTTCTTGTTGATTGAGTTGAGAATGCCACTTGTGAGCCATGGATTGTTTAATCTTTTGTCAGTTACTTGCTTTGTAAGAAGGGGACAATGAAGGTTGTAGAGGCTTAGAGTTTTGGAGAGGAAGAGGTTAGCTAATGAATTTATATCATGGGTATTATTGAATTCAGAATCCCAGTTAATATTGTGAAGTGCCTCTGTAAGATTGTCTAAAGCTGATTCACTGTGTAGCCTAAATGAAAGTTTCTTGCTTTTTGGTGGTGTTATGTCCATGTTCGCTATGAGAAAGGTAGGATAGTGGTCAGTTGTTCTGTCGTAGATTATACCAGATACAAGGGTATCTGGAGATACCCAGATACAAGGGTACAAGTGGAACAGGACAAACTGGCTACCACAAGGAAAATGGTTTCAGGTACTTAGACAAATACTGTATTATCCCAGTGATTTGGTGTCACTATGTGAATGAGCCTTTGTAAAGTAAGAGAATCAATATGTAAATAAATTTTGAGGAGTTTACTGTACCTGAGGTTTGCACCACCTTCATCAACAACATGTTGGAGTCCTAGTGGTTGCCCCTGAACATACTCGTGGAGATGTGCCAGTTCTAATACTTGCCACAAAGAGGCATCAGAATGAATTCCAAAGGGATCAAGGTTTAGACGAATGGTCCCACTAAAAAGCACAGGATCCTGTTAAGAGATGAAAACGATGTATTAGGATTTCTTTGGCATTACAGTACAGTAGTTACATTATTCATAAACAGCTTTATTTGCAAATATTTATGTAATAAATCAAGATGAGCTGAAATTTATTACTGTAACTGACCGGGTTGATTAAACATTTTATATTCTACCTGAATTTACCTGAGAGGTCACTATTTCTCTTGTGGCCTTGACAAGAATAGGACTTTTTGAAGAAATGATCTTGATTAATATCCTCCAAATTGTTAAGTACAGTATTCTCATCTATGTCATTGATGTATATGATAAAAAGAGTTGGCCCTAAAATAGAACCTTACTGTACCTCATTCGCCATATATCTCCAGTTTCACTTCCGTTTAGGACAAATCTTTGCATTCTTTGTTTTAACCATTGTTTTATCCATTCTAGTATTCTGCCATTTATTCCATATGCTTGCAATTTCTTTGCCAGTCTTCATGTTGTACCTTTTTAAAAGCTTTAGTGACATCCATATATACTACATCTACTGAAGTACTTTGTCTGAACAGCTGGTTACAATTTCAAAAAATGTGAGCAGGTTTGTAGGGTAGGATTTATTTTTAATAAAACCATGTTGCATTGATTTTACTAAATTGTTCATGGTAAAATGGTGAAGGCTGCTTTTTTATAATCTATTATAACTTGGTTAATCTCATCTTTTAAGGGTCCTACTGAGTCTTTTGTTTTGGTCTTATTTCTTATACTGTATAGCCATAGAAAGAATTTGGCTCTTTCTAATTTGAGCAAGGGTTTCTTTCATAGTTTCTTTTGGCTGATCTGATTTCCTGGATGGATGAATTTAAAGCCCTTCTATACATCTCATAATTTATATTGCTCATTTGTAGATTGATATCTTTTCCAGATGTTCTTCTTTGTTATTAGAGCTTTTATATATTTTATACTCTGTACACTAATGCCTTACAAACAATCTGTAAATACTGTACATAAACCATTACAATTACATATTAATATGTAATTATACTTACCTGAGGAATAATGCTGAGCTGTTTTCTTAAATCATTAAGGCTAATCTTTGATATGTTGACACCATCGATTTCAATGTGACCGCCAGCAGCCTCAATCAAACGGAATAGAGCAAGGGTCATGGAGGATTTTCCTGCACCAGTTCTGCCTACAATTCCTATCTGAGGAAGATTCAGAATCTGTATATAAAATATAAGTCCAAATTCAAAGTGGGAATAATTCTTATCTTCCTGGTAGAATAGTTAGTGATGTTTAGTGATAACAAATGCCACTACTCACACTCTTCAATATCTAGTCTTGTTGGAGAAAAAATCAATGAGAAAATAGACAATGTAAAATACAGTAATTTTTGCCTGTATAATATATATACACACAAAAAAGTAAAACAAGTTGTTCATTCCTAAGAAGGGTGAGTGAGGAGTACACAATACCTGGCAGTGCTGAATGGCTTACTATCCCAAAGTCATGAAACCACTAAATTAGCACCTTATACCTAAACCGAGACTCCAATGTATAAAAAAACAGATCACAGTCACTCGGAGACAGCTGCAAAGACTTACTACAAAATAGTTCGTTTGTGGTTTTATTACACTACTTACAAATTAGTAAACTTACATTAATTGTGTACCTACAAATACTCCTCTGTATCATGTTTCCAATGTATTTTATATAAATATAAATTATTATTACAACCCATACAGACTATTACAAATAAATGATCCTTAGAATTAAATTAGAGTGAGTGCTTACTTAATTGTTTATGGAAAGTAATATTACAGTCTAGAACCCCACCTCAAATATATTGTAACTTGTGCATTTACATCTTGATGTTCCAGTACTGTTTCAGACTTGCTCTTGAAGCAGTGAATTGTGGAAGCTTAAACCACCTCTGCTTCAAGCTCATTCCACAGAACAAATAAGTATAAAGAAATAGGAAAGAATGATGTGGAAAGAAAAGAAAATCACAGGAGTACAATATTGTACTGCATAAGAGTATTAATAATGAATTTCTGGCATCTGAGAAGTGCTCTTGGTGGAATGATCATCAACAACTAGGAAATTATAAACTATGTAGCTTAAATTATTTGCAAAACTTCTTGTACTATATTTATGTTTGCTTCCTTCTTGTACAGTATTAAGTCATCTGCCTCATCAAACCTTTATACAACCTTACTGAATTATTTTAAGCTATGCCCTAAACAAGTTGTGTACAGTATTACAATAGTGGCCTTATTAAATATAGTTTGTAATAATGATTAAACCAATGTATATTATTATTTTGCATATTTTGTAAATAAAATCATATTATTATTATTATTATTATTGTTATTGTATTATTATTATAATCAGACCAATCTATGTAGCTCTATGTGTAAACTACAATACTTTTGTTACTCTGTAACATCCAATACTGGAAAGTCATAAAATATTACCTACATAATTTACCTTCTCTTATCAGCACTGAGATTATAATTAAGTAAATATAAGGTGCACATGGAACTGTAACAATTAGTGTCAAACCACACCCATTTGTGTCTGAGTAAAACCCTTTTTATGCCAATTGTAATCCTTGTGAGCTACTGTTCACAGAATGAGTATGGGGCACACAGTAAACTAGCTCTCACTAACAGCTTCAAGAAATATGAATCTCACCTTCTCTGCTGGTCTGACAATGAAACTGATGCCTTTTAGTACAAGATCCAAGCCAGGTCTGTATCTGGTCTCATAGTTCACAAACGCAATCTTGCCCTTCTCAGGCCATAGAGGTGAGATCACAGTTTTGGAAGATTTCCAGTCAGTTTCAGTTTCTCTCTAGGAAAAAGTGAAAGAAATCAATGTAATGCCATTACAGTGATGTAAAGCTATTAAAACATAAAATATTCAGAGTCGACTGATTTATTATACAAAAAAAAAATTAAAATGTAGCTAAAAAGCTAGGCTTTTATAGTTGGTTTTTATTTTAAGTTTGATGTGATTTGATTCAGTTAGTACCAGAGCCATGCAAGTCTGCAAAAGTTTAAATGAAACCACATATATTATTGTTATAAAAGTCTCAATATATATACGCTACATTCTAGACTTGGACCACATAGATTCAGGCGTGCAAAAAATATGCAAGAAATTTATTGCACATTTAATTCATGATTATTTACAATAATGATATCGTACCTACTTTAACAACAACTTACAAGAACTTACCTGTAAGTACTCTCGGATACGTTCAACAGATACAACATCAGCTTCCATTTCTGATGTTTGACGCACCAGCTGGCCGAGCATATTTGTAACCTGAAGACACAAGAAAAATGTCATGCATCAAAATGTTTATATGATATAAATACTGTACTCCAATTTGGTTAGTATACTGTATATATATCCTTTTATTACTGAACACTATTACAAATATAATATTTTTAGATGTTTGACCTTACTCACATTTATAGCATATGTTATGGAGAGTCCCACTGTACCAGGACTCAGTGTGTCCCTCCCTGCCACAGCTAAGATAGATGCTGCTAAAGTGATGAGGTTCCCAATTAACTCTAACCTCACTCCAAGCCACCTGGGGGAGAAAATGTAATGAAAATACTGTATCTAGTGTATACAGCACTATACCTATACTATATGGCGAAAGAAGAAAGTTTATTCTTGTAATAAAACAAAGATATTAGGAAAAACAGCACCATTACAGTATTATAATCCTGTTCCAAGGAACTATGTGGCTTAGCAGCATCCTGAGAGAGAGGGCAGTCCTAAATGTAAAATACTGTATTTTCATTTAATTTTGGAAGGTAGTGTTGTGTGTCAACAAACAACACCACCTGCTCTCTTGTGTCATAGCCTGTCAGGGACAGGCAGCCTGTGTGTATACTTTAGGCTTGAATCGAGGTCCCCCAAGGACCCTTACCAGGATGCACCTCCACAACAGTTGACTAACTTCCATGAACCTATTTATTGCTAGGCAAACAGAGGTGAAAGGAAATATATCCAACAATTTCTGAACTATCTAGAAATCAAACCCAGAATCTCCAACTGTTAGTTGGGAATGATGCAAACTGTATTGATTTAATATATTATCTGTAGAAGTTTAGCAGGACTAATATTTTGGGCATGAATGGATTCAAATATTAAAATGGATATGTGGTGTAAGTGCAGGCTGTACAGTCAGAAATGGGTATAAATGGGTTGAACATGAGCTCAATGTTATCAAGAAGACTTGCCATTACTGTGTTTAATTTATTGTTGGAACAGGATGAGCATAGTAATATTTTGACATATAGTATATAAGTAAATCACAATTCATATTTAAAATGACATCTTAAGAGGTTTTTATCAACAAAAATATTAATCCTTTGGTATCTGAATGACAAACAGTTCTTCACTGCAATACACGAGTCTTGCCACATGTATTGAAATAATAGCATCAACATCCTGAAAGATTTATCCAAACATATAGCCTTGAGAACAGGAGTTTTGGGACTGGTGGCTGTAGCCACTGTGCAGTTATAGAGGAAAACATAACCTGCTGCAGCTGAACTAAATCTGTCATTAATAATTACTTCCTACTCAAGACTCGGTCAATATTATGAGTGCTATAACTACTAATAGCAAATAGGGGAAGAGCTTTTTTTTCCTTATTTGAAATTTAAACAAATAATTAAACAATTTAAATTAGCACAATTTAAAACAATTTAGAAACAATTTAAATTAGAATAGAAAATTAAATAGAAAACAATTTAAATTAGCAAGAATATCAATGTTAGGATAAAGTATAATTTTGCTGTGTATTTTGTTAATCAAATTTACCTGAGGGCCATTGTCTCTTCAGTGGCGATGACCCTAAATGGGGAAACTAACTTAGCTTATCAAAGGTTCCCCCCACATACATTTTATTGGTAATTATGGTTGTACAGTGCTGAATAAATAATGATATCTTAAAATTAGTCAAACTAACCTGTTGATAACAATGTTAGCATATAATGCTTTTTGCCAGTTATCAATCTTCCGATCTGATGCCACACAAAAGTCCCTTTGTCTTCTGAAAGCCCGTATTGTTGATACACCTGAAAAAATCAAATTATAATTGCTTAAGGGGTACAGTTTATATATATATTCAGGGAAAAATATTTACATGGCATACTTCAATATACAGTATCTTACATTATGGAAATATAAGATAATAATTACACATTAAAAATATGAAGGATGCTGCACAAAGAAAAAGTCTGAAAAGATGAAATTATAAGAATAAACCCTGAGTCTAAGAAAACTAAATACTTTGTCAGCTTTAATACACTAATTTACGCGTTCTTATGAAGTGTAAAAATAGAATAATCTATTTTATGGTAAGTGTATACAGTAACTCAAACATGTTGAAGTTAACACAAGATAAGTTTAACATATAAAATGTTTACATGTACTGACAGCCACAAAGACACTGTATAATTCGGGGGATGACACTGACAACAATGCGAGATAATGACATATCACTAAACTGTACTCTATCTCATTATCTTATTTAGAATTGATGATGTAACTAAATTTGAAAATATGAGATAAAAGAAACTAAAGAAAGGAGTTTCATTTACATTTAATATACCAGAGCATAAGGAGATGGGATTGAATGTAATGATATGTAAATTGACTTTTGTAGCGTACAAAGAAAAGTTACAATAATTACCCTGAATTGTTTCGCTAAAATAGGAGTAAATGGGTGACTTCGAAATTGATTCAATACGCTTCAGCTGTCTGGATGTGGCCACATACAGGAGCTGCACTAGATAGTACACAAACATTATGGGCACTACAAAAGCCCCAATCAACGGAGTTGCAGCCACAATTATTATCAAAGCTGTCAATACCTGAAAGAGTACACCATTTTTATTTGTGGGAACACACAAATTCCATGTTTTCAATACTGTATAGAGCACTCCATACCTAGTGTACAATAACTGTGGCTGTACTAAAAGAAATCGTTCAAAATCTTCAGCATATGGAAGAAAACCAGATTCTAGTATTTACTCTCGTGTAACAGATATAAATACATATAAATAACATTAAATCCATAAATGTTCCCTATTACTACAGCATATTGTTTTAGAAACTAATAAGAATTTTCTATATAAAACCAAAACAAGATTGGTGACATTTAAAAATAAAAACATGATAAGATATAAGGTACATAAAAATATAACTAGGAGATTTGATGAGATAAATGATATCAGAACTAAGTTAATTTATGTAAAACTGCAATGGAACCCCCCCCCCATCCATTGAGCACCAATGAAACCATTCCTGACACTAAATGAATATACCCAAAAAAGTGGTACAAGTGTATTGTAAATTTATATATAAGATGACTATTACATAATAATAATAATAATAATAATAATAATAATAATAATAATAATAATAATAATAATAATAATAATAATAATAATAATAATAATAATAATAATACTGTATTACAGTACTATGGTTGTAACTTAACGCTCTCGTGTTCCAACGAAGTATTTTAGCATCATCAATAATGAGACAATAAACATTCTGATGATGCTAAAATATGTTATTCGATTGCTATTCACTAACATTCCTATATTCATTGCTGACATGAATAATCAATCATAAAATCAATTTTGTTTTTGCATGTTTCCTAGAATGTTCATTTACAAATATTTTGAAACAAAATTTATAGTTATAACCCATGAAATAACTGAGAAAACTTTAAATTATTATGCATTTTTAAGCATCACTAAGCAAAACAGGCTGAGTGCCCCTAGGTTTATGTTCAGCAACACATGTATTTATAAGAGAGTTGGGACCAAAATCTCTTATAAATACACTCTGGTTTTGCATCTGTTCTCTAGACAATTCATATACAAACATATTGACACCAAATTTATTGTTATAACCCAACAAATAAGCTTGAAAACATTAAATGACTAAATATTTTTTGCATCACCTAGTGGCCAGCAAGCTACCCAGGAAGCCAATAATGCTTATAGCCTAGAACTAGTGGAGAGGCTGGACCATGAACATGTTAAAAACTGCAAAGCTGATATGAAATTCTAAAATTTGAAGTTTCCCAATATAATCAGAGCTAATTTAATTTACATTGATCATCAAACATAACTACTTTTTCAAATACAGTACTCCTAAATGTTATCCATACACTAGAGAAAGTATTGATTGTTGCTCTTGAGGCTCCTGGAAGAACATTGTCCAGGATGTCAATTTCTTTGCTGAAGCGATTGATGATACGCCCACTTGGGTTGGTATCAAAGAAGCTCATGGGGAAATGAATGACCCTCTCAAGGAGTTGCTTGTGAAGGACCTTTGCAGCCTTCAGGCATCCAAACATCACCAGTAACATCCCCACAAAGAAGAAGAAAGCTGAAAGAGATAATGTAATACAATGGTACAATGAACTCATTGTATTGTAATAGTAAAATGCAAATTAGGATACTCTCAGTTTTTCTACAGCTGTGACTTTCTAATGTAAAATCTCTGAAAACTATCAGTTTAAGACTATTTACCAAACACTGCAAAGGTAAAAAATACCAACATAACCTTATACAGTGCAGTGAAGATTTTTATGTTGTCCAGGTATACACTATAGTCATTATATGAAGATGGGAAACCAGGAGCTGAACTACATATGACTCCAATTTATTTTATGGCCTCCCATGGCTGCTGGGACTTGTGCCCTTACAGGAAACACTATTGAACTATTGAAAAGACATTTTTAACATCAGTATAATGTGCAAACATTAACACAAGCTGTAACCTGCACTAAGATGACGACAGCATTTCAGTAGACGATCAACACACGACGACAATGACCACACTTTAAGGGTAAAGAACATAATGGCCAACAGTCAATGATGACTAAGTCAAATATTTCTGGTCATACAAGACAGCTTTAAAACAATAACCATGTCAGTCCACCAAGAATCTGTTAACCCATTCTTTCCAGCCTATCAAGGCTTTTCATACAATCCATTCAAACAAAATCCCACTGTATTCACATCTCCATATAAATGATTCAACAAATATTAGTGTAGCCAATAGACGGGCAGTAGACAGTAATAGTAAAATAATGGGATATTTCAGGTAATTCCTGCACATCTATTCTTACTTACATTACTACTATAATTATAATTATATAATTATAATTACTGTACTCAACACAAATCTGCTATTAGAACAATAACAAACTCTGGCTCCAGACAGCACTCGGCCCCCCTACTTAAATCTTTGAATATATTAAGTTACTGCACATCCTCTCAAGTGAACTCTATATACACCAAACTAGAAACAAATACCTATTTGATATTCCAAAAGTGCGACTTAATCAAATTAGAAATGCTCTGCAAATCAATGTACCCAGAATGTGGAATGACTTTCCCAATCATGTCAAAGACTGTACCTCACTCAACCAGTTTATGAGAAAAACTAAATACAGTACAACCTAATAAACTCCATGTAACCTACCTTACCTCCTAAATGTCAATCTATGTCTTGCTATTTTCAAACATTATTGATTATTGACCAACTTGTTTAACTGCTGATATCTGCCATGTATAAACTTAAAGAAAATTGTAATCTGTTTATTTAGTTAAAATTCCTTCTACTGTTTTGTTGCATTTTCTGCTGTTCTATCTCATTATGTAATTATTATTATTGTCTTTTTCTTTTTTCCTTTTTTCAATTCAATTTATGCTTTTGATCTCAATTAGTATTAAGTTTTAGTCTAAGTTTTTCCCACACTTTGCCTGAAACACTGTGTATTAGTGGCTTTTGGCATTGTATGTACTAGCTCTATCTATTAATTCAACATTATGATTGTAACTCATTTTCAATGTATGTACCTATACCTGAATAAATATTTTATCTTATCGTAAAATACTTTAGAATTCTGTCCCTTATATTATGTAGTACTTCATTAAGTCACTTTCTATCCTCACTCATAACCCCTTGTTAGTCAAATCCACATGTGGTGCAAGAAATCCATCTGAAACACTACAGGAAGGAAACCCACTAAGTATTGAGCCTTTTTCCCTGGGCTTAGTGAAGAAATGAGAATGGATTTTTTCACATGGCATAACATCTAATAATAACTAGACTAGACTAGAATATGTAAACTTTCTGTAACAAACCAGTAGAATAAACTATGTGGTAAAAAAAAATTATTTTCTTTGATAAGAAAATTAAACAAATATATAACTGATAATTAAAAATTCTGAGCTTATTGGTTGTTGTAATATTATTTAGTGATCAAAATCAAACATGGAATGATAAAAAATAATACAAACTTAAAAACAAAGTTTTTTTGACAAATTAGACTAATTTTTCTCTCGTGAAATACTTAGGATGTGGAAATCTGCCATCAATTCAATACTCAACCTTAAAATACAACTAAATAAATTAATTAGGTTCAAATGAAGGGATCCTGTGCAAGCTATTGACTTCCTTCCTCAAACACATATACAGTACAAGGTGCTGCATTAAAAAATGATCAAACTTACCTTGAGCCACACCAAATGCACTGTACACAGCTAGGAAGGTATTCCTGCCAAAGCTCCCCAAAGTGTCATTTGTACTTCCAGAATTTGCCCACTGGGATAGCCATACATTACCGCCGCCCTGGCTTCCCTAAAGTCAAAGAAACAATTTCATGTAGCAAATTGAAAATTAAATAACTGGATGGTAAGAAAAAGTTAAAAATACAATATTCCAAAACAAAAGAAAGTGAAAACTAGGACGTATATGAAGGCAAGTTATGATAATTGTAAGTGAGGACCAGAAGCAAAGAAAGAATTATAAATGAAGAATGAAACTTGTAATACCTTCCCCACAGTGAAGGGATAATACTACAATATTCAAAACAATAACCTCAGCTACATATTTTTTATTTTACCATATAAGTTCCTATTATCATTACCTTATCCAATTAACGTTAAAAGTAATTACGGAAACTCAAATTACTTTGATTGCTCACTGCATACTTCAGTCACTAGATTTATTTCTTTATTAAGTTTGTCTATTCACCATCTGGGTCCCAGTAATACAGTCGGGTTCATTCGCAACACCCAATCGAGAATTCCGGGTTCAAATCCCAAGCAGGAGAGAAATGGCTGTGCTCATTTCCTTTCACCTAATGCCTCTGTTCACCTAGCAGTAAGCAGTAACTCAGGAGTTAGCTTGTTGTGGGGTTGCATTCTGTGCGGGTCAGTAATTTGACCTGGGGGGGGGGCCAAAAACAAGTTTAATGTGTATGAATATACTCTGACTGCCTGTTCCCCGACACAATGAATTATTAATTATTATCTTTATCTTGTGTTATGATGAATAGTACAAATGAACACTAAAATCTGTAAGATAAGGCAATTTTCAGGAGAAAGCACTAAGGCATTATAACTATATAGCACTTGGAAAAGATTTAGGGTAGGACAGAGGAAAGGAATGTTGCCCAACCACTTGGATGGTCAGGGATTGAACATCATCCTATAAGCATTGTGACTCTCACTCTAGCATCCAGTCCTGGTGATTGGGCACTAAAACTGGGCACTTGCCCGAAATGCTATGCGTACTAGTGGCTTTAGGTAGTGTATGTACTATCTCTATCTTTAAATCCAACATTATGTAAGTAACTCAATGTATGTACCTTTACCTGAATAAAAAATCTAAATCTAAATCTAAATCTAAACCTGCAATAATAATACAATTTACATAAGCTTACCTGAGCAGCAGCAATACAAATGATTGGTAAAATGGCATACGTGACTCCCATTGCCTTTCCGTATGCAATGTAGACTGTGCGTGACACCTGTAACAGAAATAAATTTTATGCACTTTAATACAAATTTTTAATTAATCAAAACTACTCTGAAATTCTCAATAGGAAGTGTCCATGATAATATGCCAGCTTTACTTTATATTTTGGTCTTTTATGGAGAGAACATTACTGTATGGTATGTACGACGATGAAGTCTTACCCTTCCTGTTTGTGCCTTCTCCTGCTGGACAATGTTACCTTTCTTCACTCTCATGGTGGTTTCTTTATCAAGATTATTCAACAGAACATTATTTGTTTGATATTTCATATTTTCCTCTTTATCATCAACACTTTCAACTGTGGTATGGTTCTGAACACCCGGTTGTCTTCTGCGCTGAACACTTTGAAATAATGCAAATGGTATTTTCTTTAGAGGCAAAGAATTTTTCTCACAGACTTCCACAGTAGTGTTTTCATCCAAATTTCCTCTAATATTATGATTATTACCATTTAGATGCATTTTTTCTGTGATGATGCAAGTTTTAGTTGGATGTCCTACTTTACTATTTTCAGAATCAAGTGATTCTTGGAGCAATTTAACAGTTTCATGTGGGTGTTTTATGGAAAAATCTCTTGCATTATTGCTACAGTCTTGACCGAAAGATGAGATCTTGTCAGTTGGAGTATCTCTTCCAGATATGTGTTGATAACAGTCATCACTGATGTGACATGAATTAGATGCTTGTTCTTGCTTTCTGTCAAGAATTAAGACAAATTTTCAGAAATTATATTAATTTTTGTCTTCAATAGACAGGGGTAACACTTAACAATAGCTAGATATCTTAAAAATATTACAAAATTATTGAAAATTGTGACTACTTCAATCATAACCGCTTCCTTAAGATGTCCTCATGACAGATATATAAGCTCACAATTTAATTTGTAAACACATCTTTAAGATGTCCATATGCCAGGCTCACAACGTAAATTACAACCTCTTCTTCAAGATGTATACATGTAACAGATGCAAGTGGCCTCAATTTTAAGAATGTCAAGGTACAGTATAGAGAAGATAACAGGAAATATATATTATCCCAAAAATAATAACTATCTACGGGCTCACCATAGCCCGTGTTACTTGGAACTTTTTGTTCCAGGTAGCGAATCTTTAACAACAACAACAATATCCCAAAGTAATAATTCTATGGAGCAATATCTAGAGGGCTGTAACAGAACACATGGGCACCACACACGAGACAAATATCTATTTGATATTCCTAGAGTACAACTCAACCAAAGTAGGAATTTAGTGGATATAAAGGTCCCAAATTGTGAAATGACCTCCCACATTAGATTAAAACCCCTACTTCTCTCAACCAATTTATGAGAGAAAATATGTGACCTTTGTGTCTTGATGTTTTTGTGACTATTAGATAATATTAATAGTGAATTATATATCTGTGCTGTTGCTGATTCTATGATACAATAGTCTACGCTTTCAACATTAGGTATCACTTAAAAATTGTATATCGTTTGCTAAATTTCTTTAATAATTAATATGAAAGCTTACTTCTCATTTAGTATTTAGTGTTTACCCCATTTAACATAAAAATAAATTAACTGAATTATTTTAAGTTATGCCAAAATGTTTTGCTTTTAAGTGGCTTGATTTAATATACAATCTCTGTACCTACTAAGCTGCCACTGTAATATGTTCTTATGTGTATTTTTAATAAAATTATTATTATAATAATAGAGAGGGACTATTCACAAGCCATAAGCTTCCGATCATTAACTGTACCACGAATAACTTAGCAATCTTGACTTGTAAATGAGAATCTCCTGTTCATATAAAGTATGCTTTAAATGCACAATTGTCTCTACTATATGTTTCTCTAATCTGCCAAAAATTAATTTATGTAGCCCTATACCTGAATGGATTAGATTAGAGCAAATAATAGTCCAATTTACCACAGAATATTGTGAAATAAATACTTGAGTGTATACCTGACACTAAGGTGTTCATCTTTCACAGTGGGTGTTTGAGATGACAGCGGTTCACTGGAAGGTTTATGCACACTATTTAAGTCACCATCATCTGGAAAGGATTAAGATATATGAGTAAAAAGTTATAATGCATGCCAAAATTATATTCTATGATCTATCAATGGTCTATGGTCTATCTATCTTTCATGGTCAATATTTCTGAAATCTGGTTACTCTCCCATGCAGCCCTGAGCTTCTTAATTCTTTTAAAAACATATGTGACATATTAAGGGTCCCGGTAGTACAGAGGGGTTTATTCTCGACACACAATAAAAAATTCCGGGTTCGAATCCCGGGCGGGACAGAAACAGTTGGGCACATTTCCTTTCACCTTATGCCGCTGTTCACCTAGTAGTGATTAGGTAGTCAGGAGTTAGTCAGCTTGTTGTGGGGTTGCATCCTGGGTAGGGCCAACAATTCGACCGGGTGGGGGGGGGGGGTTGATCGCGATAAAAGTCAAACGTGTAGGAATACACGCTGGCTTCCTGTCCCCCGACACAGTGAATTAAATTATATACCTGTATTACTGTTAATGACATTATATACAAAAACAAAAATGTACAATTTTTTTCAGGTTTTTAGAATGTTGGAATACATTCCAACTTAAGTATTTATATACCAATATTATAATTACAGTACTCAAATATAACAAAAATATTTTACTATTTTACCAAAATTATAAGTAAATGCAATAATTATTGCATTCCTAGATAGAGTATTTGTAATGAATACTAATATTACTACTACTAATAATAGTAATAATGTTTAATTTATTTATTTTTCATTTACTTATATATATATACAAGAAGATACATTGGGTTTATGAGAGTATAATAATAATAACTCTTTAAGAAGGGACATTAAACACACAAAAGCAAAATTTGGTAGTTATCATACACTGACAACCTTCAACCTTATGCCATCATGAAAGGAAAATTTCAAAACACTGTACTGTACTATAGTATGCTGTAATGCTGTATGTTGTGCTCAATTACTGCCTTTATAAAATCTAAAAAAAAAAAACAGCATTGAATGTAATGAAACACCAATTTCTGTGTGAGCCCCCAGAGGCACCCACCAGAAATACTAATATAAATAAATAAATAAATGTTTATTCAGGTAAGGTACATACATACAAGAGATTTTACAAAATTTGATAGATTTATAGATAGAGCTGGTACATACAATGCCTAAAGCCACTATTACGCAAAGCGTTTCGGGCAGGAAAAGCATTAAAGACTAAAACTTAATACTAATTTAATTGCTATATGTATATAGCTTACTATATATAATAAGTACCTGCTGTTAAAGTTAGTACAGGAATGTAATAGTTTGGGTGAAAAAACCATGGTAGAAAACAGCAATTGGATGATGTGAGTGTCAATCAGTTGAGTCAAGGCAAGCACTAGATGAGTGACTATGATAAACCTAACTAGCTTTCAGCTCCAAATAATGGTACTAATATACTGAACATATTAAAAATATGCTGTATATTGTATACCAACATGTACAAATATTTGAATTTATCTGAGGGGCCACTATCTTTCCAGCAGCTTCGATGAGGACAGGAAGCTGGCAGCTTGTCAAAGGTCCCCCTATTTGTCCTGATGATTTTATCCCGCTGGATTTTGAACTGCAGCAGTGTTTTTGTATTTATGGCTTCAGCAGGAAAGTGGTTCCATGTGTTTGTAACCCCTATAGGTGGAAGAGCATCTCATGTTTTCTGTCCTACATTGTGGCTTGTTAAGCTTGAAATCGTTGTTCCTTGTATGTATTACATGTGACCTTTTGAAGAACTGATCTGGATCAATATCTTTGATAAAAGGTCTGATTACAAATTAATTAATTAATAATTGTTATTTAGCTACTTTGATCTTTTCAAAGATAATATAATATCCACTGGAAACAATACTTACATGAAATGTTTAAATAATTTTAAGTTACATTAATAGATATACTGTATATACAAATTTCTGAACATATTGTACAACAATCTGAAATTTTGTGAGGCGCCCGCAGATTGTGAGGCCTTAAACTGTAGTTTACGGTCTCACAGTCTGAGGGGCCTAGGGTATGCCTAAATCCAGCACTGTCTATATCTTATAAATAGATGCAGTATTACCATCTCACCCTCATCAAAAGATTCGGCAGAATCTTCTTTCATGTGCTGAAGAAGGAAAGTAGCAAATGCATTTCCTTGCACCTTTAGTTCATCGTAGCTTCCTTTCTCTACCATTTGGCCATTGCTTAGGACTATAATCTGATCGACACGTGGCAGAAATGTCACTGAATGGGTCACCAGCACTCTTGTCTGTTGAACATACAGTAGTTGAAAAACTTATAAACAAGGTACTATATCTTGAAAATTGCTAATCATTTTGTATTTTGCACAAGTTGGAATTTGTAATGTCCTGGAGGAAGCAGAATATTGCTAAAGTGAGGAAACTGAGTGCCCAGCTCAGAAAGGAGCTTTTCATCTATACTCAATGCCTTTTTTTAGGGCAATTCTAAACTATGGCATACTTTCAGGCAACCAACAGTAAATGCTAATAACAACACTGAGGTACAGTAAAATAAAATCAGCACTCACCTGGTATCTGAGTATACCTTGGGGTCCAATGACTCGATCAAAAATATGACGGCCTACATGAGCATCCACAGCACTGAGTGGGTCGTCCAGCAGCACCACATCTGGGTTACTATAAGCTGCTCGTGCTAGGGCTATACGCTGCTTCTGCCCACCACTAAGGTTGATTCCCTGGAACAAAAATAAATATTGCTGGGTCTTGATGCATTATGTAGCCAAGAGGACATATTTATGGAATGTCAAAGGAAGGCATGTTTGGTAGGACCACCAGGTCATCTATATTTATTTAACATATAAACTGAATAATTTTCAACCCTACACATAAATCAGCTTTTCTGTTAGTTGCATTAGGGCTTTGATTTATTTTACAACACAGGGTAGCTGTACTATACTGGTTACTGTATTACCATAACTATATCTTTATTCATCAGGATATTTAATTGCTACCTAACAAATCTAAACTGGTAGTTAAGAGCATAAAAGTATTGATAACAATATACAGTAGATAAACATGATAAGAGTAGCCTTTAACTGTACATAAAGTTTCAGCTGTTTTTGTTTATCAAATCTGAAATATACGAGACAAGTGACCACAGGACAACAAATCCAGCAGCCAATATTGAACAATACAAATACTGTAGTGTTTGGTGATGGTAGGCTCTATACAGAATCCCCTAATGTTGCTATCTTCTTTAATGATGAGATATCTCCAACCCAAATTTACTCCCATGTTAAGTGTTTTTTCTACATAACTAAAAATACTCTATTACAGCTAAACATATTTACATTCTCCCCTATTTCAGTCATATCTGCAGCTGGCAGCATATCTATATCCTGTTGCAATGCACAAGCTTCTACAATTTGTTGATAGCGATGCTCTTCATAAGGTAGTCCCCATGTGATGTTGTCTCTTAATGTAGCATTCTGCAACCATGCTTGCTGAGACACATATGCAACTCTACCCTGGGAAAATAAATCAGTATAATTATACACTATTCAATATAGAAACAAAATATAAATTTCTTAATTCTATCAAAGTTTCTCAGTAACTAATACATGGCACAGAAATCAGCCATCCTAAACTTAATAGAAATAAGATTTGAAAAACATTGTGACCAGAGTATGATAACTCTTTATTTATTTATTTATTTATTTATTTATTTATATATATACAAGAGTTCTTACATTCTTGTAAAGACACTAGCACGCATAGCGTTTCGGGCAGGCACTTAATCTTAGTTTTCCCCGGAATACGACCTGAAAAATCGTTTAACAACCAGGTACCCATTCAATGCAGGGTGAACAGCAGCTACAGTTAGGGATTGGCCCCTAGTCAACCCTCCCTGGCCAAAGCACTCGCAAAGCACCGGCCAAGTGTTTTACCATTGTGCCATGGGGACTGCCGTGGCACAGTGATTTTAGTTATATACATCTTATATATATAGTTATATATTTAGTTTAGTATTTATATACAGTCCTTTAGTTATATACATAAATAATATTGTATAGATGATAATCACAAACCATATTGTAAAAATTTGGGAATGATACAAAATATAAAGAAAAGCAGAAAGCCAAAAGTTAATGCAGCCATGCAAAGGATCAACGCAAACTTTACAAATAACCATAAAACTGGCAAATGCTCATCAATTGGGAAAGATGTTACATGTGGACCATAACATTGCACATCACATCTACCATACTGACAGCAAAGTCTTGCAACACAATGAACTAGTGATGGACCTTGGAGTCACCTAGTCAACTAGTCCACAAACCAATGGAAGCTGTTCAGTAAGTAGGGAATGTATCAGGAAGTCAACCAAACCTTAAGAATACTGTAATGAAATGAGCCTTTGTCTTCATAGAAAATAAAGTGTTCTTCCAGCTGAACAAATTTCTTGTGCACCTACACCTGGACTACTGTGTCCAAGCATAGAGACCTCACCTATAAAAAGACATGGAAAAAATTTGGCACAGAGATAAAAATCCTCCTTTAACTAGTCAAGCTTAACAGGTCCTGAGGGCTACATGACTAGCAACTGGTTTATAAAAAAAAATTTAGTTCTTTACTGTGGTCAGGTTATGTACAGAACTCATGAAATATTATCATGATTATCTAATACTATGTACTGCATTATCATCAATATATAAATTATTTTTAACTGGAAACATATTACAAAATTTCCTGTGCTCTAACAATTTGAAAAAGATTAAGTGTGAGAAAAACATAATTTTAGAGTGGTGATACCGTGTTTTTCCTCAGCATTTTCCAAGAGGTCTGTATTTCACGTATCTGTAAGATTTCTCTGAATAAGTCAGGTAAAACATCACAGATGAAGTGCTATATGGAAGTTTGTATCATATATGGCATAACATATTTTTAATATCCATTGAACTTAGAAAGAGTTATTTATATATAAGACCAGTATCTATCACTGCGTTGCAATAATTTATTAACAAACATCAGTCAAACATAATTTTGACATCATGCTTGCCATTTAGGTGTAGTCAGTTGACTAAGCACATCTCAAGCTCACATTCCTCTTCAGCACAGGAAAAAGACAATTTTACTATATAACATGTACTGTACTGTAATGTATTTGTTTGGTGATTATTTTAATTCTTTTTCACATATATATTATAACAATCATAACAGGTCTATTTCTACCAGTTTTCAAAAGAGTTACATATGACTCTTAAGATCAAGCCCTCAAAGATGACAGCATCCTGAGAACTGACATACTCACATTTATGCACACGTATCCAGTCTCTCGCTTCATCTCTCCCAGTAGTGCTGACAGTAGCGAGCTTTTTCCCGCTCCAACAGAGCCAACCACAGCAACCAACTGTTTGTTCTCAACCTCTAAATCTATGTTGCATAGCTTCCAGTTGCAGGCTTCACTGTCTGTATCCCAGCTGAACTCTCCCTTCACAATCACTGCTGTGTTGTCTGTGATAAAATATAGTGTAACATTAGTAATAATTATTAATTTGTGCAAGAAGTAATTAGGTACATGTAAATGAATGTTCTTACCACTGATATTTCCAAATTCAAATTCAAAATTCAAATGTTTATTCAGGTAAAGTACATACATACAAGGTGTGATACAAACATTGATGGATTTATAGATAGAGCTAGTACATACAATGCCTAAAGCCACTATTATGCAAAGCGTTTCGGGCAGGAAAAACATTAAAGACTAACACTTAATACTAATTGAGATTAAAGTGTAAATTGTGTTGAGGAAATATAATATAAAAAAGGGAGGAACATGGCAGAAAAATAGCAAATATACAATTTGGTCGACAAACAGCATTGTTTAAAATAGCAGTCATGGATTGACATTTTAGGGGTAAGGTAGGTTACAGGGAGTTAATTAGATAGTACTTAGTTTTTATCTTAAACTGGTTGGGAAAGGTACAGTTTTTAACATGATTGGGAAGGTCATTCCACATTCTGGGTCATTCCATTTCTTTCTCAGAGTGAGTCATCTAAGAGTGCTTTACCTAGTTTCATCACACATCTTACAAGCTATAAGATTTTATCTGCACTCCAAAAGGTGCTGCATTGCAAATCAATAATGAAAATTTTAATTCTTATAATTTCTAGTACATACTCTATTGTATGTATTAAAAATTACATACTGTATATCATACATATTACACTCAATTTAAACTTTAATTGTACATTGAAAACATTATTATGAATTGTATTACTGTACTAAGAATGTAACCTACATCAATTTTCTATTCACTATACTGTACTGTACTTATATTACTAACTTTTGGTAGGATCACTTCCAACTGATGAAGGATCCAATTCTTCTGCTGAGATAAATTTCTGAAGCCGCTTGACAGCAACTGATGCCTAGGAAAACATAAGGACAATTTCGTTGGTAAAAATGACATGAACAAAATAGTACTAAATTTAAATTTTTTAAATGACACAGTACTATACTTTGTTGTACTGTATTTATATTTTATCCACAATCTGGTGGACAGTGAAGAAGGCCTTTGTTAGTGACTGCTGCATTATGAAACATTCTCATGTAAATAGTTCAGTTATCTCAGGTACATACTCTATTTTATTGCACATAAAAATGGCAGATGTTAGTATAAAGCTACAAATTACCTACTTAAAATTATCTGTTAGAGTAAGGACCTGCCCAAAATGCTATGTGTGTTAGTGGTTTTACAAGAATGTAAAAACTTCAATACTATGTACTCATATAAACCCAATGTACCTTCTTGTATATAAATAAATATCTAAATAAATAACTAAATAAATAACTAAATAAATAACTAAATAAATAACTAACTAACTAAATAAATAAATAAATAAATAAATAAATAAATAAATTAATTAATTAATTGATTAAATAATAAATAAATAAATAAATAAATAAATAAATAAATAAATAAATAAATATACCTGGATGAGCTGAGCAATGAGGTTAGGCAGCTGGTTGATAGGCATACGTATGAGGTTGAACAACACTATAGATACAAAGGCAGTCTCAACGTCCAAAACATTCTCCACTGATATCAGTAGGTAGGTCATAAATGTGGTCATTGCTATCTGCAAGACAAATCATTATCATTAGTTATATAATTCATATAGTTATAGTAACTATAACTATAGTTATAGTTACTATAACTATAGTTAGTAACTATAGTTTAGTAACTATAACTATATGTTATAGTTATGATAAATACAGATTTAAAGAAGCAAGTAGAAACACAAAAAGCACATGGAAAACTGAACAAATCCACAAGGGCCGTGACAGGGATTCGAACCTACGTCTGAGAGCATCCCAAACGCTGCCTTAATCGACTGAGCTACGACATGGTCAAAAGAGTTGAAATCAGAAGTTTTACTGAACTTACTTGGATCCTGCAGCCTCTCCGAGACACAAACCAGGGTTTTACACAACTCCCCCATGTACTCGAGCTATGTCAATAGGCCGTTCTACCTCTTCGCCCTTACTTCATTACACACAGAAAACACAATAGTGTGATGCATCAAATGAACAAATCCACAAGGGCCGTGACTTCTGTTCCCAAAATAGTACCAATGATGCCATTATTAGTCTGCTTGATATAATCTCATTGTCTTTGATAAAAATGAGTTCCCAATTGGCCTCTTCATTGACCTGAGAAAGGCCTTTGATACTTTAAACCATAACTACCGCTTACTTAAACTTCACCACAATGGTAGCAAAGCCCTTACGCTGGACTATATACGTTCCTATCTCAGTGACTAAAATTAACACAAATAAAACAAATTGGTATTTTAAATAAGAGAAGCATTACATTAACAACCACAAAAGCTAAACTTTATATACCAGTCATTACATACCTCCTTATTTCCCATTAAATAAAAATCTTGCTTAATTGAAGGTTAAGCGAGATTTTCATGCTCTCACAGTGGCAAAAAAAAAAAAATACAATTATGCAAACTTCTACATTCACATCCTTTCACACAAGAGCACAGGAACATCATCCATATTGTGAACACCACAAGGTCTATGCTTATATGAATTAATAAAATTAGTTAATTTAACTTCATCAGTAGTTAACTACTACTCCCAGAATCGACTTGAGAATGGTCCAGGATGGCCCGAAACGTCGTCGTCCCTTCACCTTCTAAGTGTGTGGTCTGGTCAACATACTTTAACCATGTTATTGTGATTCATCGCCTGTAACTTCATCAGTAGATCTGATTAGCTGCAAAATTAATCTTAATGAAGCTAAATTAACTAATTTTATTAATTCATATAAGCACAGACCTTGTGGTGTTCAGAATGGAGATAATGTTCTTATATTATAACGCCTTGGCCCACTGTTCCCAGAATCCAGGACATTTGATCATTCTTTAGAAGTTCTGGCATTCAGGCACTCTGAGCACTCTGCCAGACAAATAAACACAAACACTTAGAAACTTTGTTCAATACACTGTTTACACCACCTTGATAAAGGATGTAGGTTCATCCAAAAATGCTATGTTATAGAATATGGAGTAGGAGAAAATAGGCCACACACAACATACAAATTACATGAGAAAGCTTTAAAGAATTTTGAAAAAGAAAGAGATCTAGGGGTGATTATGGATAGAAAATTATCCCCTGAGGATCAAATAAACAACAAAGCAGATCATGTTCTTAGGAACAAAATTAGGGCGAGGCCTTAGATGAGCTGTGTTAGGAAGTGCTCTGAAAACTAGAGGTCAGAGTCTTCTGCTCCTGTGTCGTCTATTGTAAACAAAATACTGTACAGTAATATATAGTGCATACATTTTTTATATGGTATGGTATAAGTTTAAGCGACTAGAACCTGTTAAGTTCATTGAAGGTTCCTAGCAAATATACAATATTTATTGATACAATTGAATGAACATATTCAGTATGGTAACATAAGGCTTTAATGCGACTAGTAACCTCATAGTTAAGTTCTTTATTTTAATCTCCTGTCTTCTCACAGCTGTTGCCTAGCAAATATACAATATTTATTGATACAATCCCATGCATAAAACTTCAAAACCTATGGATATTTAAAGCAACGTAAAGCAATATCAGTATACAAATTACAAGCAGCCCTTGAACTGTGCAGAGGTGGCATTCTTGGAAAATTCCTGTAAGCACAATCCATGCAAATGAATCTTATGCATTCACCAAAGAATAAGTAAATCAAGGTACTGTGTACTTTAATCAATATACAGATGACCATATGCTTTCCAAATGCTTCAGGATTGAGACTGAATGAATATCCTGTTATATACAGGTAAGTGGATCATCATCCTAAAAGTCTAGGGAAATTTTTTTACAATACTTCATACTCACCAATATGAGAAGTTCAGTTACACATATGAAGCTGAAGATTACTGTAGATGGTGTATAGTTATTTAGATAGTAGAAGTGGTGGATGTTAATGGTGTTGAGTTGACTGAAGTTCGTATCCTGGCCGGGGAGGATTTACTGGGCGCAAATCCTTAACTGTAGCCTCTGTTTAACGCAACAGTAAAATGTGTACTTGGTTGTAACAACGATTCTTCGCGGTGGGGATCGTATTCCAGGGACCTGCCCGAAATGCTACGCATACTAGTGGCTGTACAAGAATGTAACAACTCTTGTATATATCTCAAAAAAAAAAAAAAAGAAAAAAAAAAAAGATTGATGGTGATGAGGTACCCTCAGATGTTTCATTGCTTGTACCACTCCCACACTGCATTATCAACACTTTGTAACTTAGCTCTACTCCCTGCCTTTCTATACATATTGCTTTATCACTTTCATTCTGCAAAAATAGTACAAAATTGTAGATTTAGCCTTAATAATATCTAAAACATAGTTTTGCTTCTTTGATATTCAGTACTCACAACACTTCTTGAGATCCCACTCTCCACTTTCTTAATTAGTTCAACTGTCTTCACAAATGTCAGCACTGACCACTTTTTCTTAGTTTTCCTGCTTGCAGAAGATTTCATCACAAATATCTGCATTTGGAGCCAGCATGGAACAAGGATGTTCTTAAATTTTGTGAATATATACAACAAGATCACAGAAATTAATACATCAATACTTTGCGACAAATCAAAACAATGGGTTACGGACTTATGATGTTACATGAGCAGGGAAAACTAAGCCCATTTACTTTATCACACATTTTTATTCGGACTGCCTGTTCACTTCATTAGTTCATTGCTAAGTTTAGTCAGACAAACCCAAAAAGAATAACTGGCATATTCGGAGTAGTGTCTGGAAAGCATGTAGTCATCTGTATATATATATATATATATTAATTACTGTATTATGTAATTCATTCAATGTATATCTTAATCAATGCATACACTAATCAATATACTGCAAACCTTAATCAGTAATAATAATAATAATAACAAAAATTCATTTAGGGGCAGACAGGACGCCTGGGTATTTATACACTGAGGACGCAACCCCACAATAATTGCTCAACTTTCGGGGTACCTATTTACTGTGGAGTGAACAGAAAATGTGCCCAACCCTTTATGTCCCACTCGGGACTCAAACCCTGGATCATTGAGTGTGAGTCAAGGATGAAGCCAACTGTACAAATTTAATCAATATACTGTACTAGTATATGTTACTCTTAAGTATATAGTGCCTCATTCAACTAGAGTGGAACCTCGAATGACAAGCGCCTCAATTTACGAGCATTTTGAATAACGATCATGTCGATCGCCGACAATTTGTCTCAATTGGCGAACACTCATTTCATTAAAGAGAAAACCACATGGTGCGTTCCCACTGCTTCTCGCACATTCTTGGACACCTCCAACGATGCAAATAAATAAATAAAAAAAAATTAAAGATGCTAATGATGCTGGGATGTAAAGGGGTGACTGCTGTAATGTTGCAAAGCATTGAATTTTGTTTGTAGAATAAACAAAAAAATGAAAAAAAAATTGAAAAAAGAACAAATGTCAAAAAGGTTTGTTCAGTGTATGTCAGGTAGGCTGCACCATTATTAATAAATAAATGAATAATACATAACAAATTGAACACATTTGAAACAAAGAAAGATTGTCATACTGGAGCATTCTACCTGACAAACACTGAACGAACCTTTATGACATTTGACCTTTTTTCAAATTTGTTCATTTTTTTTTTTTTTAAGAAACATGGAGCAGCCTACCTGACATACACTGAACGAACCTTTTTGTTATAAAAAATGAAAAAATAAAAAGAAGTGAACAATGTTGAAAAAAAGAACAAATGTCAAAGGTTTGTTCAGTGTATGTCAGGTAGGATGCTCCATGTTTCTTAAAAAAATAAAAAACGAAAAAAAATGAACAAATTTGAAAAAAGAACAAATGTCATAAAGGTTCGTTCAGTGTATGTCAGGTATGCTTTATTTAAAAAATTGAATATCATATTAATGTTTTTCGGTGGTGGAACAGATTATTTTTATTACCAATATTTTAAATGGGGAAATTCGTTTTGAAAGACGAGCATTTCACATGACGAGCTCTGTGCCGGAACAGATTAAATTTGTTAATCGAGGCTCCACTGTAATTTCATTTCCAGGGATTGAGCTTCAGGTCTTTGGTTCCGCCTCTCAATGTTCAGTCAAATGGTGTACAGGTTCTATGTATAGCAGAGCATGTAAGGATAAATCCTAAAGGTTTTTCTGATGCTATATCCAACAAAGATTAAGGAGAAGACAGTGCCATTAAAAACCTGTGATGTCAAGTGAGAACTGGAATCACTTTGAGCATTTATGAATGTAGCATTTGGCTATTTTAGGTTGGGTTAAATTGTTCTACAATGACAAATGACTCCCTAGCATAAATTACAATCTTGTGGAGAACATTTGCAAAGGTTCTGCTGGCATCCAGTGTTTGAATGTTGTCCCTCCTGGCTGCATGAGCCAGGTCACACAGTATAATACATTTGAGGGTAGTCAAATGCAAAACTGCAGCTTAGATAAAGGTGATGAAAGTATTGTACTGTATGTAGATGATGAGCCACAATAACATGGCTGAAGATATGATGACCAAAACACACACAAGCAGATGAAGAAACAACGATGTTTCGGTCCATCCTGGACCATTACCAACTTGATAATATAAAACACATATGACTTGATAATGATCCTGGAAACAAACATCTTCATCTTCTCACACTATCTTCTGGTGTGTGATTTGGTCATCATATTGTACTGTATATTAATACTGCAAATAAATGTTGTACATTATACATTGTATACAGTCAAAAAAATTTATGTGTTTGCCTCTATTTCAATAATATACTTTACCTTAATGCCACTGATAATCTCACTGATCAGCTTGACTCTCTTGTCTTTATATATCATCTGATCTGCTTGTAATTTTTTCAATTTACTGACTATAATAGCATTAACAGGAATCAGGAATAGAAACATTCCTATGCCTGCCAATACTGCTGGTCCTGTGTGAGAAATTAAAGATAATAATTTTTAATCTCTTTCTAATGTCCACTAAATTCCAATAGCTTAAATGACACATTATACATTTAATTTATAATAAAATTAACAAAGAAGGAATCGTTATGATAGATGAGGCTAAGTCTCTTCCCAAAAGTACCTTACACTTACCGTAAACCAATCTTCAATAACTAGTGAGTTTTTCTACTTCATGTTGGCTTGTCCAGTCATTATTCCAACCATTATTATAACAATTTGTATGAGATGTTAAAAATAAAGTATCTAATTCTAATTCTAAGAACTCCAAAGAGTCTCACTTCCTAAAAGTGGTTCATTTCTCACAGATGGCTCACATGACAAGACTTAATAATAATAATAATAATAATAATAATAATAATAATAATAATAATAATAATAATAATAATAATAATAATAATAATACTGTAATAATAACAACAATAACACTTTACATTATATAAAAAACCAGCGCTGAATGTAATGAAACGCCATTTTCTGGGTGAGACTCGGAGGCCCCTCAGAGCTGATGTGTACAGAGGACCACTTGGTTTGCAAACTTAAGTTATCCGAAAGTTCCAGTTTCACGATCGAGGTTGGGGTTTCATGCTTCCCGAACTTAGTTCGGGGAAGTGGTCCGCCAGGCCTCGCACTGGCCCAGGGTGGTGGTTGGGTGGGTTTTGATGGGCTAGTTTGCCCAATGACTGTGTCGGGCACCACTCTAGTGCCTTCTACCCTGTGATGTCACAGATTCACAGCCCATTGTTCCCATTGTTTTGATTTGTCACAAAACTGGAGTGTTCATTCCGTGACTCGTGACTTGTTGGATATATCTGCATAATCTAGGAACATCCGTGCACCATGTCGGTTCCAAATGTACACATTGTGTCAGTGATGGCTGACTGGTGGGTGGATGGGCGGGCAGAGTGAGCAGGAGGACAGGGAGGGTGGGTGGGGGGAGGGGGGGAATGGGATGGCTGGCAGGCAGGGTTAGTAGGTGGGTGGGCAGAACGGGGTGGGTGGATGGATGGATTGGTTGCTGACTGACTGGCAAGTGAGTTAGCTTGCAGGTGGGCAGGTGGGCTGGCTAGGTGGGCAGTTTTGGGTGGGTAGGTAGGTGGATGGATTAGTGGCCATGGCGGGGTGGGTAGGTGCATGGGTAGGAGGATGGCTGGGTGAGTGGGCGGACGGGCAGGAAGGGCGGATGGATGGAATGGTGGCTGAATGGCAGGCAGGCTGGGTGAGAAAGTTAATGGGTGGGCAGGCTAGGTGGGGATGCTGGGTGGGTTGGGGGGGGCAGTCTTTGGAGGGTTTGGGCGGGCGGTGTTGGGTGGGTTTGGGTGGGTAGGCAGGCTTAGGTGGGTTTGAGCGGATAGGCGGGCTTAGGTGGCTCGGGCAGGTAGGCAGGCTTGGGTGGGTTCTGGCGGGTAGGAGAGCTTGTTAGGTGGGCTTGGATAGGTTCGGGTGGGTAGGCGGTTTTCGGTGGGTTCTCCTTCCCCCATCCTCTCCATCTTTCATACGCCAATAAGAGTCCTCAATAAAGGTAAAGTACATTACCTGTATAGTAAAAAATATGAGTAGTATTTTGCAAAATACGTATTTTTAAGCTAATATTTTTGGGTGTGTGGAGCAGATTAATTCAATTTACATTATTGTATTTCTTATGGGAAAATTCGTTTTGGTTTACGAATTTTCGGTGTACGAACCATCTCTTGGAATGAATTAAATTTGTAAACCAAGGGTCCACTGTACTTGCATTATGTAGGGTAAAGATTGCTTTCTCAGAATAAACCAAAAAATAATTTTGTTTTAACTGAACTACAATTATAATGTAATTTTATTTGAAAAGAGGATTAAATATCTTATTGTATTGTAAATTGTATACAACATGTATACCTGTGATGGATAATGGAATATTTTCACTGTTTCTTATTTCTTGTGTTTTGTAGATTAAGGATTACTTTTGAGTCAAAAGGAATTAGCTATGCTTTAACAGAGCTGGTGTTACAATACTGACTTTATTTGAAAAAAGCTTAAAAAATTTATTTTATCGTATAGTACACAATTAAAGCATGTATATCTGCATGGATAATGGAATGTTTTCAGGTTTCTTCCGGAAGATTAAGCTTGATTTACCAATTCTTTTATGTCTTTAAATCAATCTATTACATTTACCATGCTCATAATATAAATAATTAATTTTCCAAATTAAAATACAGTACAAAAAGTTTCAGAAAAATAGATATCCTGTAATACTGTATTTTTAAAAGAATCAGAATCAAAATTGATAATCATAAGAGAATTAATACTTTTTAGAGGAGTTGGCATCAGTATCGGAATCATTAGAAACTTAAGTATCGTCCCATCACCATTCACCACACTTTTCCTTATGAGGCAACCTTTTGGGTAATTTTCAACAATGACAAATCCAGCTCACCAAGTCTCTGCCAGAGGGATGTGAAGGCGAGGAAGAAGATTACTGGTATTCCCCACATCTGGGTTAGAACCTGTGCTGCACCACCCAGTCTGTGGGCATCTACAGCCATCAGGTTGACAATGTCCCCCAGTGTAAATTCACGCCTAGCGGAAGGAGACAGCTGCATTGCCTTGGGAGTGAGGGGCAAATGCAATACAGTATATCAATTCTACAAAAGAATCCAAATTATAATACTCTGAGAAAGGGGAAATCAAATAATGTACAGAAAAAAAGACTCATCGTTTGTGAAAAAGATAAGTTTTAAATAAAACTTTAAAGATGAGAGACAGGCTTACAAGAGTCATAGCAAGTCAGTGAAAGGATGTAAGGTTGATAATAAGAGAATATGATGGTAACAAGTAAAAACATGCTCTACACATGACATTATACCTAGTGTAAGCAAAGCAGTAATGTAACAACATTCAGAAGTACCTTTTGCAAAATAATGTAAATCAGAAAAACACATCATTGCTGTATAAATATCTGTAAAAAATATTAAACCTCTTCCTTCTTTTACATTTCTATTCACAATGAAGATGAAAATTTGGAAAGGTACCTGGTTGATACCTGGTTGGTTGATAACATAATCTATTTTAGATTATGTACTTTATGTATTGTATATTTTAGAAAATTATTACTGTACTGTATTAAACAACAAAAAAATAATCTGGCATTGAGTGTACAGTATATGAAAAATGACTTTCAGAGCAAGGCACTCATGATGCATCTTAACCCCTGTACTGCACTCATCAAGATATCTCAGTTGACAGATGATGCACTGACTGAGAAAAGTCATTTGCAGGTATAGCATATGATTCAAAACTCATGTGAGGTAACCTGGGTAGTAAATGAATGCCTCAGGCTTCCAGTGACTGTCTGCCATCTTGAAAAAAATTCCCAGCATGCCCCATGGCCGCAGGTAGGCTCAGTTTGAGGTGGGCAACCATGACTGATGAACATGTATCTAGCTCCCAGTCACCCACGCGTCTTGTGGTTGAGAAATCAATCACAGAGGATGAAAAGTTGGGTATTATATGAACCTGGCCTTGAAGGTGATGTTGACAACCTAAGACCCAATAATGACCTAACACAATGATCAGATACAAGTGATATAGATGATGACGATACAGTGAGTGTCCAGTATGAGGATTACACCACCACAGCCACTGCATCCCAGTTCAACACCACTCACAAGGCAAATCCACAAGGGCCATGATGAGGGTTCGAACCTACATGCAGGATGATCCCAAAGTGTTCCATATCACAGGGTTCAGTGACATTGCTTCGGATACGAGTAGCATAAATGAAACTAGTGGTTACAATGACAGACTGTGGAACATGAGAAACAAACTGAGATGAAAGTTCAGAGATTTCTTTGTACCAGGCCAGAATGCTGTGACTGACAAATCACTTGTTCATTTCATGGGACGTCTTGCATTCAAGCAGTACTGTATTTCTCATCAAAGCACCACAGATCTGGATTTAAATTCTTTGTGCTCTGTGATTGTGAAACAGGAATGGTGATAGATATATTATATTCTAGTACCAATGTAGGCATACCCAGTCATGATCCTCACAGGTTTTCAGGCCATGTGGTAAAGACGCTCATGGAACTACTGCTGAACAAGTGGCCCATTTTGTCCACTGACAATTATTATACCAGCCCGTTGCTAACTATGTTCCTGCTTAAATAACACTGGAGTCTGTAGTACAGTAAAGCCACATAGAAGAGAAATGCCAGTGTTTGGTACAGGTATTTCAGTAAGTGAAAGTCAGTTGAGAAAAAGCAACAAAATGTTATCAGTACATTGGAGAGACAGACGAGAAATGAATATACTGTATTGATAATTATTCAAACTGGTGAAATTGAAGGCAATTGAAAACAGAACTTTGCAACACAAGGTAAATTACATAAACCAAACTGTGTCATGTGTATAATATAAATATGAGATTGGTGGATATATGTGACATGATGATAGGTGCTGTGGAATGTGTGTGGAAAACTGTAAAGTGGACCAGGAAATTGTTTTTCACTTTGTGGAGGTAATGGAGCTGAACTGTTTCAAAATGTATTTGGTGAAATAAGGTAAGAAGCCACCAATTCATAGTTTTAGTCTTGCTCTGTTGTCGCAGTTGCTTGTAGTGTTTGGACAGGAAGAAGTGTTGTGACAAATGTTTTCAAGCCACCACTGCCCCATGCTGCTCCCAACAAACTGGAGCAGATTGACCTTCAGAGATTCCGTTCAAATACCCGTACATTCAAACCCATTTTGAGTGTTCTTTAACATCACAAGTACCATCAAGTAACACTCATACTACTGTATATATCTATTGGCTCACCCAAATACGACCCTTCTTCCTTACTTACGGTGTATGTAAGTCACTTAAAAGTGGGAATACAAAAACAAGCATTCTCTCATACACAACTTAACATACTTGCAAACACTAGCAAATGAAATGTAAAAATTAATATTAACAAAAATAAAACAAACTGATATTTAAATAAAAAAATTAGATTAATAACCATAAAAGCTAGACATTACATGCCAGTCGTTACATACCTTGGTATGTAATGACTGATCATAGCCAAACGAAAGTCAATCTTTTCTCTGACCTAAGGGTCATACAAGAACGGAGAAATACCGTGCCATTTATCAGCATGATTACAACAACACAACATTATAACATACCTTGCGGTACACAGCTGCCTTGACAGAGGCGTTTATCTTCATGTTCAATATGAAGAAACGTCGAAATGCTAAATTTCTCATAAAAGAGAAAATCTCAGCAGAGCCAAAAAGGATGGCAGCATAGAAGTATCCAATCCAAGCAGGTTGGTCCTCATCACCAATGAACTGGATGAGTAGCCTAGATACAGCAAGATATAGTTAGAATTATTTTATTCTTATGTTCAGAGGAGCAGAGATATGACCATACTATATTATTATATTATCATAGTATACACAACAGGGATGTCAGTTATATAGTGCATCATGATAGGATGGGAAGGCCTATATAGAAAGCCTCACACAGCTACAGATACAGTACATTACCCTAAGACATATGGACTGAGGAATCTGGAAGACTCTGCTAACATCACAATTATGGAGGTAACAAAATATGGTACATGGAAAGCCTTGAAAATGATTTTCAACAAAGGAATTTCATTCTCATTAACATTTTCAGCCGAAGAGTGACGTAAGTGACTGTGATAATGACGACTTGCATTGGGCTGTTCATTCCTCCAGCTAAAAAAAAAAATTAGAGTAAATGAAAGTAGTTCGTGAGTGTGATGAGGAGAGGGGGCAGGGAGGGAAGGGGAGCAGAGGAGAAAAAATTAATGAATTGTATCACATTGATCTAAAGTGGATTACATTTATCCAAGCTATACACTATATAGTGTGACAATTCATTATCCTTTAAGACTAACAGTAACTGTGTGACTCATCATACATGTAATGTGCCTTGTATAGTGACTGTTGTGAGCATCTTGTTGAATCACTTGTGACACAAAAGATTACTGATGTGTATATTTGTGTGGGTGATTAAATATGTATGTGTATGTATATATGTATACGTATATACTGTATATGTACATTTATGTATGAGTATGTGTACATGAATATATATAACATTAATAATTTTGTAACTAGCATCAAAAGATTGTTATTTACTTAACTAAACGAACTAGAGGGTTCAGTTCCTGAACCAATTATGTGGCTCTGTAATCCTTTACAACACCGCCCACAGGATGGGTATGGGGTGCATAGTAAAGAAAGAAATTGAATTTAAGACTAAAATATATTATTATTATTATTATTATTATTATTATTATTATTATTATTATTATTATTATTATTATTATTATTATTATTATTATTATTATTATTATATGATGGTAATGTCTTCTCACAGACATAATACCTCAGAATGAAAACCTACACATGCATTTGTGTATTTTATGTAAAGTTTTACACATAATCTTTCACACTCTCCTAACTGCTTTATCAAGGTATAAGTACAGTATATGGTTAGGAAGAGACTTAACAGTACATCTCAATGACTAACTAATCATTGAGCCGTAAGTCTTGTGCTAACTATACACTCAGATCTTGATAGAGAATTCAGGAGAGTGTGAAAGACTTGGTGTAAATATTTACATAAAATACACAAATACATAAATACTGTATGGGTTTTTATCCTATACTGTACTGTATTATTATTATTATTACTGTATTATTATTATTATTATAAAATTCACCAGGCCACAGTCGAGGCCCATAAGGCAGCATTGGCAGCAGCAGTGTCCTGAGGTAACATATCCCACAGATCAGCATGAGTTAATGGGCGACGCCAGCCTGTCCACACCAGACCACTGCACCAGTTGAATGTGAGGCTGCTGGGGAATGATGCCCATAACTCAGGACTTGGGTTCTGGCAAAGCACAGGTGAGAATATAAGTTTTTAAGAAACTGTTCTACTGAAACATTTAAGGAAAACTGTGCAATCAGTAATCCATTCTTATTCAGACAGGATTTTACTAAGTTGGTTTTGCTAATAATGTACTGTACAAATGCAATATTGATTCAGTCATACATCTTCATTCAATGAAAAAAATCTAATTGACTCATAACAAAGTGCACCATACACACCTTGGAGTTATCAAGCTTATAGGCAGCTTGGGCAGCACCCGAGAAACAGTGGGTGATGAACATAACAATACAGCTCATATACTGTACTAGGAAAGTGGAAACCATCATCGGTGAGTACTTGGCATCCTGGGGTATAGATGGTAGTTTATTAATTATTTGCTGTGTCATTTTGATCATAAAATTTTACTGTATTATAAATCATGATTTTAATCTACAGACTGACCTTTTTTAATTAGTTTACTTCATTTATCATGCACCCCATACCCATCCTGTGGGTGGTAGTGGAAAGGGTTACAAAGGCATATACTGGGCTCAAGAGACTGAACCCCAAAATTCATTTAGCTAAGCAAATTTTGAGGTACTGTAGTTTCTAATCTTGCATGAGCCCTACACATACAGGAGACACACACTGATACCTACTACAGTATATAGGTGCTATAAATCCAACTTAAGAGGACTCACCAAATATATTATTGAGGTAACAACAGTGTAAAGCTGAGGGAGGCCACACACCAACATGAAGAGCCAAAAGAGCCAGAGAAGACCATTATTCAGGTCACCACGTTTTTGACCCATCACTACTAACATTATGTGAAGTGCCTGAAATCAATAAAATAATCAATAATAATGATAATAATAATAATAATAATAATAATAATAATAATAATAATAATAATATAATATTTTATTCATAAAAAATACATATTTAAGATTTTAAGTAAAATATTGACATAGTGAGGTCCGATAGCACAGTGGTCTATGTCCTCAACTCACAAGCAAGGGAACCCAGTTTCAATCTGCAGGCAGGATAGAAATGGCTAGGCACATTTCCTTTCACCAAATGCTTTTATTCACCTAGCAGTAAATAGGAAATGCATCAAGGTGTTAGGCAACTGTTGTGGGTGGCATCCTGAAGAAGGTCTCTAGCTGGCCTAGATGGGGTCCTAATAAGCCTAAGTACAAGCTTCCTATCCCCTAACATTGGGAAAATTTAATTTATTATAAAGCTACTGGTAACATGCAGCATTCTGAACAAACCCTAGGATTACTGCGCATATTTAATTATCACATTTTAAGATTATGCATAATACTATGAGGTTACAGTTAACGTTTTAATAAATGTAAATAAGTAAGAAATTAAACAAGTTATATAATCCAGCATGTCATTGAAACATAAATCCAGGATACATAAGGAGTGTAAAAAAAAGCCTGATAATCACTTATTGCAGTACCACTGTGAATATTAAACTGAATATTTAAATAGTTAAACGCATCACTAAAGTTTTATAATAATTACCAAAGTGTAGTTACAGAATTAGAGCTAAGCTCACAGTGACCTGTGATCCCTATAACCTCTGCCAATGATGCCTTTACACTGCTGATAGTTTTCACATCCACAACCTTCTCCTTTAAATTGTTCCAACCGTTTATAACTCTACTCACAAAAGAGAACTTTTGGATTTTTTGGCACTTTTGTTTTCTTAGCTTTAAACTCTGGCCTCTTGTTGTTGATCTTGAAAGATTAAAATGTTCCTCCTTGTCAACTGTGTCAATTCATATCATAGTGACAGAGCAGCCCTACACAAAAACAACCGTGCTGCTGTAGATCACTGCATTAATAAAAAGCATACAACAGGCACTACCACACTGAACATAACATTACAAATATCAAGTACTGAACTGTACGTGTTTCTTGAAAATATGAAATTTGGTTTACGTACAAATGTGATAAGAAGAATGATTGGAGATATGAAATCGACAGGAGGCAGAGGACTGCTGCCGGCCACCAGAGCCCACAAGAGATCTGCTGATGATGCCATTATCAACACCACCGACACGATCTGTACCAGAGACAATATGCTGTAAAGGGCTTTATGTGATACAGGATATGGAAAACAATACTGTACACAACATAACAAATGTAAATTTGCCAAAACCGATATGCATATTAATGGCTTTACTTAATATGCAATCCCTGCACCTATAAATATACCTCTGATATATGTTCTTATATATATGTTAAGAATAAAATTATTGTTATTATTATTACAGTATTATCATTATACAACAGTGTTTCTTTTGGTATCATAATACTTACAATCTTTATGTAACTGAGTGCTGTATAGGGAATAGGAATGAGGGCCCTTTTTCTTAATAAGGTTATGTACAGAGGAGCACAGAGCCAGAGGAGGCCACAGGGTACCCAGACCATTACTGAACGCTCTACACACCTCCCAAATGCTGGATTGGCTGACCTCCATATCTGGCTGGCATTCTGGAATAAATGAACCACCAGGATAGGTTTCATTGATTATGGTCACTAAATTGAAACAACTTACTTTAAAATAAAATTAAGACAATATTATTATTCTTGTTTTTTACCACATTTATATCCAAGAAAATTATGAGTCTGAAATACAGTACAGTAGAAGTTCCGCAGTCAAAGTGCTAATACAGTATACAATACAGTACAGTTTAGTGTATAAATTTTGGTTAAGTTTATTTATCTGAAGATTAACATAGACCTGCCTTGACAGTCAGCAACTTGTGAAATGAAAGAACGGGTTAAAGTTTCCTCACCCAGAACTCCTCCTGGCATAACTTCATAAATAAGCTTCCACTGTCGTCAAAGTCAGCTGCTGCTGAAAGTGCCATTATTCAAGAGAAAAAAATCACCTGTGAATGAAAACACAAAGAAATTACAAATATACTGTACCATGCAACATTCATTACAGCTTTACTATAGTTTAAAGGAAAACATAATTACCCAAAACAAACACTTTTCCCCTGTGGAATAGTAATTTGTAGGTGAGTAGACATGGGCAGGGTGGGTCAAGGGCCCTGTTCCTTCACTCCTCCCCTGGGCAGGGTGGGTCAAGGGCCCTGTTCCTTCACTCCTTCCCTGGGCAGGGTGGGTCAAGGGCCCTGTTCCTTCACTTCTCCCCTGGGCATGGTGGGTCAAGGGCCCTGTTCCTTCACTCCTCCCCTGGACAGGGTGGGTCAAGGGCCCTGTTCCTTCACTCCTCCCCAGGGCAGGGTGGAGTCAATGGCCCTGTTCTTTCACTCCTCCCCTGGGCAGGGTGGGTCAATGGCCCTGTTCCTTCACTCCTCCCCTGGGCAGGGTGGGTCAATGGCCCTGTTCCTTCACTTCTCCCCTGGGCAGGGTGGGTCAAGGGCCCTGTTCCTTCACTCCTCCCCTGGGCAGGGTGGGTCAAGGGCCCTGTTCCTACACTCCTCCCCTGGACAGGGTGGGTCAAGGGCCCTGTTCCTTCACTCCTCCCCTGGGCAGGGTGGGTCAAGGGCCCTGTTCCTTCACTCCTCCCCTGGGCAGTTTGGGTCAAGGGCCCTGTTCCTGATTGGTAAACTAGGGTTAACATGACATAAAACAAGACTGGTAAACTGGAGCTACAATGACACTTGCAACAAAAGGCTGATAAACTGGGGATACTATGACACGTGTAACATGACTGGTAAACTGGAACTAACATGACCCAAAACTGGGGCTAACATGACCCAAAACTGGGGCTAACATGACCCAAAACTGGGGCTAACATGACCCAAAACTGGGGCTAACATGACCCAAAACTGGGGCTAACATGACTGGTAAACTGAGGCCACCATACCAGCGGGTGGGCACGAGGTGTGACGTCACTGTGACATCACAAGGTTCATGTCGGTACATGTTTTGTACCAACGACCGGTGGACTATCGATAATTAACATTTCACACTAACATCATCTGATTGCATACACTGCAAACCCAAATATGGCATATAATCTTTGACAAAAACATACTGGAGAATTAGGGAGTAGCCAATTCAATAGGACACAAAAACGAGCCGCCTCATACATGGACATATTCAGACATTAACAGCATTAATAACCGTATATTTAACTCTCTACAAGGAACATGAGGAGTTATATAATGCTTTGATTAATTCAATAACTCACAAGCAAATATATACCTCTTTCACACCTCCAAGTGGGAGTTGCCGTAAAAAAAAAAAATTCAACTAAATTATAAGAAAAGTTACATGTAATTTCGATTTCAGGGAAAAGAAGGTAGTTATTCAACTATATAAATCTCTGGTGCGCCCCACTCGGATTATTGTATCCAAGCATAGAGACTTTATCTTCAGAAAGACATCTGCTGTGGGGAGGTTATCTTGAGGTTATCTTGAGATGATTTCGGGGCTTTAGTGTCCCCGCGGTCCTCGACCAGGCCTCCACCCCCAGGAAGCAGCCAGTGAAAGCTGACTAACTCCCAGGTACCTATTTACTGCTAGGTAACAGGTGCATCAGGGTGAAAGAAACTCTGCCCATTGTTTCTCGACGGCGTCCTAGATCGAACCCGGGACCACAGGTTCGTCACGCATCCAGTGTTCTGTCCACTCAGCCACCGGCTCCCCTGAAGAAGGTTCAGCACAGAGCAACAAAGTTGATCCTATAACTTAGCCAACTTTCCTACCACAGGGGTAAATGGCCACAGGACACACTACACATGACGGCCGGGAGTCATCTCATTAACACCTTTAACATACTGTAGTAATAATAATGTGTTGTATCGGAGGACAGGCAGCCAGTATAAATATACATGTTAGGCTAATATAGAAGTTCCCCCCCCCCCCGGGATCGAACTATTGACCCTCCCCAGGATGCAGCCCCACAACAAGCTGACAAACTCCTGGGTACCTATTTACTGCTAGTTGAACAGGTGCATTAGGTGATACTAGAAGACGCGCCCGGCCATTTCTGACCCCTCTTAGAATTCCCGATGGTAAGTCAAGAACGACCCCGACTATATCACATACAAGGGGCAACAGCTTCAAGCTCAACAAGCCACAGTGTAGGACAAAACCTATGAGACGCTTTTTCCACCCATATGGTGATACACCCATGGAACTGCCTACATACCCGCTGAAGCCATAACTACATAACTGCCAAGATTTTCTTCTTGTTTATGGTACGCATAGTTTGCATGACCAACACATTACTTGTCAAAATTCAGATGGAAAAAAATCCTCATGAAAAAATGAGAGATCTTTGACAAGTCGCCTGCTTTCTGTCCCCGGCGAGGCCATTAGAGATAGCGGCCCTCAGGTAATGTTCAGCAGGTTATATAGTCTGCATTACAGCAGTTGATAGACCTGTATCAGCAAAACATTCACACACCTTGCATCATATATGTGATGGAATGTCAACAAATTTCAGCATTTAATTAACACAACAAAACTTCAAGAAAATATATAAATACGTCATTCACACTTATATAATATGTACGACAAATTCTTAGTCAAATTTCAGGCAGGTGTTCCTACTTCAGGTAGCGAGAGCACGTGATTGTAATTAGTTTATCACAATTTAAATTAATTAGTTTGATAAAATATAATATATGGTCCGGTACCCGAATCCATTTTGTGCCACTATACTAATTAAACCAAAAAAATGTTGTCTATAAATAAAAAAAAACACGTTACTTTTGCACTATACACTCCCACAATCTCTTATTAATCGCACTCTACAATCCCATTTTGTAGCACAGATCGTATTTCAGAGGATGACTTACGCGCGTCGCTCGATCAGTCAAGTTAAACAATTCATGTTGATGCTGGCTTGTAACTGAATGGGTGACCGCCTTTGCCCTCAATATAACTCAACATGCAGATAGCACCCTCTGTACAACGTTTCTTTTACCGATCACAGGATGAATAATGGAGGTGCACCGTGTCCATCAACTGCAGTCGCCGGCCTCTGCACCAAGACACTATATAGCTCCTGCTCTAAAGTCTGGAACCCTTGTACTAATAGTGTAGGCTACTCCTCTCTCTGCCTTTACTCCTTACCACACACCCCCCTCACCATCTCCACCCTCTCCCCTCACCATCTCCACCCACTCCCCTCACCAGCTCCTCCCATTTCCCTTACCACAGCCTCCAGCTCCAACGGATCCCCCTACCCCCCCCCCCCATAACTTCCATTCCGGACGTTTAGTCAGCTTACAGTTTTGAATTTTTAAATTTGAATTTGAATTATTTATCATCGGCCCCCAGAGTCGCGTTATCCATCCAGGAACATATTATTTATGCTAAGCAATTAGATATATTTGATGCTGAACTATATAGTTACATTTGATTCCTGTTCTTATTTATCTTTCACCACTTCTGACCTCTCCCTCACCAACCCCCCCAATCCCTTTTTCTCCTCCCTCCCCCCCCCTTATTATTATGCCTCTACACGTTTGTTTTCTGTTGTCAACACCAATCTATAGAAGTTCTCTTTTGAACTGGCAAATGGGAATTGATTTCCTTATAATAATAATATAAGTAATATTTGCCAATATATTTTGCATTATATATCTTTATCTTGCTTGGAGATTCACCGCTACCCATCGAGTGGTCATGAAATTATTTTAACTTTATACTATTCAGTAATAATTGCTTGAATTTAAAGCATTTAAGAAACAATCAATGTACATTTTTGCTTCACTAACATGTTAAATATGTTCATTACCTACAATTATGCTGATAGAAAGCCATTCACATTCATTATCAAATCACGAATTATAATTATGATATATTTCTGGGGTAAATAGTATATATACCGGTTAATTTTATCTATAGAGAATAGAAGACAAAAAATTTTCCTATCCACTCGTTAATGCTATTAAGCCAGTACAGTAACACAACTACAACATATAGATTGTACAAAAGCAGGCATATAATGCGTGAAGGAAAAATGAGTTAAAACAACACCTGACTATATATAGAGCTCAATTCTGGAGATAGCAAGACAAGGTACAGTCCGACAATAAACTTGATCACGTGACCTTACATGAAGGGGCTTACATCACTGTTAAAAAGACTAAACTCATGCTAACACCGCCCATGACCAAGCTATACAAGCCAACTCACTTGCAGATGTAGCCTCAGCAACAAACCTGAGGTGTAGCGCCGAGGGAGGTGTGTGTATATGTGAATACTGGCATGCTTGGAGGGTACCTCAGGCAGATAACTAAGTTATCCCTATCGTTGCATAACATGATAACAATAAGCGATTGTCTCCGCTATCTGTCGGCAGTTCCCACGCAAAGTTAATTAAGAAATCTGCGTTAATCAAGATGCTCAGTCGTAAAATGGTGATTGCTAGGTTGGGTGACAGCCAGTCACGATAGCCTAATTATACCAAATAGCCAGTTGTGTAATATATGTATTATTGGACGGATAATGTCAGGTATAAAAAGTGACCCACAATGTAGAGGTTAGACATCACAATTGCTCAGGCAAACCCACCTTAATCCTTGCACAAAAGGAAAATATTTCTTGGCACATGCAAGCGCTGGTCAAACGCAAGGATACTTAACTCAGGATACTGGATAACTCAGGATAATATCCAGGATAACTGAGTTTATTCAGGATACATTTGATAGTTGAGTTTATCCAGGATAAACTGCATAACTGAGTTTATCCTGGATAAACTGGATAACTCAGGATATTTATAACTTAGGCTACTGACAGCGAATGACACGCACAACCTCCAATGAGTCACACCATTAAGAGAATAGTGACGCACTATTAATTATCCAGGCAAGACAGCGTCCCACAGGCTTGCTTCCGTGCATTCAAATGTGTAGGAATACGTTCAGACGTATTCTCTTTCATGGTTGTAGTAATGATAAATGATAAGTGGTATATTGTAAAATTCACTTTGTCTTAGATTTAACCACTTGGGCTGGACGGTAGAGCGACGGTCTTCATGCAGGTCGGTGTTCAATCCCCGACCGTCCAAGGGGTTGGGCACCATTCCCTTCCCTCCGTCCCATCCCAAATCCTTATCCTGACTCCTTGCTATATAGTCGTAATGATTTGGCGCTTTCCTTTGATAGTTCTTTCCTTCCTTAGATTGTAGCGTTTTGCTGAAGTTCTTGGTTTCTCAGGGAGTTTGCATTACCTGCTAAAAATATATATTGAATTTAGAGATAACTGTATCACAAATGTTCAAGAAATGTGTTCGTATTTTATGAAAAATGATCTATTACTAAAAATTTTAGCCAACTGTAATTTTTTCTAACTGTAGGGGAGTGTAGATAAGTATACAGAGTTCACAATAAACTACCGCTCACAGGATGAGTATGGGGTGCACAATAATTTACCGCCCACAGGATGAGTATGAGGTGCACAATAAACTACCGCCCACAGGATGAGTATGGGGTGCACAATAAACTACCGCCCACAGGATGAGTATGGGGTGCACAATAATCTACCGCCCACAGGATGAGTATGGGGTGCACAATAAACTACCGCCCACAGGATGAGTATGGGGTGCACAATAAACTACCGCCCACAGGATGAGTATGGGGTGCACAATAATCTACCGCCCACAGGATGAGTATGGGGTGCACAATAATCTACCGCCCACAGGATGAGTATGGGGTGCACAATAATCTACCGCCCACAGGATAAGTATGGGGTGCACAATAATCTACCGCCCACAGGATGAGTATGGGGTGCACAATAATCTACCGCCCACAGGATGAGTATGGGGTGCACAATAATCTACCGCCCACAGGATGAGTATGGGGTGCACAATAATCTACCGCCCACAGGATGAGTATGGGGTGCACAATAAACTACCGCCCACAGGATGAGTATGGGGTGCACAATAATCTACCGCCCACAGGATGAGTATGGGGTGCACAATAATCTACCGCCCACAGGATGAGTATGGGGTGCACAATAATCTACCGCCCACAGGATGAGTATGAGGTGCACAATAATCTACCGCCCACAGGATGAGTATGGGGTGCACAATAATCTACCGCCCACAGGATGAGTATGAGGTGCACAATAATCTACCGCCCACAGGATGAGTATGGGGTGCACAATAAACTACCGCCCACAGGATGAGTATGGGGTGCACAATAAACTACCGCCCACAGGATGAGTATGGGGTGCACAATAAACTACCGCCCACAGGATGAGTATGGGGTGCACAATAATCTACCGCCCACAGGATGAGTATGGGGTGCACAATAATCTACCGCCCACAGGATGAGTATGGGGTGCACAATAATCTACCGCCCACAGGATGAGTATGGGGTGCACAATAATCTACCGCCCACAGGATGAGTATGAGGTGCACAATAATCTACCGCCCACAGGATGAGTATGGGGTGCACAATAATCTACCGCCCACAGGATGAGTATGAGGTGCACAATAATCTACCGCCCACAGGATGAGTATGGGGTGCACAATAAACTACCGCCCACAGGATGAGTATGTGGTGCACAATAAACTACCGCCCACAGGATGAGTATAAGGTGCACAATAATCTACCGCCCACAGGATGAGTATGAGGTGCACAATAAACTACCCCGCCCACAGGATGAGTATGGGGTGCACAATAATCTACCGCCCACAGGATGAGTATGAGGTGCACAATAAACTACCGCCCACAGGATGAGTATGGGGTGCACAATAAACTACCGCCCACATACACCCTACAGTCTGTAACCCCTGTAATGGCCGAGAAAGCAGTAGAAAGTTAAAAACTGGAAGTTATGATAGTCTCTTTAACATGTAAAAACATGCAAATACCAAAACTGGATGTTCCTATGTATATATCTATACTGGATCTATAGAGCTATTGCATAAACACACTGTTAAACAAAGTATCTCATAATATACTTGTTGAATTAATGACTTGCTTAGCAAAAAATATATATCCTGTCATCATTAGATATTAATATATTTCTTATCAGGTATGCAAATTAGCTGTGAAATGGAGTAATATCTTCTCTGATAATTTCTCCTTAAAAATGGAAGTCAAACAAGGTGCTGTTTATAGTTCAATTTTGTTTACAATATATTTTCTTTACAATATATCACCTTGCATGCATGGGTGTCAAGGGGAAACTCGTGAAATGGATTGAAGAATATCTCATAGGAAGGAAAGCTGCGGTCTGCTTCAACGGAGCAGTTTTGGAGAACAATATCTCAATATCTCAAAAAATATCGCAATGAATACGGAACCTGCGACCCCTCAGGGCATGTCAAGTCTCACACTGTTCAACATCCTCATGAATGACACTGCTAACATTGAATTTTCAGAAGGAATACAAGTGGGATATGCAGATTATGTTCTAATACAAGCCCCCAACGATGACAAAAGTAAACGGTCCTTTCAGCTCCTCGAAAGAAAGTGTGTTGAACTCGGTTTCACTCTCCACAAACAAGACAAAAGCCTACTCTCATCACAAATGAGAAGAAAACAAAGAGCTGCAATTTAATGGTGAAAAAGATAGCTACGTGATGCTAAAAAATCCCCATCACACAGGATGGTTAGTCATACAGAGGCATGTGATAAGTAGTCTGCACTGACAAATTTTAGGTGCAATATGAGGATATCTTCAAGAACACGAGAGTGAATAAAGTAATTGCAAAGCTCCAGGTGCCTCATGCCAACTGGTCTGAAAGGTCTAATAACTGGGCATTCGGTAATGTAGTGCGGGAGATCATGCCGCAGTTCCTGCTCACAGAGTTTGCACCTGGAGTGCTCAGGATTGGGAGATCCGTCACCTGCAGCCACCTGCCACAGGTAACGGTAGCCCAACGTGATCCTGGCAACCACTGTGTCGCACAGTTTATACTAGTGCTTTCAGGTCGTTGGGAGTCAGTAATTTCTTTCCTATCACACCTAATTCAACCGGGTCCGGGTGATGGTGAGGGGGGGGGGGAGAGGGGCCACACCACCCCAGACACCCTCAGTTGCTGTTGAGTCATGCAACTCTGTCACCTTTTGTCTGTCTTAAAACAGGGGGTGGGGTCAAACAGGAAGCATGCTAGACTACATTCAAGTTCAAGTATGTTTATTGAGACAAGAAAAAATACATCTCAAAGGGATAGAGTAGCTTAGGCTATTTCTACCCCCCCTCCCCTCCCCCTACTAGGCTACATCTGTCAAGGCTAGCCAAGAGCGCGGCCTTGTAAGCGGTCACCCGTCCAGTTATTGGCCCTTTATCAGTGGGATTCTATGACTTTTATATTGTATATTATTTAATAAAGATAAAAAAACCTGTCAGAATGAATTTAACTACTATATTAGTTTGGATTAATGATATACATAGCCTATAAAATGTACCTACCCATTGATACTGCTGCCTTACTTGTCTCTTGGGTATTTTGTCATACAACTTTCAGTATGAATTTGATGAAAATTTTATACACGTGTTATTTATAGAAATATCTTACTGCTGAAAATTTTTGAAAAGAATAAAAAAAAAATTTGGTAATAATTGTCACTAAAAATACAAATCATTAATTATATGGGGGTATCACCTCTGGTGCAATTGTAGAGACCCATAGCCTCTGAGAAGAAAATAAAGAGTATTCACAGAAGACCTTGTGGAATCTCACTGAACACTTTAATATTTTCTTCTACCACCCCTATTATTTTTTTAATTACATTATACAGTTTAGAGAACACACACACACACACACACACACACACACACACACACACATATAACAATCACTGTTCGAAGAACTCATCCATATCTTCGAAGGTTGGGTGCGTGCGCAAGATACAGCAAGCATTTCCTCTCTGGATCGCGACACTGAGGCGCTGGAACAAGGAACTGGCCGTCCTTGCGTCTCTAGTTTGTCTAATGCCTAACATTTAAATTCTAGTTTGCCTAATCAATTAAATTATCAACTAATCCACTAATTTCTAATCAACTAATCAATCAGTTTGCCTAATCATTGCCCGAAACGCTATGCGTGCTAGTGGCTTTTACAAGAATGTAAAATCAACATCATTTCTATGTACTCTCTTAACCCCCCAAAATACCTTCTTGTATATAAATAAATAAATAAATAAATTTATATATAGGGGGGGGACCTTCGACAAGCCACCGGCTTCCTGTCCCCGTCGAGGCCACTCCAGCGATAGTGACCCTCAAGTATATTCAGATAAAACCAAAATTCAGTACCTAAGTTTCTTCTCAAGAGCAGTATAAAAAAAATATGAAAAACTTCCATTAGGCAAGAAGCTCTCTTATTGACGTTGGGTGGAGACATTTACGTACAGTGACGTACGCTGAGGAGCGTCCGAACCCGTGGCACTAGTCATGTCAACTGAAAATTCAAACCCATTCCCCTCTAAAGATTACTGCTTCCTCTGCCTCTATATTAAAGCTGATATCCAACGAACAATCGTCTATAACATGCAGATAATAGCAGCATGTATAGCGGGTTGAAGAGAGTGCGGTTAAGGGTGAAGCGATACGGAGGAGGCGGTCGCTAGCCTCGCACAGGGTGCCTGGCAGCGCCTGCATGACGTGGCTCCCGCCATGATTGCACCACACTAACTCACTCCTAACAAACAATACTATACACAAATTGGATCTATCATTGAGATTTAGTGTAGTTATGGAGCCCAAAGTACGCTGTAATGATAAACCTGCGCCATACACTCATGCATAATCCGTCACAGACATACTTTATGAGCTCATACATTCATGCATAGTCCATCATACACAGGCATAGTCCATCATACACTCAAGCATAGTTTGTCACAGGTATACACTCATGCATAGCCTGTAGCCCGCCAAAGGCATACATTCATGCATTGCCCGTCACAGGCATACACTCATGCCTGTCACAAACATACACTCATGCCTGTCACAGGCATACACTCATGCAGTCTGCCACAGGCATATACACTCATGCATAGCCCGTCACAGGCATACACTCATGAATAGTCCGTCACAGGCATACACTCATGTATAGCCCGTCACAGGCATACACTCATGAATAGTCCGTCACAGGCATACACCCATGAATAGTCCGTCACAGGCATACACCCATGAATAGTCCGTCACAGGCATACACTCATGAATAGCCCATCACAGGCATACACTCATGAATAGCCCATCACAGGCATACACTCATGAATAGTCCATTACAGGCATACACCCATGAGTAGTCCGGCACAGGCATACACTCACGAATAACCCGTGACATGCATACACTCATACATAGCCTGTCACAGGCATACACTCATATATAGCCCGTCACAGGCATACACTCATGGACAGTCCATCATATGCATACTCACACACATAATGTTACAGGCATACACGCACATACATAATCCATCACACGCATACTTTCACATAATCCACCTCACATACATATATACTACTACAAGCATGTGCTTAGGCATTATTATATTTTCCGTTGCACACATACATAGTCATACACTCATGTTGGGCATATATAGTTCAAGATACATAGTATGTCACAGGAATTAAACACGTTGGCAGAAATAGACGCGCTGGGCCTCCACCATACCAGACATAAACAGGAGATGGTCCTGTCTGCTACAGGTTACAACTGTATAGTGTCTGGCTGATGCAATTGCTGGGCCTGTTGCACGCGCCATCAATTTCACACAAAGGGCCCCCCCTGGCAATTGACGTACGTGGGCGTATGCGTCTAGACGTGTATATCAATGGCTCCAGGAAAAATTTGAATTCATAATTACAATAATTATATATTATATGTTATCATATATATATATATGTTTGCTACATATATATATGGAACTGGTTTCAGTTATTGTCTTTTATTGGCATATTTTCCTTGAGATTTTTGTTTTCAATGTTCCTTTTAATGTATAAATATATTTATTTTAGTTTGAGGTGAGATGTGACGCAGATGAACGGGTGTTCCCCGAGGCCGGGGGGGGGGGGCGGATATACGTTGTGCTGCTTTCTGATTGGTGGAGCCGCGGGCGGGCGTCGGCTATATAAGGCCGGGCGCCGCGCGCCGCGCCATTATACACACGGACTTTACGACGTGTGGTTGTGCGAGGTTTTTGCACTGTGTTCACCGTATTTTCTCCTGCTATAGAAGTATCAGTAGTGCTCGAGAAGTAAACGGTATTTGAGAGATTTATTTCAAAGACTTTTTGACATCATCGATGGATTATATGCCAGAAATTGAAGAACTGCTTGCCAACAACGGAATCAAGATGGCGCTACAGACCGGAAGCGACGTGGGTGGCGGTGAGGCTCCTCTAGATAATGTTGACGACTTGGAACTCGGTGAGTTGACAGACTTAATTCAGGATCTTCGGGAATTTATTGCTGGATCCAACGATGACAGTGATAATTCCACACAATCTGACGAAATAGTGAATTGCACAACATTGGACCTCATGCCCGTCTGTGTGGAGGCAGCGGCAGGGAACGAGGTCACCTACAGCAATGTCCTCCCAGTTGACAATCAACCCACCTACAGTGTCCTCCCAGTTGACAATCAACCCACCTACAGTGTCCTCCCAGTTGACAATCAGCCCACCTACAGTGTCCTCCAAAGCGGTGATGTGACCACCTACACTGTCCTCCAAAGCAATGATGTAACTACTGACAATGGCGTCCAGAATGGTCAGTCGTACACAGTGTTGATGCCCATTCCAAGTACAGTGGAGCAGAGTCCAGCTTTTGTCGCATTTAGCGAGGACGAAAATGTGGAGCACATGAATACAGTCTCTCCCTCTGAAGTGTTCGGAGAAGCTCCCAAGAAGCGGGGACGCAAGCGTAAGTCACAAGACGGATCTGCCCCAGTACCCAGGAGGCGACGCCCCAAGAAGGTCAAAGTTTATGAGATTGAAACTCCATTTGAGGATGAAGAACAGGAAAGAAAGCGTAAAAACGCCATGAACGCCAAAAGACATCGCGACATGCAAAAGAAGAATATGGAGGAGCTGAGGAAACAGCTGGATACCGTCAATGCAGAGAAGAAGAGTCTTCAGCAGGAAGTGCAGCAGCTAAGACAGCGGGAGACGACGTTGTTGCAACAGCTCAGTCTCTACCAGCAGCAGCAGCAGCAGGGAAATGTTCTCTACAATGTGGTGGTCGTCTAGAGGCGCCTCCCCCGTCATCTGTAGCTGCTCTCCAAAAAAAAAAAAGTCACCCTGACCTAAAACTACCTCACCCCGAGCAAGCAGGGTGATGTTACCCGCTTGTGACACCACACAGCACAAGTACACGGCAGGAGGGCCTGATTGCCCGAGTGCCACCACTATTACCACCCACGCTCGGGGCCACCTGGCACCTTGCAACTTTACACTACACTTACACTGCCTTCTTTTCCGCTTATATTGTTCTCTGACAATATTTAGGCAATTTTTAAGTAGCCTAATTCAATGCTAATTGTCTGATATTTTCATAATTATTGATATAATGATATTTGATATACGGGTAATATAAACGTCTGTGATAATATAGCTTTATTTTACTGCAATATTAAACTTTTGCAATATGCATATTTTAGGAAATTAGTTTTTAGGAATTTTTGAAAATGTGACAAATACTGCCGAATCTTATTTCTATTTTCAGCTGGTGTTGTAGCTGTCAGCGAGTGTTGGTGCTTGTGTTCCAGCGCTTGTGTTCCAGTTCGTCAGATGGTGGACGTCACCACTTAACCCTCTCAAACCTGCAACTATATCCACTACTGATTTTCATTTGTAAGATACCTTTTATTCCATATGTATTACCATTTTAATTAGGTAATAATGAAAATAATGCGGAAGTTTAATGCGCAGGTAAAAGCATGAATTCCAGTTATGAATAATAACATTTGCATTATTCATGTAAACTTTGATATGGTCGCTATACATTAGACTTTTCAGTATCTTTTATAATTAACATACAATTGAATATATTTTATAATTAATTTTGAAGAGTAGATCAACTAATGTGAATGAATACCTTTGAAATTTTTAAAAATGGTACGTAAATAGTTTTTTATTTAGAATTAAAGTGACAAATTTTTTTTTGTAGGTAGGACGACAGTTAGTGCTCATTTGTATGGGAGGGAATAACTTCACTTTAAATTTGTAATGCTGAAATAGTGCAGCTGACATCGGAACTTCAGTGTGTGTGTGTATATATATATATATATATATATATATATATATATATATATATATATATATATATATATATATATATATATATATATATAATACAGGTATATATAAGCTTTAAAATAGTGCAATGTTAACAGTATCTAGTCTGAAAACTTCTGTGATAAATTTTGTGATAAGCAAATTTACATGCTAGTCAGACCTGTAATGTGTCCCAGTGTATACTGACTGTGATAACTTTAGTACAAATTAACACTTGGCAGCTTAAGTTTCAAATACATGTAATTGTGATAAAGTAAGAGTTGGTTCTCTTGTACTTGTTATACGTTAATTAATATAAAGATGCTTTTCACATTAATAGATTCATGCACGATTCACATGTCTTATTCATAATCTTAACATAATTATGTCAACATGTTAACATAATTTGTGTCAACATGTTAACATTATTTGTGTCAACGTGTTAATATAATTTGTGTTAACTTGTTAATGTGATGTGTGAAAAAGTTTACACCTAATGTTAACATGATTGTGTAACCTTGATCTTGTTATCATGATTTGTGTAAACCTTTAACATGATTATGTGTAACTTTAACATTGTGTAGCCTTGTTTACTTGTAATCTTGATTGATTGGTGTAATGTGATAAGTATTTTATATTATTTATTTTTACTTGCATTTATGCCTCTTCTCTGCTCTCATTTATCATTCTCTTTTCCCCATCCTCATGAACTCTTTGAGTTTTTATCCTCTTTACCTATCCCTATTCTTGCTACTTTATTGTACTCTTTCCTGCTTGGTGCCTTCTTTTGATGATTACTTAATCCTATTTTCTCAAATTTCTCACCTTAATCTAACTATATATTCCTTCCCCTCGTCGCTTTATCTGTTTACCTTTCATTCACATTTATCTTCCATTCTTCCCCCTTATTACTCTTCCCTTCCTCCCTTATTATATCTTGCCTTTCTCTATTCGTTTCCATTTCACTTACCTCCCTCCTTTTTATATTCCTTCTACTTTTCCCTATTCTTTTTTTGTTTCCTCTATTCTCCCCCTAACTCTTTCCCCTTGTCTTGTCTACACTAATATATTCTTCCTTGTCTGTCCTGATGCATTGGTTTTGCTACACGAATGTGCCTGCTTTACTGGTTACTTATTGGTCCATGCTGTAGATGATCAGTGGCATATCAAATTAGCATTCAGTTAATATCTGGTTTGTAGTATGAGGACATACCGCTGCCATTCCTTGTGGGACCTCGTGTAGCAAGAGCCAATGTTTGCCACAAAAATCCTCTAAACTAAAGCGCTTCTACGGGTAAACGAAAACAAAATGGTACCTAAACTGCCTATGATTTTGGATAAGGGATATTTTTAATTTTTTTTTTTTTTTTACATTTGTCCATTTATATTTTATTAAATAAATTCTTAAAATGTAAAATTGTATTTAATATTACCATATTTGATATGCGCAAGTGATGGCTGAAAAATTGGTGGTTATAATTTGTAGATTATAAACCAGTCACAATAATTGAAAGTTGTGATATTTGATGAAACATTTTAATGTTACTGAGCAAACTTCAAAATACATCTGAGGACCATATCCTATTTATGCCAACTTTAATTTTGTTACACAGTAATCAACAATATCTTGAAGCCTTTGTTCTCTGATGGTAATAATTGCATATATGTCCAAGGTAGCATATATTAAGAGTAACTTACTGGCTTGGTGCTTTGGATAATTAGTGTACTTAATGTTTACACTAAACTGGTTTAGTTTAGTTAAGTATTCACTCAAAACCAATAGTATGGGTGGCAGTGGAAAAGGTTAATGTACATAATCGGCTCGGGGACTGAATTCACTTGAATGTTTCTCTACATAAGGAAGCCGGAAGCCATAAGGTTGCGACACATACGTCAAGCCCAGGAAGTTGCACCATGGACGAAAATAGAACCTAATTTCCGCCAGCATGATAAAACTCGCGGGTTGGATGTCAACTGTGGTGCTGCCTCATGTTCACTGAACTGAGATGAACTTAATGTTGGATTTCTAGATAGAGCTAGTACATACAATGCCTAAAGCAACTAAAACGCATAGCGTTTCGGGCAAAGCCCGAAGCCAACCTCCTCATGGTTGGTGAAATATTAAAGAAGTTGTTAGACCATAGCTGGAATATGCAGCGGTTCTATGGTGCCCATATCTTAAAAGCACATCGATAAACTGGAAAAAGTGCAAAGACATACAACTAAATGGTACCCGGAACTGAAAGACAAGATCTACGAAGAAAGGTTAGAGGCATTAAATATGCCAAAATTAGAAGATAGAATAAAAAGGGATAAAACTGCTGGGAAGATGGGACACTATAAGCTTAGCTCTTATCCTGTAACTACACTTAGTTAATTACAGACTCGAATGTTATTTCACCCTGAACCTGCAATACAGCCTCTGTTATAATGTCTCCCCCTAAACTGCACATCAGTTAATGAAGCCCAAGAATTATTTATAGTGTATGATCATCCCGTTAAAAAACGTGAAAGCCAAGCTGTCGTCCACTGATTAAAATATGATAAGCTTCAATTTCAACAATATCCACATACATATTTTAACTTTTTTTTAGTAAACGTTGATGATATGACTAGCCTCGCGCAGGGAGCTTCTCCTACGTCACTACACTTATGCACTAGGCAAGATACGTATGGTGGTGTGACCAAGAGGATGTGCGCCTTGATAGTGGTGTACTCTGAACGTTCGTCTTCCGCTGCCTCTACTCAGCTATTCCTTTGCTTGAAGTGTCGAGTGCTACCTTCTGACCTCCAACCTTACCAGTTTAGTTAGTTTAGTTCATTTATTATGCACCCCATACCCATCTTGTGGGCGGTAGTGGAAAGGGTTACAGAGGCACATAATGGGCTCAGGGGCTGAACACCACAATTCATTTAGCTAAGCTGAACTGGGAGCTTCAATCTAAGTTACAATCTTGATGAACTAGTTACAAAATTCAGTATAAGTCGTCACATCAACAATGGGTTCGAGATCGACCACAAGTACAGTTTCTAAATTATGCAACTGACATATATTCCACCCTTACCAGATATCAATTGTCAAACATACACATTCACTCAGTTTAAGTGTAGATATGATAGGGCCCAATAAGTTCAGGAACCCGTGCACGTACCGGCTGCTTCCTGGGGATGTGTACTCACCTAGTTGTACTTGTGGGGATTGAGTTCTGGCTCTTTGGTCCCACCTCTCAACTGTCAATCAACTAGTGTACAAATTCCTGAGCCTACTGGGCTCTATCATATCTACATTTGAAACTGTGTATGGAGTCAGCCTCCACTACATCACTGCCTAATGCATTCCATCTGTTAACTACTCTGACACTGGAAAAATTCTTTCTAACGTCCCTGTGGCTAATTTGGGTACTCAGTTTCCACCTGTGTCCCCTTGTTCGCGTACCATCGGTGTTAAACTCTCTTTATCTACCATGTTAATTCCTCAATTTTGTAGGTAGTGATCATGTCTCCCCTTACTCTTCTGTCTTCCAGTGTATTTCACGCAGCCTTTCCTCGTAACTCATGCATCTTAGTTCTGGAACTAGCCTAGTGGCATACCTCTGAACTTTTTCAAGCTTCCTGTGTGTGTGTTAGAGATAAATATATGTAGTAAACTCAATAGAGGACAAATAGATTGGTTAGAAAGGTGGGATCCAAGAGCTATATATTTATTGTATATATAACTTATGAGCTTGTATATATATATATATATATATATATATATATATATATATATATATATATATATATATATATATATATATATATATAAATTGGAACTGGAATTGGAATTGTTCCAAAAAAAATTGGAACAATGTTAACCTTCGATAAAGAAATTTTGGAGGGCTTCTGTGCAAGGGTTAGGATGAGCTAGCAAGGGTTAGGATTGCTTTTTTATACCAATTTGACAGTTAATTTCAATAACACGATCAACGATGCTCTGAATTTTAAGTTCCTTTCTCATGTTAAGTATCTATGTACAATGTATGTATCTTGGTATAATGTATGTATCTGTATAATGCATGTGTCTATGTATAATGTAAGTATCTATGCATAATTTATGTATTTATATATAATGTATGTACCTATATCTATCTATATATCTCTATCTATCTATATTTTTTTTCTCTAGATAGATAGATATCGGGTGTATTTGTGCACAGATGTAACGTCATAATACAGGGAAGTTTTGGAGGGTTGAATGACTGGGAAGTTCATACAAAGACGTCAAACTACAGTGACGTCAAGCTACAGTGACGTCAAGACACGTCACCAATTCACCGGAAGTGAGCACGCCAGAGTTAGGAAAAAATGCAACAAATCCAGGAAGTGATGTTGCGGAGGCAGATTCATACGCAGTTTACAGTGTAGACTGAGCCCATATATAATCTTGAGAACCTGTACACCAGGTAATTGACAGTTTAGAGACGGGGGCAAAGAACCGAAGCTCAACCCCTGCAAGCACAAGAAGTTAGTTGTTGATGTTGATTTAGAAGCGACGAGGAGCATGACTTCTGGCTCAACCTTGACGACGAGCGGACGTCGTCTCGACCGCTCGTCGTCGAGGTTGAACCAGGAATTCCAGGCACAAGATTGTGAGTTTGTAAAGGATTTACAAACGAGAAGTACAGTAAGAACATGCCAACTTTCACCAAATGCCTCTGTTCACCTAGCAGTTTGTAAAGGATTCACAAACGAGAAGTACAGTAAGAACATGCCAACTTTCACCAAATGCCTCTGTTCACCTAGCAGTTTGTAAAGGATTTACAAACTCCGGTTGACTAGGTGGTAGTTAAGGATTGGCACCTAGTTAACTACACAGCTCTAACCCGGATTACGCATATAATCCTGTCTCTACGGGAGTCTTCACCAGTGGCAGAAGTGTGAATACCAGCATTATCATCACTTTAATAAGGCTTTATCAAAATCCTCAGATTAGGCAAAATTGTAATTAATTTTGTCAATAAAGATGTTAATAATAATAAGTGGTGACGGGGGAGATGCGGACCGGTGCTGTCGCTGCCCCTAACCCACCACCCACAACAATGATCACTGGGTCGCTCAGGGTGAGGACAAACTGTATCTACTATCAAGAAGTAGTACAGTAAGAACATGCAAGCTCCACCTACCATCGAGAAGGACAGTAAGAACATGCCAACTTTCACCAAATGCCTCTGTTCACCTAGCAGTAAATATGGATCCAGGAGTTAGTAACTGTTGTGGGGTGTCATCCTGGGGAGGGTCAGTAGTTCAGCCTTGAGGGGACCTCTATATATAACATATATACATATGCAGCCTGCCTGTCCCTGACAAATTAAATTCTTGAATTATTAAATTATTTAAGGGGCTACAATGGCATTTTGTTCTCTTCATTCATTCATTTAATGGCATTCTGGGTACAAGTGACAGGATGAACAACCCAGCGGGTTTTCTTTCTATTGGGGAGTGTTGTACATGCTGCTATGGCGGTGTGTCCACTCACAAGATGAGTGGCGCTGCCCAATAAACTCGCCCCTCGGGGCAAAATTTAAAAATTTAAATTTAAAATGGCATTCTGTTCATTCACAGCTCTTATCTATAAACCTAGCAATTTTTGTAAAAATCTCTTGTATGTATGTACCTTACCTGAATAAACATTTATTTATTTATTATTATTTATCTTGCTTTCCCTTCCCTTAGCTCATGGTAAGTCTTGCCCACTAATTTTTCCTGGAATAAGACTCATCAGTTGGTTAACAACCAGGTACCCAATTACTCCGGGGTGAACAGGATTGGCACCTAGTCAATTCTCCCTGGCCAGGAGTTAAACCCAGGACTAGATCGCTCGTGAGATGTAGGGTAAGTGTGTTACCACTGCGCCACCAGATGATACTCCAGTAGTTAACAGAATTTGGTAGCTGACTTTCCTGATAGCATGGCACAAAATGTCACTTCAGTATCATATGCATTATACTTTTATATCAAGTGCTTTTGTGCATAATTTAAAGGTTAGGTTTGATTTTAATTCTATGTTATGTATTTAAATTGCAAAACACCCTATGAATCTTTAAGAATGTACTGTATTTAACCTAAATAATATGATTTTCTCTCTGATCAATGTTAGTGTAATTAATCATTTAATTTTGTATTTCCTTAAATATTCATGGATAAAATTAATGACCTTGCAGTTTTAAATATCCATTTTTATTGATGCTATAATGATCACAAATAGCTATACAGTATATCATATTGTTCTATCACATAGATTGCCTTTGAGCAGAGTGAAATATAAATTTCATTAATCATTCATTAATCTAAGGATTGTGAATGTTTTCAGGTCCATAAATGCAGCATTGCCTAGCTTATGGTGAATATGTATCAAGCAAATAGTCCAACAGTACTGTATCTTCTCCTCCAGTCAAGTCCAACAGTACTGTATCTCCTCCTACAGTCAAGTCCAACAGTACTGTATCTTCTCCTCCAGTCATCTTTTCTAAGGTGTCACATTTTATTTCTACACAGTGTGAGAGTGTTCTGTCAGAGGCAAGAATTTATGTCCAGTCAGGCAGGATGACACCTGGGTGCAGGTGCAACAGATAACTTTTAAAACGATGTTTCATAACCGTTTCTGACCTCAGCACCCACCCCACTGTAGTAAACAATTTAACAGTCCCTACCCTCTTACATCTGCTTACTGGGAGTAGATTTGCTTCACTAGTACAAGAATGAAGTACATTTAAGTGAAATACTGTTGAACAATATATTTTGCTTGTTTTCAGCATTTCCCATACCCTTAAAATTATTTTCAGCATCCTAGGTTATGAAATGCTACATTAAAAATGTATTACAGGAGTCACATATTAGGTGTTAGGGTGGCACTGAAGTCAAACCAAGCATTTAAAGACCATCAAGAGGTACATCTTTAAAAATTAAAAAATCATACCAAGTCCACACTATGCATCACAGTGGACTACCCAGTGAGTCTTAATAACTTTTTGTGTGCGTAGTTTGCCAAATCCACTGCCATTTATTTTAAGACACTTGTGGTCAAAATATAAATAATCTTTTTATAGGAAAGCACAAAATGTATGTGAAGGAATCCAACAAGATTTGTGTGTTACTAGGTATAAATGTCTTCCATTGCCAACTGGTGCTTCAACTTAATGCATTATGGGGGGTTAACTCCCATTAACCAGACATGCTCCTGCTAATGGGGATAGAGAACTAGAAATTTGTCTGTATAATCCAAGAATTCAAATACAATAGGAGTTTCCACTGTATATGATGGTGACATTTTTTTGGGGGGGGGCATGATTCTGTGTACTGTAAAGTAAAACTGCACTATTAATATGGATTGAGGTATTCAAATAATTTGGTAATAATGAAGGAGGCCTGGTCAATTAATTCCATTGTTCTCAAAATGTTATTGTTTAATTGGAAGCACATGCAGCTTTTGTTTATGGTACTCTTAGGATTCCCATACATGATGATGCTTGGTTATTCTAGAAGTGTTTGAAGAATGGGCATTTGTACTTCCAGAATTATAATTGAATTGTTCCTGCATGTTGGTACATACTTTGTTTCAATGTAATTTTGTTTTATGGCTCTATAATCTACACTTCTTCACTTCATAACAGCAAGAAATTTTTCAGGTAAAAACTGATGTGCATGTTATATATGAAGTTTGCAGCTTGGCTCTCTCGGAGTCTTGGAATGCTTGTGAACCGCTGTACTACAGCTGTGGCTGCTCTATCTCCAGTGTCTGGAAGTGGCAACCTTACCTGAAAATGTATTTAACAACAGTGGAACATCTGTCAGTGGAGAGGAGAAAGATATCAGGGACATAATGGGTACTACTGTATACAGTACTGTATTTGTGCAATACTTCTTTGAAGCTGTGATTTGATTTGTTTTGTTTACATTTGACCAATTTACCATTAGTTTAAGATAACTATAATAACTTGATTAGCATTATAACTGTTAAATGAACATATAGAATATGAGTACAGTAATGAAATCATACAATATGTTTTCCACGTTGAAGTCCCTAAATATACAAGCACTACACTCATTCTCCTGTGCACTCTTCATCTTTCATATGTTTAAGAAAAGAAACTTATGTCAGCCTGTTAATCAGAATCTGACTTACATAATTACAGTACTTCATAATTATTATGGGTTTTGCCTAATATAATTAACCATATTTTTCATCAGCTTTTTGGAAAGCTTGTAACTACTGTTATAATTATGTCTATGCCTATATAGCTAACTATTGAAGTGTGACAGTTCCCCCTCAATCTCTCCAACCTGTACTCTGAAGCCTTATTTGTGTCTCCCTCCCTCCCCATCTCATCATTCTCTCTACCACCACTGTAATTGCCATTACAACTACAGTACTACCAAACTCCACAACCAACATCAATACCATTACAAACATACCACTGCAATTACTGAAACTACAGTAACCACTACAATTACCACAACTACTGCCACTCGCTCACATCAGCCACAAATACAGTCATTCACCCACAATTTGTCACATACACAGCCACTCACCCCACAATCTGCCACAAATACACCCAATTGCTTAGATCTACCACAAATACTGTACAACCATTTGCCCATATCCACCACAGATACAGCCACTAAATTTATATATTTAGTTGTGTATGTGATATAAACATTTTACAATTATGTTGCCACCTGATGCCAGCTAGCTAATTCCTCAGAGTTTGCCCAAATTATTTATAAGTACCAGTACTGTATTTTTTTACAACAGTCCTACATAGTCTTTCTGACTTCGTGTCTTCTTTTGATAATTCCTTATTTACTTGACATGATATTAATTAATACTTATACAATACTGTAACTACCATTACTGCATTTCTGAACACATTTTAATATACTTTTTATATCATTTATGAATAAACTACCAAAGCTCAGATCATTTTTTAATAGGTCCCCTCAGTTTCTACCCGTAGCTAGAGCCCACGTCCATTTGACACTGCTTACACACGAGACACTCAGTGATTTTGAGCCCCATTGTGTCAAATAACTTTTCAAATGGTCCTGTTTCCTAGTCTACATCAGGGAGCTTTGGAGAGGAGAGCTCGGGCTCATGATCAATAGATATTGCTCATTTTGAGACCGAAGAGCAAATTGGAACATTCAACACTTCTTCCATACAATAATTGCCAACACAAAGATAGCCAGTTGAAGCTCTGCAATCTGCAAAAACTAGCCACCCCTCAAAGTACCACTGGGTAACCTTAGTTTGTGCCTGGTACCTACCCAGCTTGACGAGTAGCTTTGCTGAGGCTAGTCAAGTAGATTCGTTTTCCTCGAGACTCTTTGTTCAGGGTGCTCCAGTGCTTCATGTCTTGTGACCAGTCATTCGAATGCCTCTTGACTATTCCTTACTGCTGTAGCTTGGTTTCATTGGCTTTATTCCCGGGCTACTGATTGTTAAACACCAATGTCCACCAGAGGTTATCTTACCTAAGGCTATTGCATAACATTCAACATAGTCCTCCTCCTCTTTGAGTTGGTTCCTTACCATGGCAGTCCATTAGGGACAAGCCAAGGCCTTTTGTGTTGTGCTATATTTATACTTACACACAAAGTATGCAAAAGAAGTTTCGGTGAATTGTTCTCCCTGATACCTTTAACTAATATTTAAGAACTGTGTCTGGAGCTTTATTTTGAACTTAAGACTGATATATTTTTTTAAGGTTATGCACTGTTTAACAGGCAGCTTTGTCTTTGCAAAAATCTATTCTGAGTTTAAGAATTCTTAAATACATGTACAGTACAGTATTATATATTTATATTTTTGGGAAATCAAGAGATAAGAAAAGGTATGAGATCAATTTATCCAGTGAAGATTCTATTGAGTTGAAGTTAAATAAGGAAGGGAAGAAAGAACTGAGGGGAAAATATAATAAGAGTAAGATGGAATTAAGCAACTGCAAAAGGCTATGAGATAACTCCTATTTATATCCACTCAAACTCATTCATACATATGTCTAACTTATGCTTGAAACAATCTATATATGCAACATTTATTATGTTCCCCAGTAATTTATAAATCAAAGCCCAGTTTCCAAACCAGTATTTTCCCAGGTCTTTCCTAAATCTTTCTCTGTGGTATCAGACACTAGCCATCTGGCTTTCCAGTATTCATGTCTAGCCATATTTCATTTTTGTTGGGTATTGAATGAATTGACAGATGGCCTTTACCAATTCCATCCAATGTGGACAGAATTGGAAGTTGAACAAGGCATAATTCCAGTAGTTATGCAACATGTTCCACCTCACCAGGGTGGATCATTTTACATCTGCATGACATAACAAGATGCTTATCTATGTGACTTCATTCCATGATAGTGATTCTTTAGTGGCTTACATTATAAAAATTGTTTGGAACTTATTGGGGTTCCTCTATCTCTTTTCTCTTATCAATATACAGTACATTTACTAGTTCAGAGAAAACTTAGACATTTATGCATTGCATGATTCTGCTGACATCTTTGTGGCTGCTACAACTGCAGTTCCTTCTCGGCCAGATTCTTTTTTCTAGTCTTAGCCTCTCCCAGAGAATTGGCTCTCAGTTTTGATAAAAAATTATATTTAATGTAGACTTTTCCTCCTGTTTATTTAACTTTGACACAAAACAATATTGTTATATTACACTAATATTTTATCTAGTAAAGGTACATGAAGAATCTTCTGATAGGGTAATTTATCTATACATTTTTTTTTTTTTTTTGAGATATATACAAGAGTTGTTACATTCTTGTACAGCCACTAGTACGCGTAGCGTTTCGGGCAGGTCCCTGGAATATGATCCCCGCCGCAAAGAATCGTTTTTACAACCAAGTACTCATTTTACTGTTGAGTTAAACAGAGGCTACAGTTAAGGATTTGCGCCCAGTAAGTCCTCCCTGGCCAGGATACAAACCCACGACAAAGCGCTCGCGGAACGCCAGGCGAGTGTCTTACCACTGCACCACAAGACTAAATATTTCTGATGCCTTAGTTTCTTGAAGAACAGTCCTTAGAAGATAGCAATAACAAAACAATAGGAATGCTAATCAAAACCTGAACATATTAGTATTCATGTTTGCCTGTTTTTGAACTTTCATTGTTCTTTATTTGTACTGCTGCAGATTGGCATTCCGAAGACTTCCTTTTCTTCCCATCATTTGTATTGTGCTCAGAATATTGGTCATCTTCAGGAGTGTCTGAAGAAGTATGACTCCAAGATTGCTTTGATTCCTGACAAATTATGAAATAAAACACTTACAAAAAAAATCAAATGACCAAACAACATTACAAATCAACATTTTAGATCAAAAGCGATCTGGACATTACCAGGTACAGTAGTTTAGAACAGTTGTCCGACAGTAGTGAGGCTTCTAGCAGCAGCTTTGAGCGATTCCTCAGCTCCTGAAGTTAACAATAAAGTAAACAAACAATTTTATCAGAAATTCAGATGCTTAGTTCCTAGAAGTGATGCTTATAATAAAACTAATTGTAATTACCAAGCAACATTAAAAGCTCAAGTGATTCAACAGAAAATTTGATGATGACAAAGTTGAAATGAGTCTCAGAGATGAATGTTACATCTCGAGTAACATTTTGGTAATACAGTATCAAAGCCAATATACAGAATTTTAAGATGTAATTTAACACAACACAAATGGAATAGGTTTTGGTCAATTTTGCCCATTGACCTCAGCTAATAGACCTTGGCAGTAATGTACAGGATGTTGTGTTCTATATCAGAGCAAGAACCTTTGCAAGATGTAAAGCTTGCAGGTTTCGGCAGATGAACAACCCATGCGAGTTATTTTTTAACTCTTTGTATATTTTTCTTTTTATTATTTGTGAGAATGATGGTTGCATATTTTGTAATGACAAGTTAAAAATTAAAGGATCTGTAGTTAATTTATGCAATATAAATTCACATTTATTGGCATACTTAGTGAAATATTAGTAGAGAATATAGCAGTTGACTTTAATCACACATGGCAAGAGGGAAAGAGTCTGCCTTTTTTCCCATTGATGATTTGGTTCTTTCCCTACTTGCTCTGTTGTACTTTCTTAAGCTTTACTGTCCATTCAGTGTTTACTATATACATGTTTTTTGTTCTTATTTTTCAGTTCAGTCCTACTTTACTCCAAGTATTTCAGCTCAGCCACTTGGACTAGACAATAGAGCGACAATCTCGCTTCTTGCAGGTCGGCATTCAATCCCTGACCATCAGAGTGATTGGGCACATTTCATCCCTCCATCCTATCTAAACCCTCATCCTCATACCCCTTCCAAGTGCTATATAGTCGTAATGGCTTAGTGCTTTCTGCTGATAATTATCTTACTCTAAGAATATTATTATTTTTAAGCCTAATAAGTAGCATTACCTTACACAAGAGATCACAAAACCTCTATAGGAAATTCTTTAGTCAACAAAACATGCATCACTTCAAAAATTCTTCAAATCCTTACAGTTGTTAATGAAATTGGGGAAATATGCTACTCGAGCCCATCTGAAGGGCAAAGAGTCTAAAAAGATGACATCAGTGGATATGAAAAATAGAGACTAAATTTATGTTTAGAAATAAGGTAACTTTTGTTTTTGAAGGAAAATAGTGATAGCATTTGGTCATTTTATTTATTTTACGTAGTTTACATTCCTATTGACATCACATGTATTTTGCTTTTATGTATCTGAGGGCTACCATCTCTATTAGGAACAAGAGGGGCATAGAAGCCAGCGGTTTGTCAAAGGTCCACCTTATTATTATGCAAACTACATTTCACATCTTGGTGGAACTAGGAAAAATAGATCCCAAGCCTTCATGCTGTGTGTAGGGCTTCATCTAGTTAACTTATGAGCAAGGAGAGAGAACATGTATTGTACATTATACTCCTAACTGACAAACTTTTAACCTCACCAAAACTGGGATGTTGTCAGACGGGTGATGAGCCATCCTTTAATCTGATCTCTTTCTAAACACATTGAATCATTGAGAAAATACACTAGTGGCTGTGAGGTGACGGGAACCTGCAACCACGGCATTGCCAGCCACATTCTCTACTACTTGACCACCGCTGACGTGTAAAGTCATTCAACTAGATTGAATCATGCTCACATTATTAGGTAATCCCCTAAAATTAGATTGTTTATATACAGGTAATTATTTCAGTCAGTTGTGTAATTTTTAACCTTATGTACAAAATGTGTACTTTTCTGAAGTTTATTTTGATGTCAAATTAGTTGAAAAAATTACTGGATAATAATTTGTAGTTGTATGAGGACGAGGATGTAAGATAATGATATTTACAATGTGGTTAATTGCTGTATATTGCATAGTGTTTTAGGCTTGTTGCCTTCTTTGGTAACTACTTACGTGTTGTATACGGTAAAAACATAGTTATACAATTTTTCTGAGAGATAGAAATGGGGAGAAAGGTGGAGAGGATGGGAAATTGGGAGAATGAGATATGTGAGAGGGGTGTGAAGGGGAGATCAGAATATTGAGGGGGAGAACGGTATAGAATGGGGGATAGGGAAAGATATTAGAGAGGGGGGGGGGAGGGAGAGAAGGGAAAGACCCGGGAACAGCCAGGTACCCCATCTAGTAGACAAAACAAGATTATAGTAAACTTCCTATTACTGTATGAGGATTATTTGCTAACTCTTTAAATCACTTGTGTCGAACTACCGTCCCATTAGGTGAAGGTCTATTTAGAAAAGTTGCTTGAATCGAAAATCACAGCCTTTCATTACATTTTGAAAACAGATTAATAAAGGATTCACAACATGGTTTTAATATGTGCCGCTTATATTTAACAAAATACTTATTTTTTTCAAGAAGACTTTTAAGCAGTTGACAACAGAAAGGATTATTACTATATTTTGACTTCAGCAAAGACTTCGATATACTGTGCCTCACGAAAGACGCCTTAGAAAATAAAGAGTTGTGTTACTCCAACGTTTATTTTCAGCTAGCTAAAATAGGTAACTCCCTTAAGCAATTGTCGCAGGTTACATCTTGGGAAAGGTCAATAGTTGGTCTATGGCATTCTCTCCCAAAGGGAGTAACGGAAGAGGATGGCAAGTGTGGCGGGATGATTCGAGAGCAATCAGAGAAACCTTTAAGCATTCGGTAAAATACATATTAGTTTATTGCTATTATTAACAGCGAGCAAACATATGAGAAGCAAAAAATTTCATTGCGTGGGAAGTGTGTGTGCATGAGAAGCAGGGTCCCCTAAAACGAGAAATTACTAAACATGTATAGAAACGTGTAGAAGTTCTCGGACGTTCAGGTCTGACATTGTATGAGGTGGCGGCAATGGCCTGCATTTCGGGTAATCGATCCTTGAAAATAAAACACAGGTGTATGCATCACTGGACTCTTTGCATATGCAACCTGAAACAACATCCACACATCTCTTCAAGAGCATCAGCTGTTCTACAGTTCGCCGCGACATATTGTGAACAAGGATGTTCAGCTCTGACAAATATCAGAGACCAGAAAAGAGAAAGCCTTCTTTGTGTTGATGAAAACTGAAATTAGATCTCATATAAATGAGATTACCTGACAAAAACAAGCTCACACCTCATATTGAGTTTGTATACTTAAGGTTACATATGTAAGAAGCTCATCTCTATTTTTTTTTGAGAATCATGTTTTTATGTAGGTTCATTTTTTTGTATTTTCAGGATGCCCCAGATCTTATGAAGTAGTTGAATTAATTGTATAAATCTAGCACTAAAAGTGATCATTCACTCCTAGGCTTTCTCGCATCTGGAACTTGTTTGCGAGGTCAACAGATCACATGAAGGCTCTGGCACACAGTTGGCTACAAGTTCATCCTGTTCCTTATATGATTGTTACCTAATGTTGTTAATGAATAAAGGCTACTCCTACTGATGCATAAAACAAGCTCTGGACAAAAATGGTCCTCTAGGAGTAGGTTTCAACTTAGCTGAGGCAGGATGAAATAATCTAAGATGAGGTCTGATAAAGATCTTTTGTGCCCTCTGTAATGCTTTTGCGCTACCGCTCACAGGATGAGTATGGGGTGCACAATAAACTAGCCGCCTTCGGCGGCAACAATCAAATGAGGCAGGATTACAGCTCTTGCGTGCAGTTTCACCACGTTCCTTATATGATAGTTCCCTATGTGATAGGTTCAAAGTATATTCTCATGAAATAATGAGTTTCTAGGAGCAAACTTCAGATAAGCTGAGGTAGGATAACAGCTCTTGCTTGCAGTTCACTAGGTACGTCATATGGCAGCCCTTATGATCCCTAGTCTCAGTTTAAAACAAAAAAGTTGATTTTGTTTTTAATACATTATCAATTAAAAAACTGCCGTGATTAAAAAAAATTTCCGAACATGCGGGCCAGAGACAAAAGTTTTGAGACCCAGTTGTCTATAGGGGACTACAATAAGCCAAATGAGAATGAGGGTAATAGCCGAAGCCCTTTTGGCTCATACGAGGCAGCTCATATATATCCCCAAATACAGTCCAGCGATCCCACGTCCATTGTTGCCCTGCAATTTGTTCCACAAATAAACACTCTCCAAACCAGTAATTGTTCAAATATCACCCATTGCTTATTATTATATTTTGTATTATATACTTCAAGTCCCCTTGAGGGACTTGAAGTAGAGGGGGGTAGAAATAGCCTAAGCTACTCTATCCCTTTGAGATGTATTTCTTTCTTGTCTCAATAAACATACTTGAACTTGAACTTGAAAAGCGCTCGCGGAACGCCAGGTGAGTGTCTTACCACTACACCACGGAGACTGTAAATTCGGAGACAAGTTCAAGTTCAAGTAAGTTTATTGAGACAAGAAGAAAAATACATCTCAAAGGGATAGGGTAGCTTAGGCTATTTCTACCCCTCTTATTTTTTTCTATACAGGTGATAGAATTAGCACTATTAACGATATTAGTAATATTATTAGAACTATTATCGAATATCTATTTAATAATAGATATCGAAATCTATCTACTTAAGGTAGATAGATTTCCTGTATATCTACTTACGCACACAATGCACAATGCACAGACTGATGTATATGTGAGAAAATATTGAGGTCGCATCCTCATCCTCAATATTTTCAACTGATATAGCATCAGTTTTGATAGATTCTCTGGACAGCCAATATTTGGATCAGTCAATTGGTGGTTGTACTAAGTGGTCTAACCACTTGGGCTGGACGGTAGAGCGACGGTTTCGCTTCATGCAGGTCGGCGTTCAATCCCCGACCGTCCAAGTGGTTGGGCACAATCCTTCCCCCCGTCCCATCCCAAATCCTTATTCAAGTGCTATATAGTCATAATGATTTGGCCACATCCCCCTGATAGTTCCCCTCCCCTCCCCCGTCCCGCCCTAAAATCCTTATTATAATTTTTATTACTAAATTTTCTTATAAATGGGTCCAACCACTTGGGCTGGACGGTAGAGCGACGGTTTCGCTTCATGCAGGTCGGCGTTCAATCCCCGACCGTCCAAGTGGTTGGGCACCATTCCTTCCCCCCGTCCCATCCCAAATCCTCACCCCTTCCAAGTGCTATAAAGCCGTAATGGCTTGGTGCTTTCTCCTGATGATTAAAAAAATATTATTCTATACAATTATGCATTAATTTCTGGCTTAAGACTCCTACTAATCATAATTTGCAATTTTCAACCCTTTTCAACTGATATTAGGTAACTATTATAATTACCTAACCTCAGAACCCTATACTTTTCATCAGTAAACTGCACTTGTAGCTGCCTGCTAGCAGCATCAGGCAGTTCCAGCCTAGCTGGTGAGACTGGCCTTGTGACCTTGATATAGAAGGTCGTGCTTAACTGCACAATTCTTTCGTATGTGGTGAGGAGTTACGGGCTCACCATAGCCCGTGTTACTTGGAACTTTTTGCTCCAGGTAGCGAATCTTTAACAACAACAACAGGTGAGGAGACTGAACTCGCATGTTGATTCTTGATCAGCTTTGGGCTCCAAGAATTATCCTCACCAAAGCACCTTGGTGTGCTGCTCCCAGGAAGAAAGTCAAGCACGTTCGGAGCAAGATCACTTTTGATTTACACCATTAACATACCAATAACAATACTCTCAAAAACCTTGCAATTGTAAAATCTTAGATATTATCTTAAACTGAACTGCATAATGTAAATGGGGTCTAACAGGGACACGATAATACTGAGTTTGGCTTAGGTATATAGATTATGAGACCTTGAGTCCATGGGTCTGTGAGACTGAACAGTTCTACCAGTAGTCTGTTAGGTAAATTTAATTTTTTTTTAAATTTTTGCCCTGAGGGTATATTGGCAAGAAGCCCCAGAGTACTGTATGATATGCCATTGTGTTCGGGAGAGTTGCTCTTCCCTTTATAAGTATAGTGTCAACGTCGCTGGTGCGCCATAGCCAGAACCACGGCAGCTTTCCTTATCCAGAAGTACGACAGTGACCCCCAGTGCTAACAGCCTTACAAGGCCGCTACACTAATACAGCTCCACAGTGGACGGGCCACTAAACTTAACGTACCTTCCCACCCATCTGTTTACCATCCCTTGCCCCCTCCCCCCACCTTGCCAAAACGTTCAACGATAGAAAGTTCCATAGGTACGCCATACATTGAATTATCGTAGATGCCCATCGGTGAAGAATCTTCACATGCCCTGACTAGCCGTGTGAAGGTCGAGCGAGGGAGAGTATAGGTGAAGCTGTTAAAGGAAAAAAGAGAATCATCCTTCCTGTACCCGCGGGATAACATTTATCAAGTTATGCACTTAATAAGTTCAATTTTTTGATGATCTTTTTATGCTTAAATTAATTTGTAATGTTATCTAATGGGGACAGTTGTCACAAGTTAACCCCTAGGGCAATGTACGAGAGCTTGCGGCCAGAAATTATTGGAACCCCGGCGGCCAGTCGGGGGTCAGTCACTTTCGGTTTCTCCGTGTCAGCGTGTAGTGGCGGCGGCGGGCTGGGGCCGGACACACCAGGGGCACGGACTGTGGTGATGCCTCCGTGTCTCGTCCGTCCTCCGGCCTCCTGCTGGAGCTCCTGAGGTAGCGTGTGCAAGCGTCCGCCCTCCCTGCACACCCGCCCTGGGCTCAGCCTTGTTGGGCGCACACTTTTGTGCTTCTCAGCCCCACCACACTCCCTCCTCAAGCTCCTCCCTCCTTATACACGCCTCAAGTGCCCTCCCACTTTCCAAGTATTCTCCCTCCATCCTCACGCTCCAAGTACTTTCCCTTCCTCTACATGCTCCAAGTACTTTCCCTCCCTCTACACGCTCCAAGTACTTTCCCTCCCTCTACATGCTCCCTCCCTCTACATGCTCCAAGTACCCAGCCTCCCTCTACATGCTCCAAGTACCCAGCCTCCCTCTACATGCTCCTTACTCTTCCTTCCCCTTACATGTTCCTCCCTCTGTGCGGGAGGTCAACACGTGGAATGCGCTGAAAGTTGTGGCACTCGCCTCCAGCCACAAGTTTAACGCAAAATTCGACAAAGATTTCGATCGCCAGAATAGTTAAATTTGATAAGGTAACAGGTACAGCAACTGGGAGGGGGGCATAAAGTGCTACACCCTACTTCCCTGTGTCACTGATAGGCAAGCACAAACAGGTACAGCCTTACGGGCTCACCATAGCCCGTGCTACTTGCCCCGCTCCTGTGCCAGGTAAGTTACGGGCTCGCCATAGCCCGTGCTACTTGCCCCGCTCCTGTGCCAGGTAAGTTACGGGCTCGCCATAGCCCGTGCTACTTGCCCCGCTCCTGTGCCAGGTAAGTTACGGGCTCACTATAGCCCGTGCTACTTGCCCCGCTCCTGTGTCAGGTAAGTTACGGGCTCACCATAGCCCGTGCTACTTGCCCCGCTCCTGTGCCAGGTAAGTTACGGGCTCACTATAGCCCGTGCTACTTGCCCCGCTCCTGTGTCAGGTAAGTTACGGGCTCACCATAGCCCGTGCTACTTGCCCCGCTCCTGTGCCAGGTAAGTTACGGGCTCACCATAGCCCGTGCTACATGGACATTTCGTCCTGAGCAGCTAAATCTACAACAACAACAAGAGCCTCCACATACTCCTCCCTTCCTCCAGCCGCTCCTCCCGCCGTCCACCGGCTCCACACGGGGCTCCCTGGAGCCTCCACTCCACACACACACGCCGCCACGCACGGGTCGCCTCGCCACAAGGTCCCGGTCCTCCCTGCAGGTGGCACACAACACTCTAGTTATGTGAGGCGGGTAATGAGACCACCAGTCAAAGAGGAAACTAATTATGGGGAATAACTGTTAATTGTGGTAGTGTGGAGGGTTGCGCTACGGTGCTGTGGATCAGGGCATCATTATACACCTCTAGTGAAAGCACGAACAGTCTTAAAGAGTGGTTTACCCGCGTTAAAGTTAGTTTACGAGCGAGTTTGTGCTGCTGTGGAAATTACAATTGTCACGTAAATAGTGATCCTTGTGATGTGAAGGAGATAAAGGTGGTATCATATCTCCGTGCAGCATGTCCTGTCGGCACCAGAAGTGTTTATAGATGAGCGAGGTGATAGGGACTCCGCTTGCGGCTCACTCTAGGGATGAGTACCTAGTGTCAGGTCGTAGGAAGACGTCAATAAGTTGCTAAAGGTGCTCTGTGTGGGTAGTGCAAGTGTGCGGTGGAGAGGGCAGCCGCGGTGGTGGTAGTGGCTGGCAGTCAGTGAAAGTTGTTGATGCCCAAGATGTGAGGTTTCTCCAAAGTTGTTGTCCCGCCCGGCCACTCTCTCTCCCCCCACACAGTGGCAAGTGAGGCGTCATCTCCACCATGTGCGACTATGAGTGGCCTTGAGCCATTCACAGTGTGCTCGTGTTCGTCACCGTCGCCCACTTGCTGTTGTCAAGTCCGCCACCAGGTACCTGCGACCTTCAGCAGGAATGCGGCGGCGGCTCGTCTATACGAAATGATATCTGCGATCGTCCCCAAGTCGAGGCAAAGTGAAGAGTGTGACGATGCCCTACAGAGTACAGCAGACTGAGGAAGACATCAGTGTGTGAGGAAGATCACACCTACCCACACCAGGCCCCTCGCCTCAATGTTGCCAGTGAGTCACGTGACGTGTCCTGGTGGGGGGTGCCTTCGTGCATTCCACCTATCCTTAACTACTGTACTACCTCGCCTCACTAACACACCTCTTGATTTAACCACTTATTTTGTTGATGTCACACGGTAATTGTTGTGCCCGTGAATAATGGCTCACAGGGTGGACCTTGAGTGTTGTTGATTGTTGCCAATAATGTAACCTTTACACCCAGCATGCATGACCTTGACTTAATATTGAGAAATGCAAAATGCATTCCTGATCGAAATTTCCTTCATGGTTTATTTATGTCAGTTTATTTAGTTGTTTAATCGTTTATTGTTGAATAATACATGCATTTCTAAATAATTATCGAAGGAAGCGACTTTATCTTGCTTTCCCGCCAAATTATGTTTAAATTTTGGCGCGCAATCGTCCCAAAGTCTGGCACTGACGTGGCCACGGATAACACTTGTACCTGGCTGTGACTTCCGTATCATATATATACACACACGCGGTCTGTTATTGATCAATTATGTTTTCAATTATCAATCAGTGATGTAATCTCAACTTAATTAGGAGTGATTAAATGATGGGTAATCAGTTGTCTGGAGTCGTCCATCCGAAAGTTGACGGTCTGGGACCAGTTGCTGGCGTAGACCACTTGTAAAAGTAATGCCATGTACGATAACTTCCAAGTCATTTTAGGATAAATTGTATATAATCCATCCGTATATTAAGATTTTTGTTCTTTAATAACCAAGTTCGTACTGCCCATTAATGTATAACACAGCTTTATAACACTGCACTAATGCACAAATGTTAAAATTCGAGGGAGCCGATAACCTAAGACACCTTGACCCGCTCTCACCGTCTGCGCGAGTTTGCCAAGACTCCTGGCCGTGTGTTTTTTTATTTATTTTATTTATTTATATATATACAAGAAGATACATAGCATAGTAATTACATTCTTGTAAAGCCTAATGTGCCGTGTGTGCTACAAGAGTCAGTCATCCCTGAATGCCCGGCTCTGCCCGAAACGCTGCGCGTACTAGTGGCTTTACAAGATTGTAATTACTATCCTATGTATCCTCACAATCCCAATGTACCTTCTTGTATATAAATAAATAAATAAATAAATAAACAAATGTCGCACACCAGTCCAGCTGGGCACAATCAGGACCACCGTGAACAGCTCTGCCATAATATTTGAGAAGGATTCTCCAGAGTTCCAATGTTGGGCTTTGCCGCATGGAGTTGAAATAATAGATAAGACTTGGCAACCGAGAGGCCATGCAGCAGGTGAGACCTGAGGCCAGTCTGAGTGACACCTTGATTGGCGCCACTTGTAGAGGTTATCGCCTGATTGGCGCTACTTGTAGAGGTTATCACTTGAATTAGCGACACTTGTAGAGGCTGTAACCTGATTGGCGCCACTTGTAGAGGCTGTAACCTGATTGGCGCCACTTGTAGAGGCTGTAACCTGATTGGCGCCACTTTTAGAACGTAACCTGATTGGCGCCACTTTTAGAGGCTGTAGCCTGATTGGCACCACTTGTAGAATCTGTAACCTGATTGCGCCACTTGTAGAGGCTGTAACCTGATTAGCACCACTTGCAAGGTTATCACCTGATTGGTGCCACTTGTAGAGGCTGATTGTTGTCACTTGTAGTTGTTGTCACCTGATTGTTGTCACTTGTAGTTGTTGTCACTTGTAGTTGTTGTCACCTGATTGTTGTCGTCACCTGATTGTTGTCACTTGTAGTTGTTGTCACCTGATTGTTGCCATTTAATTTGCGCCACTTATTGAGGCTTTCACTTAATCGGCGATTGTTGTAGATGATGTTACCTGATGGGCGCCTCTCACATAGTGTCACCTGATCCACTAATGTCACCGTCGCTGCTGGCAACCTCCCGCCGTGCGTGTCGATCAGGGCAACAGCGATTGTTTCTCGTTTCAATTTTCACAACTAAAAGAGACTGCATTCTCCACATTCCTTTACACAAACTTATTTAAACAAAAAATTACCATTGTAAAGGCCCGTGTCGTTATAAACGCACGGAAAGTATTGAGCTACATCGACTAAACTTTGTAGTTTGTTGAATGAATATGATTGGAATTAGCTGCACGACCTGCATTGAAAATTCCATATTTGTTGCTACTGTAGCCTCATGAAGTTAATCGAAGGTGTAGTGAGTTAGCCTCGTCTGGCGGAGCACTTCATCTGGAAGAAAAAAATGTATTGTCAAGTTGGCGACCTTGATAAGAGGAGGGTTGAGTGCTTTGTCTATCTTTGTTTACAGTGGGGGGAGTGATCTCCAGCTTCTGGGTCCTGCCTTTATATAATGATAATGTACAGCAAGGTGCACACAGAAATCACAATAGCGTGATGCATCAAATGGGCAAATCCACAAGGGCCGTGATGAGGGGTTCGAATCTACGTCCGGGATAATCCCAGATGCACCTTAGTCGACTGCTGCACGACATGGTCAAGGTGTATTCCGCTTCTCAGAGTATGCGTTCACATCGGAGACAGGAGGCCTGTTAGGCCTATAGATACTCCCATAAGTCACCAGCTGACCTTCTCTAGAATGCAATACGCAATAGTCGCTTAACTCCCGGCTACCTATATACTGTTAAATGAACCATCACTACCTCTCTCCTATCTCCTCCCACTCCGTCCATTAGGCTCGCATATTCGCGTGCAATATTTCTCGTTGTATCCCAGGCACTTGTATCTCTTTCCGAAAATCACAGCAGTTATTCGTCATTTATCAACATTTTTGTGGCATATTATTACAAAACTAAAATTAAAACAATTAAAAAATATGTATTTGAACTAATATTTTTTTTCGTAAAGGTGAGTGTCCGAAAATGAGGGCAATGAGCTAGCCTAGCAGAGGAAAATTTGAGCCATGCATGAGCAGGACGCAGGTTGATTATCGCGATGCGAACGAGGCATTTAGATAGGAAATAATGATGGTTGTTGATGATAAGTGTTCAGCAGCCTCTTCCCAGCGGCTACAGTACCCCTCAGTATAGCTCACACTAATTTTAAGATATACGTCTGAAGTTAGGTGTTACACAGAGCGGTTAACCTGGTTTACCTGGTTGATGGAGTTCTGGGAGTTCTTCTACTCCCCAAGCCCGGTCCGAGGCCAGGCTTGACTTGTGAGAGTTTGGTCCACCAGGCTGTTGCTTGGAGCGGCCCGCAGGCCCATATGAATGAATATGATTGGAATTAGCTGCACGACCTGCATTGACCGGTTGTTAGAGTTCAGTTGTTAGAGTTCATCCCATTCTTCTGTTTGGTGAGCGTATGTAACGATAGTCCCATAGTTCACTGACTAACTGTTAATATAATCTGTAAGATATATTTTTTTATCCACCTCGTAATTTAGTGACCAGTAGAGCAAACTGGATAGTTGTCTAAGTCCATATTTTATATATAGACTTGTACCTTAATTGGAGGATAGGTTGTTTGAGTCAACACAATCAATTTAAAGCCAGTGTAGCGTAACTCGTAATAATTAATGTATGTCAACATGGTCTAATGAGTATACGAAACAGTAGGTCCTGTGAAGACCAGTAGAGAGAATGCCGTTAATCCCAGCCACAAAGCCAGTCTGGCGTTTGGTACAGGATCGCCATTCCGGAGCCTCACCAGCATACTTTACACCGGCTGATGTCTGACCTCTCCATCTGTCGACTGTCTGGTCACACAGAGGTTCTTGCAAGGTCGAACATAAGCTCCTGAACCCTTCCTTGCCAGCTATCGCGTGCCTTATGCAGTGACTCTTGACTAATGTTTCTTATCTTTCAAAACTTGTTATTGTGTCAGCTTCATCTATCTTCATCTATTCCTTTCTACTTGCTCACTACTACACGAAAGTTCTTCCTTGTGACTTCTCTGCGCTTCTAGTCCATCCACGGCCCTCGTTCTGACATTCTTCGTACTAAACATTTCATCTTAGTTCACTTTGCCAACTTTCCTGAGAATGTTGTACTGAGTTATTTTATCTCTTAGTCCATTACTTATCACCTCAGGCGTAGTGACTTCCAGGTCCCTCAGCCTATCCTCATAGGTCTTCACACCAGCCTCTGGCATACCTCTCAACTCAATTTTAGCATGACTGATTCATTAGGCGAAAGTCCTGCCCCGAAGGGAATACAACTATCAGGAGAAAGTACCGTTGTTATAGATTCAGCTACTCGGAACAAGTTCCAAGTAGCACGGGCTATGGTGAGCCCGTAACTTACCTGGCACAGGAGCGGGGCAAGTAGCACGGGCTATGGTGCGCCCGTAGTGGACTTACCTGGCACAGGAACGGTGCCCTGCTGAGAAAGTACCAAACCATTACGACTATATAGCTCTTGGAAGGGATCAGGATAAGGATTTGGGATGGGAAGAAGGAATGGTACCCAACCACTTAGACGTTGGGGATTGAACGGCGACCTACATGAAGCGAGACCGTCGCTTACCGTCCAGCCCAAGTTGTCCCGCCCCAAGCCTGCATTATCAATGACGAATCGCTTGTATATACATCATAATTTTAAAGTTTCTTTTCCGTAGTTCTTGAAAGCTATACGAATGTTCGCTAGCGTCGCGTACGGTGCTGATTATATCATGTTTATGTGTGCCTCTGACGTTAACTGTGGTTATTAATGTTGATTAATACTAATATAGAACTTAAATCAAATTACAAATGCGATTTACCATGGGGGGGGTTCATAATAAGCTAATTAAACTAATTAACTGACAATACATGAGTTAACTTTTAAAATACATGAGTTAATTACAAATAATATGTTGACTGGCATCGGTGGTGAAAGGTCTAGCAGTAACTCATACAATGTCACCGGTATAAATGTATTATAATGTATTATAATGTATTATAATGAGAATCAGATGTGGCAGCAGTATGCAAGAACCACACTCAGGTCTGTTGTTGCTAATTACGTATCTCCAGTGTTTTATTCATGTTTATTTCTATATTATTTCTTCTGGCAGGTCTCCATTCAG